CCTGGTCGACAAATTATCACGGGCAATTGCTATCTAAGGCTGCTGCGAGCGAGCAAACATGAGACATCAACTACGGAGTACTACATAGTACCGATGGCACCATGTGACGGACAGAAAACCTAAGATACGTGAAGGAATTCTGAAGAATGTTTAGTAGTTTACTAGTTTATACTGCTAGTAACTATTTTCGTCCGAGGCTCCGATCATCCACTCCGTATACACCGTATACTCCGTACTCGTAGTCCGACCAGTCATTTTTCCAGGCTACTCCGTACCTCCTAGTGAGGAAAAAATATAACAAATCAACCGGCGGAGGTGAGATGAAAATTTGAATTCGGCCGGGTTCTGCTGCCGCGGCGTCACCGATCTACTCCGAGGTAATCTTGCTGTGCCAGGTACTGCGTACGGAGTACTCAGTACGGAGTATTATAACTACCTAAGTTACTACATAGTTACTACATAGGTTCGGCGTTCCAGTACTATTTCAGTGAGCACTAGCGAGGCTAGTAGTGAGGTAAGACTATATAATAAGCATTTGAGTGGACCTTCGTCGTACGTAAGTGTCTCTGATGTTCGTCGAGATGACAATGAGAATCTGGACGGAGGCCTCCGGACGAGATCGGGGGGGCCGTTAATGGGCAAAAGCTTGAGGTCCACTTGACACGATGCCATGTGGATGCTGATCAGCGTAATCTTCAGTAGTAAACAGTATGTAGTTCGGAGTGCCTCTGATAGAGATATATATCTATTGTGCAAGTCGTTGCAGGTACCTACTCCATAGTAATTATTCAGTAGCTACGGTTAGTGACTACATATATGTATCATTGTCCGCGCTAAGACATGAAGACTGACTCGTAGCTACTAACAAGATATTGCTATCAATTAGTAAATATGCCATGTATTAAAACCAGATTTAGTACAGTACTGCATATGTGGTAATACCAGTACGAATATCCAAAAAAAAAAAAAAATACCGGAACCCTGTGACGAGTATCTACCGACAACAAAGAAAAACTACCCACTCACTACCTCAGTAACTTCCGAGATACCCTGTAACCAACTACCAACAACTAACTACCTAGGTAACAATCTAAATATCCATCTACTCTGCGTTTTTGCCCCTAGTTATCCTAGTTCTGATCGAGGCAAACCTAATTTCCCATCTCGGGCCCGACATTGCGAGTTAGGGCCGGCGACAGCGAAGTAGGTACCTAATACGTGATTTTACACTCGTATTCCGTATTCCGTATTCCGTACTACTGCACCTGTACTACGGAGTACTAGAATTGCTACATACTACAGACTACGGAGGACTTACTACCTACGGTAGTCGATTAATTAATTAGAGTTGCAGTACTATATGTAGTATATACTACAAGATAACTAGTCAGTTAGCTAGTAACTCTCCATCCTGAAAATTACATGGCATGATGCGGCATGACTACCTATTAGCACTAGGTAGGACATCTAGAACGTCTTGGTTTTTTCGTACGGTAACATCCCATACCCATACCCAGTGGATGCAAGGAGAATCTCAGAAATAAAAACAAAGTGAAAAACCTGATCTCAGATGATCCAGTTCTCGCCCATTGGTTGGTGCGTATAATAGCATGAGTAGTATGTAGGTAAATGGATAAAATGGATAATAAAGTGCCTCCTAGTTGCCTTGAATCTGTCTCCTATTGGCTACATCTGGTGCTTTTTCCGCTGCTGGGCCATTTTAATTCCCTGTAACGGACTAGCCTGATCTGGGTCCACTACGGAGCAGGCAGATCGCCTTGTTGTTGGTGTCCACTGCCAAGACTCCACCGTTTTGTATGTAACACACGGTGTATGTATGTGCCTTAGGTGTCGAATTCAGGTCTCGCCCGAGTAAAGCCCTAGTAGTACTTGATGTTGATGTCCTCGAAGAAACCCAACCCCTCTCCAGCTACCAGTGTAGCTTCTCTCTCATAGAAGCACTGTAGATGTAGCTAGGTGGTACATAATGGTCATCAGTCCGGGCTTGTCTTTCTTGTTGGTGGCAAGCACAGTAGCAGCAACATTGTCTTGATGTTTAACTAGGTGCATCTACGCTCGAGCATCCCAGCAGAACATGATGACTTTATAACTAACTAGTTACATGCAAAGTACGTTCTTGTATTAGTAAACGTACGTACGGCCTAGGCCTCGACTATCTATGTAGTAGTGCTGCATGCTTTTTGGTCAATAGATGTCGCAGCCAAGTCCAAGTCATCCGAACGGCTTGCTGAAAAGACTAGAAAACACCATCTCTTAACCCCTCGAATTGAGATTCCTGCTGTCTAGCCTTTTCTTTCGTTTTCTCATTTTTATTATTATTTTTTCTTTTTTTTTAATGTTTTATTTCGTTGCTGGCGCGCAACGCACCCCCTCCCCCTGCTTGTTTCCCCCGCCCTTTACGAGAAAGGACGGGTGGCCACGGCGCAGCTGGATACGACCAGAGTCTCATTAGCTATTCTGCAGACAATAAGATCTTCATGCGTGAGAAGGGGACTTACGGATCCGTGGCGAACCCTACAGCCTTTCCCCGAAAGACTGCGTGACGGCCCAGGGCCGACCGAAAGTGTGCGCCGTCTTCCAGGCGCAGGAACCGCACAACCACGGCCCGACCCTATATACCGTACTCAGTCACTGATATGAACGCGAAAAGACAGGCAGGAAGTTGACTTACCCCCTCTCGGGTGTAGGTGTCCTCGATTTTCTCGAGTTGGCGGCCATTGTCGACCGCCAACTCGACGAGGACCCCCATGCTCACCTCGAGGGGCAAGGAGGAGATGCGCACAACTCGAGTGACCCCTTTGTCAAGGTAGCCCCGAGTCACCGAGTTGGCGATCTCCTCCTTGCCCCGAGTCACCCGGACCACGTGCCCGCCGGGGAGCCGGATCCCCGTCTGGCGGTATTGCTCATAGTATGTCACGCACGCCTTCGACTCCGTGAACGTGACATGAGCACTGCCAGAAGGGATGACCCCAACTCTCTCGATAGAGCCGCCATGAACCAAGGAAAGGACGCTGGTCGGGGTACGGTGAGATTCAGGCAGATTCTGTAGAATAACTCGTCTATGTTCAGGGCCTAACGTAGAAAGAAAGGGAAACGGAAAGAAATGAGCTTCTATTTCAAGTTATGAGACAGGAGAAATCAAGTATAGAGCTTACGAGGCCGGTTTGCAGGACGAGGCTCGGGGGAACCCCAGGAAGTAAAGTACATGGCATTAATACGCTCCTTCAAGTTCGTGGCGATGATGATATCATTGGAGTTGTCGGGTGACGAGGTAGCCAAGTCACCAGATGATTCGGCCTTTGAAGACTCTCCGGCGGAGTGAGTAGGTTTGGAATCATTTGGCTTGGTTGCCTTTGCAATGTTGCGGCGTGCCCGAACTGCTTCCATGAATGCTGACGAACTCTGACCAGCAGTCTTGACAGTGAAGTCGCCAAGTGCCTGAAAGGGATTCGTATGAGAAGTGACCTTGGTAGACTGTGGAGTGACCTTTTTGGTGCTCTCTGGAATGGCCTTCTTGGTAGTCTCGGGAATGACCTTCTTGGTAGTCTCGGGGATGGCCTTCTTGGTAGTCTCTGGAATGACCTTCTTGGTAGTCTCAGGGATGGCCTTCTTGGTAGTCATTGGAGTGACCTTCGTCTTCGACTCAGGGGTGACCTTCGCGGAACACTCTGAAGCGACATTCGTGGTAGGTTCTGGGGTGACCTTTCCAGATGATGGGATCCTCACCACAATTGGCGCGGAAGTGTCGACGTAAGAAGAGACTGTGAAGGCCGGAACTGACTGAATGACGGGAGGGGGGGAGGGAGGAGGGGAGCATGGCTCGGACAAGACGTGACCCACACTCACTTCAACGGGCGTCTCTGACTTGTGGACGACGGGCGCGGTTGACTCTGTGTGGATGATCAGGCCCTGAGGCTTGCTCGAAGTAGACATGGGCAACTCAGCCTTTGAATTGGCTTCAGTGACGGTCGGACCTGCGATTAAGGAGACGGAAGAATTGGCCACCTGGACAGAAGAAATATCGACAGGAGGCTTGAGCACGGATTTCTCCTCAACGGCAGACGCGGAGCTCTGCACTGCAGCAGGAGCAGTCTTGATTACATGGGGATTGTTGCTAATGGGGACAGAATGCTTGGTGGTAGAAGCCGCCGACTTTTGTTCCGTCGACTTGGTTGAGACTGAACCCGTAGGAATGGGCTGAGACTGAGCCAATCGCTTGGCACGAACGGCCGCCATGAACGAGCTGGAATCATCGAAGGTAGAAGTCGAGACAACGCGAGTCGTAGGCTTGGTGATAACTGGAGCAACATGCTGGACAGCCGGAGCTGAGGTGGTGCGCTTGATGGTGGGGGATGCGTGAATGGGTTCAACAGCCGGAGCTGGAGCAGGAGATTTAGAGGCCGAAGCCGGTAAGATAGTCTTGGCTGTAACGGTGGAATCAGCAGCCGGGGCTGGACCAGGGCGCACAGCAGCTGAAGTCGGTGAAGTGCGTTCAGCTGTGACGATGGACTCAACGGCCGGAGCTGCAGCAGAAGATTCAAGGGCCGGTGAGATGCGCTTGGCCGTAACAATAGAGCCAGCAGTCGGAGTTGGGGCAGGAGACACAACAGCTGGGGTCGGTGAGGTACGCGCAACTGCCACGATGGACTCAACAGCCGGAGCTGGAGCAGAAGATTTAGAGGCCGAAGCCGGTAGGAGGGTCTTGGCTGTAACGGTGGATTCAGCAGTCGGAGCTGGAACAGGGTACGCAGCAGCTGAAGTCGGTGAAGTGCGCTCAACTGCAATGACGGGCTTAGTAATTGGGGTCGCAGACTCGACTGGCGACCTGGGGGTTGAAGTCGTGCGGAGAGGGACAGTTTGAAGTTTGACTCCAGCAGGAGCTTGGGCCAAACGACGAGCTCGGATAGCAGCCATGAAAGAGCTTGAGTCGTTGAATGGAGAACTAGAGGTAACTCCAAATGCAGCAGGAGTAGTTGACAGGAGGTTAGATGTCTTCATGGGGGCAGCCTGGAGAGTAGAAGAAGCCTGCGGGGGGACGGGCGCCTTGAATGAGGACTCTCTGCCGGAAGATTTGGCAGCCATCTGTGATGAAACGTTGGTCTTATCTGAGACAGTCACAATGGCCAGACTAGTAGCCATGGGGGCATCGAAAATCTGATTGCCAGAGGGCTTGATGGCAGGAACAACAGTGGGCTTAACGACAGGGCGAACGGCAGGTTTGACGGGGACCAGAGCGGGTTTGACGGCAAAGTCAACAGCGGGTTTGATAGCAGAATCGACGGCAGATTTGACATAGACGACAGTGGGATTGGTAGCAGAATCGATAGCAGGTTCGACAGATTCGACAGATTCGACAGCGGGTTTGACAACAGGGACCACAGCGGGCTTGGCGACAGAGAAGGCAGTGGGATCGATGGTAGAATCGACAACAGTTTTGACAGAGATCACAGCAGGCTTGACTGAAGGATCGAGAACAGGTTTGACAAGGGCCACAGTGGGTTTGATTGCAGAATCAGCAACAGGTTTGGCCATAGGGCTGACAGCGAGTTTGACAGTTGGGTCGACATCGGGTTTGTCAACAGGGCCGACAGCAGGTTTGTCGACAGAGACGACAGTGGGTTTGACAATGGGATTAATAACAGGCTTGACAATAGGAATAACGGCAGGTTTAATAACAGGGCTAAGAGAAGGTTCAACACATTCAGGGATGTTGTCAGAAGACTTCGACATGGGAGCGACGATCGGAATCGCCTTGTTGGCTCGGGGTTTGACAAAAGGGACGACATTGGGTTCAGAATGTTTGAGAATACTGTCAACAGACTTCGACATGGGAGCGACGATCGGAATCGCCTTGCTAGCTCCAGGCTTGACAACAGTGACGACAGCAGGTTCAGAATGTTTGAGGATATTGCCAGCAGACTTCGACATGGGAGCGACAATCGGAATCGCCTTGTTGGCTCCAGGTTTGACAAAAAGCTCCGAGGTAGCAAAGACCTTGTTGGGAGCACCGACAGTAACAGGAGAAAGGGGCACATATTCGTTGCTAACGGCTCCAAAAGACGCTGTAGATGGAATGGAGCCCACAACAGGAGTGTTCTCATCAACCGACTTCACAGACGAGACAAAAGAAGAGGAGGACTTCGGAGAACCCTCAACACTAGAAGTTGGGGCAAATGTCTTGGCACCAGGATTGAGGGCGGACGTCTTCTTCGCCGCACTCTGCGATGAAGGGGAGAACGACGAAGCACCTGGGTTAAGAGGAGGGGAGGCACGCCTGCGAGGCGCACCAGGGCCAATCACAACGACACCAGTCGGGTTGCCAGCGCGGCGGGACTTCATTGCAGCCATGAAGGCCGAAGGGTCGTCAAACTCTTTGCCGCCGTCGACGTCTTGGGAACCTTGGGCATTGGACGAGAAAGGACCAGTCATAATAGGCTGGTTCAAGAAGGGAGAATAAAAAGTCTTTTGAGTAGACTGAGCAGGGGCGTTGTGGATGGCCTGTTCATGGTGGAATTTGCAGTCAGCATCTCTAATCACTTTAAAGACCGACATAAAGATTATGTGGCACTCGAAAGACAGAGGGTATGAAGAAGGTAGGGGATACAAGCAATGGAGATATGAGAAAATTTACGTACCTGAGCGCCAGCGGCGCGGCTGTTGGCCTTGGGAGCATGTTTGGAATCAGAGAGGTTGAATTTCGAACGGTTGGCGAGGTTCATGAGCTGATCCTGAATAAGATCAGAGATAGCCTGGCGACTCATTTCTTGGGGGGCATGGACAGAGCCACCAAGACTCTGCTGAGGTTGTTTGGCAACAACTTCTTTCTGTTGGCTATTGTGGTTGCTAGAAATGGGCTGGAGAGAAGCGTTTTTCTTGGGAGCATGCTTCGAATCGGAGAGGCTGAACTTCGAACGGTTGGCGAGGTTCATGAGCTCATCCTGAATGAGATCAGAGACGGCCTGACGGCTCATCTCCTGGGGAGCATGAACCGAACCACCAAGAGTCTGCACAGGTTGCTTAGGAGCATGGACCGAGCCATCAAGACTCTGCTGGGATTGCTTGGGAGCATGGATTGAACCACTAAGAGTCTGTTGAGGTTTCTTGGGAGCGTGAATCGAGCCACCGAGGCTCTGCTGAGGATGCTTGGGGGCATTGTTCTGCTGGCTCTTGTGGCTGCTAGAAACGGGCTGGAGAGCAACATTCTTCTTGGGGGCATGCTTCGAATCGGAGAGGCTAAACTTGGAACGGTTGGCCAGGTTCAAAAGCTCATCTTGAATAAGATTAGAGACGGCCTGACGGCTCATCTCCTGGGGAGCTTGGGCCGAACCACCGACGCTCTGCTGAGATTGCTTGGGGACGTCGTTCTGCTGGGTTTTCTGGTTGCTGGGGACGGCTTGGAGAGTGTCGGCCTTGGGAGCGTACTTTGAATCTCCAAGACCCTGCTGAGGACGCTTGGGAGCATCGGGCTTGGGAGCGTATTTTGAATCTCCGAGACCCTGCTGGGCGTTGGCCTTGGGAACATGCTTCGAATCACCAAGGCCCTTCTGAGTGATAGTCTTAGGAGCATACTTTGAATCTCCGAGACCACCCTGCTGAGTGATAGTCTTGGGAGCGTACTTGGAGTCACCAAGACCCTGCTGAGGACGCTTGAGGGCATCAGTCTTAGGAGCATGCTTCGAATCACCAAGGCCCTTCTGAGTGGTGGCCTTGGGAGCGAACTTTGAATCTCCAAGACCCTGCTGAGTGGCAGTCTTAGGAGCGTACTTAGAATCCCCAAGACCCTGCAGACGACGCTCAGAGCGACCGCCCTGTCGGCCTTTAGTGTTGCCAGAAACGGCCTGAGGAGGGTTGGTCTGAGGAGCGTGCACGGAATGAGCAAGACCCTGCAGAGGTTTGTTCATGGTGCTATTCTGGTGGCCCTGGGCCGAGACAGAAGCGCCCTTCTGGGTGTTGACAAAAGTCTGGTCACGCATCTTGAAGAAGAGAAACGCGTCGAAAAGCGGAGAGATGAAGATGAGAAGATGGAGAAAAAGAGGACAGAAGATGAGCTTGAGAGCTGGATGATGAGAATAGAGAAGCTGAGTGCTGGTTCAACGTTGAAAGCTTGAAGCTGGGTTCGAGAACTTGCAGATGGGTGAGGAGAGAGAGGAGAGAGGAAGAGGAGAAGAAAGAAAAAAAAGTTGGGGGGAGATGGGAACTGGAAAAGAATGGGAGGTTGGTAGTGAGAAGTGAGAGAAGTGAGAGAAGTGAGAGAAGTGAGAGAAGTGAAGGCAGTGAATAGGAGTGAGAGAAATCAGGAAAGTGAGAGATGTGGCAAACAGATATCAGGGTAGTAGTGAAGAGACCTAGGAGGACCACCTCCTATCACTTCCCTAGAAGCAGTGAATTGTTTCATAATGATCTATATTACATATAAACTGGTAATTTGTGGTGTATTTGGTGATCCTCCTCGAGTCATATAAAGTGGAAAAGTCAACAAGTTGCCTATTTGGGTAAGAGGCCTGCCCGGCCCAAGGGTGAATATCAATCCCAGCCACAGGTGAACGACAGTCTGGATGGGGCGAGATGCATCAATCCAGCTGTGTTTATTTTGAGGCTACAGAGTAAGCATGCTGATAAAAAAATAATTGAATTAGACGAGACAATAGAATTCAAATATAGGTCGGTACCTTGGCCCTCGATGCTAATCATACAAACCCGAGTGTCAAACAATTTCCCAAGCCATTCAAAAATGCGCAATCCAACGCCAACCGTCTATTTCAAACCCTCGACATTTACAATGTTGGGATAGGTATGCTCTCGTATCCCTTCTTCCCCTTGACTCGGTGCTCGACAATGACTTGCAGGCCTCGACGGCCACAGTATCCATCGTTGCCAGCAATCCGTTCCAGAACTTCGAAGGAGCCGCCGCCAACCATTTGATCGTTGGCAACCCAGACTTTTTCCTGGACACTTTGGCCGGGCACCTCGGCGCGGCGTTCGTTGTACCAGGGGAGACCCACAAGATGGTTGATGAGGTTATGCAAAAACGAATACAAGCGCTCGAACCGCCGCGTTGTCGACAGCCAGGATAGGGTGGTACTATCATAGGCAACGCGGACAAAGGGGTTCATGTAGATACCGGTATCGGAGATCTGCTCGAGGTTTGTCTGCGGATCCTGGATATCGGCATGGATGAGGCAACATTCAGATGCCTCCCAGAAAAGATCGTTGCCCGAACGGAACCGGACGGGGCTATTGGTCTGTTGGAAATACCGAGCGTCAAAGGCAACCATTCCACCCCAGCAGCTGCGGACACGCACGGCATCCTTGCCATCCAGCACGTCCTGGCGGCTGTCGCCTTTGCCAGCGGACGTGAACCAAGGGAAGAAAGGTACGCCCATGCTATACCCTTGCAAGTCGCGCGTGGCGTATGTGTCGTAGAATTTAAAGGGGTTGATGAAATCAACCGCACACGCGGCGCGGTACTGTGCAACCCCTTCCTCGTTGGCGTTGGTTGAGAAGAGCAGCTGCAGGGCATCGAGGGGGTCGAACACGACATCGTTCACATACAGCAGCTTGTCGAACCGCCGTTCCGGATTCTCAACCAGCGGTCGAAGAGCTCGGTTGCGGACCTCGGCCAGATACTCTATGCGTTTGACCCGTTTCTCACCACCGGGGATAATCACCGTGGGCAGACTGTAGAGATCCAGATGCTCCTCAATGACGATTGCCTTTTCGCAGGTGACCCTCTTCTCCAACTCGCGCAAGGCAGTTTCCCCCTTCTGACCACTATCATTCTCGTAGATGCTCAAAAACACATTATCCCTGCCCAGCAGATCAATCAGCTCCACTATGCCGTCGCCCCATCTGCCACCGGCAAGACTGCCTCCATTGTCATATATGCTTGCCGCAATAAACACCTTCTCGTTTCGCGGGTTGCCCCGTCCCACGGCGTCCGAGTCGGCGACAGACCTCCGGAGCGAGGCGTAGTGCGGCGGCAGTCGTGTATATGAGGGGCAGAAGATCGCCGTGAGCAGGACTAGCACGGATATGATCGCCAGCGTGATGTGCGAGAGGAAACAGAGACGACGGAGAAAGAACCGGCGGTGACAACTCCGTCGCGACGCACCGGACAGGAGGGGCTTCGGCGGTTGCAGGCGACGATATCCGCTGCTCGACCACGAGGCCGGCAGCACCCTTGTCAGCCATACCGGCAGCGACGATCGTAGGAAGGTCCTCGGCCGGCCGCGAGTCTGTGTCTCGAAGTCGGCTTCGTCAAGGTTGAAGGTTCCTTCCGAGTCAAGCGAGGACCTCGTGCCAAGCTCGTACTCGTCCGGGTGGAGGAGACGGACAGACATGACGAGATTCCGTCGTCGACAAGGGGGGGGGAGGAGAGAGAAACAAGAAAGAAAACAAAAAGAGGGAGGGGCAGAAATCAGCCCATGCCTAGAAATGGGACTCCTGGTCAACAGCTACACGAGAAGCACAGCTGGCTTCGGTGCTCATCCCCAGGCTGCCATCTCGTAACTAACGTTGGGTGCTGTTGAGCCGTGGCTTATGTCAGCAGAGGCCTTGACGGCTTACCTGTACCTAGATAGCATTGATCTACAGTATATAGAGGACAGCCAAAGGGAATATATATATACATATTTGTATTTCTAGGGGAATTTGAGAGGGGTGTATATATTATGGGTGATAATTCCACATACTGGTTCAGTCTCCTACTTCGTATCATCCCTTTTATATTTCGTACCGTGAGGATGAAGCTTATCTGGGTCTCCCCACTTCTATTGAATGATGATGACGTTACAAGACTCGATTTGACTATGGTTTATAGTGGTGATTCGTCTGATGCTTGATCACTAGGTAGGTGTGGTATAGGAATAGTGCCTTCAAAGCTGATATTTAAGAGCCATAAAGACTTTATAATTCCCAAACCGCCTACGGAGTATATCTTAATAGCGTACCATCTTCAAAGTGAGATATTATTAAATATCCAATGAGTCAACCTGGCAAGTGTCTGTCTCGTAGTCTCCAGCGATGTCGGCAATCGACTGTCAATCGGTTAAACCTCTGATATCGAGGTTCTGTGTAGATATGGAATATTTGACGTCCATATATGAAGTGCTACCTGAACGATATAATGGCAAGTTCGCAAGTCACCTAGGTAGTGTTGAAGAAACTTACACTTACATCTAATCATCAGTCCGAAGATAACGACTTGCTGTTATGACGTGTCTATTGCTTTAGGTTAGTCCCCCGCAGCCCCCCGCCTCGAACAAGACTCCCCCTCATCGACAAGGAATCTCATCTAGCCCCTCGAAGAACAAAATAGATAGCAGCAGAGCGAGCAACATGTCCGGTTCCTTCAAGTTTATCAATTCAGAGGCACCAGTCCCCGGGGATGGAGGCGGCCTCCCTGCGCAGTTCTCCGTGACCGCCCCCCCCTCGACAGACGTGTGGGCGAAACCGCCGGCGACGAGGCCATTCAACGCGCCGATTCTCTACCGCTCGATCCCACTGGCGAAATTCAAACGGGTGCGTGTCGCGTTCAACGCCGCGTGGAAAGATCTCTACGACCAGGGCGGGCTGATTCTCCTTCTCGACGGGGCGGACGAATCGAAGCGGAAATGGGTCAAGTCAGGGATCGAGTTCACACATGGCAAGCCACACCTTAGCACGGTGGTCAAGGACCGCTGGGCGGACTGGAGCTTGCTCCCCGTGCCGTCGGGGGGTGCCCTGGCGACGCTCGAGATGGTTCGAGAAGACGACGGGAGTCTGTGGGTATACCTGGTCGAGGGGGTGCAGAAATCCCCGATCCGTGAGGTCACCTGGGTGTTTGATGGTGAGGACGATGTTGAGTGCTGGGTAGGAGTGTATGCGGCACGCCCGTCGGAGAAAAAGGGAGATCTAGAGGTTCATTTTGGCCATTTGATGATTGAACTGCTGGAATGAGTGTGGGATCTGGACTTGTAGATAGCATTGACACTGAATCAAGTTGCTAGAAGTATGTCTGTCCTATTAGATATCACTCCGTATACAGGAGTCCTAGTAGTACAGGGTACTCTACGGAGTAGGTAGTGGTACAACTATTCTATTCAATATACCACCGTCAATGTACTCTATTGGTTAATTAGTAGCAACTGCTAGTTATCACTAGTTGCTCCGGACTCCGGAGTAATAATTATCAAGTCCTAGGTACTCTTACCTCTACGAAAAACGAGCTCAGGCTATGCTATCGGTGGGTCAGATAGATTAGACCAGCGCTTTGCAACAGACTAAAGGGGCAGCCCTCAAGCCAACGCATATCAATGGGGAAGGAGTTTCAAGCAAGTCTTCCAATCGAGACGATGAGCTCTGGCTCGCCACCCAATCGGACCTCAAAATCTCAAGGAGGATCCCAGCCCGTTTTGTCTTGTGCTCCGTAGACTCCGTACTATTGAGAAATGAGTTATTTCCCTCAGACAGGGGAGCTCTGCGGGATGGCTGCGACTGTCTACTCCGTATACTCGGTATGAAGTTATGAACCGCCAGGTAACTCACTCACGCTTGGTATTCGATTTTCTAGTCGACTTCGGTTGCATCCATGGCCCGCGTGTCCGTCAAGCAGCTTTGAGGAGGGGTTCAGGCTGCAGCATCGCGGCTGTTCCGGGTATCCCTTCATATTGAATAATAGTAATACTCAAGGACCCCACTGACCGACCATTTTCACCGGAGCTACTCTGGAGTTCTGCAGTTCGTTTGTGGATTAATGTTTCTGATTCTTTAGCATTAGACTTGGCAGCAGGAATGAACACTCACTATTGATTATTATGTTTGCGTAGCACCAGATGGTATTTGTTCGTAGATCCCGACAGTCTCAACGAGGAAAATCCGATCGACTGGAGTCCAACAGGCGAGGAACGCCGAGGATACGAGTTGACAGGTGGGTTTGGGGCCGAACTGGGGCAATAATCAGCGGACCGTGGAAGTGGTGTGTGAGACAGCGACAGCTCGACAGCAACTCTTGCGCGCGGAAAAGAGCGAGACAGTCCATCACCCTCTACTCCAAAGCCGCTTCAGATTATTATTTCTCAGCGAGGACAGAGAGTAGGCACTCCGTAGTAGTAGTCGTATGCAGGACTGCAAAACAAACCGGAAATAATGTCCCTCCTCCAACAAGGATCGGGTGATCTTATCATATCTGATGGCACCGTCGGAACCCGTGATCGCTCGCGTTGCCACTTCTGCCTCACCACTTCGCTCCCTTCTTCCCTCCACAGCCCTGGCACTGCGTCCTTCTGGCCTCGATCCATCCCGGCAAGGTGTTTGAGGACTAGAGACCTCCTCCGGCACATACATGTCCTTCCACATACCGCGGCCGCCGTGTCGAATTCCTTGACGAGGAGTGCTGCTCCACCCCTTTTGGTGCAGAGCAACTACCCTGCCACGCTGACGCCGCAAAGCCGCATCCCACGTCGACCTGCATAAGGGCCGCGTCGATCGGGGGTGCAGTGGTGCTAAGAAGGAAGAGCCTGTTGGGCGAACAGAACAGGCTTCCACCTCAGTCTTTCGGGCTTTCCCCTCCCCCTCCCCCTTGCACGCCGGATTCGTCTGGTGGCTCCGAATCTGGCTACTTAAATGTATTCGCCAGCCGAGAAGCGCGGTCGCTGTGTTTTCTTTTTTTGACGCCGTTGGTATTTTTTTTTTTACTTCTCTTGTCGCTCGATACCCCCTTTTTCATTGTTTCTTATTCAAATTCTCTTCATTCTGGTGGCCTCCTCCTTTCCCCCCCCTCTCCCCCCCCCTCCTCTCTCTCCCCGCTCTGCATCTTCTTGACTCGGTGGATCTGGCTGGCTCAGGTCATTGATATCTCTCTGAAGTCGACTCACACCGTCCTGTGCTACGAGATCGGATCCTACGTTACCTCGCACCCTCGACGACCTTTGACGTTACACGATCGAGAAAGTCTAACGGAATCTCACCATCGGTGCACGGTTCTGGTTGTGCTCGCCGACCGAATTCGATCACACACATCCGCTTTTGGACGGTGACTACCGATAGTCGGAAAATAGTGAACCCCCCTGGTTATCAACTTCGAGTGTCCGAGTTGCCATGCCCCTTCTGGACCCCCGCTCAGGACCTTCCTATGGCGCATTTGACACAATGGAGCAACAACGGGAGGATGAGGAGGAGAGAGACCGGCTTCTTCGTGATGCACAACATGAAACCGAGGGCTTTGATGACGATAACACCTCGTTGGAAGATCTCCAAGACGGTGTGCGGAAGATCGAGGCCATCAACATCACCTGGACGACGCGTTCTCTGGTGATTGCCTATATCAGGTTCGTCCGTCTTATCAGTCTGCCCAGCAGTTACTTTACCCTAGCGACTTTCTTTAGGCTGACTACTTTGCAAGTATCTTCCTGATGGCTTTCTGCACATCGCTGGAGGGTCAGACTACTATGTCCCTCTCGGCCTATGCCACCAGTGCATTCAGTAAACACTCGTTGATTTCCACCGTCCTGGTCGTCCAAAATGTTGTCAACGGTATGTTTCTTATATATTCTTCAACTGTTTTTCTTTCTGAAGATTGAAATGGCCGTACTAACGTCGAGTCAGCCGTGATCAAACCCCCAATGGCCAAGATTGCAGACGTCTTTGGTCGCTTCGAAGCGTTTTGTCTCGCCATCGCAATCTACATTCTCGGATACATCCAGATGGCTGCCTCGTCGAACGTGCAGATGTACGCGTCGGCTCAGATCTTCTACTCGGCCGGATCAACCGGCCTACAAATCCTCCAGCAGGTGTTTATCGCCGACAGTAGCGATCTGCTGAACCGAGCGCTCCTCGCTCTACTACCAGAACTTCCTTTCCTCGTCACCGTATGGATCGGCCCAACGATCGCAGATTTGGTGCTCAAAAACCTCTCCTGGCGCTGGGGTTACGGAATATGGACGATTATTTTGCCGGCATCCTTCCTCCCGCTGGCCTTCTCGTTGATGCTGAATCAGAGGAAGGCCCGGCGTTTGAATCTGCTCAAGACCCGCTCCCACAAGCACCGTAGCTGGATGGAGACCATTCGTCGCACCTGGTACGACCTGGACATGTTTGGCTTGCTGCTTTTGTCGGCCGCAGTGACGTTGATGCTGGTCCCCTTGACCCTGGCAGCGAATGTCAAAAACGGGTGGAAGAACGGAAGTATTGTTTCCATGATGGTCATCGGCGTGCTCTGCCTCCTTGTCTTACCGCTGTGGGAGACCTCGAAGAAGCTGGCCCCGAAGCCTCTTCTGTCTCTGCATCTCCTTAAGCAACGAACGGCGCTGGCGGGCTGCGCCTTTGCCTTCTTCTACTTCATGGCCTTCTATTTCTCCGTCCAGCCATACCTCTATTCATACCTCCAGGTCGTGCTGGATTACGATGTGGCCACCGCCGGCCGGGTCACTCAGACATTTGCCTTTACCTCAACGATCGCCGCGTTCATCGTGTCGATCTTGATCAAATACACTCGGCGCTACCGCATGTTCGTGACTGGCGGCTGCGTCGTCTACATCTCCGGGTTGCTCCTGATGATGCTCTATCGGCAAGAAGGAAGTTCGATCGTACAAATCCTAGGCACGCAGGTGATTGTTGGCTTTGGGGGTGGACTGGTCAACGTGCCCGTGCAACTCGGAGTACAGGCATCGGCCAAGCACCAGGAAGTGGCAGCCGCGACGGCCATGTTCCTCACGTCACTGGAGATGGGAGGTGCCGTCGGGGCGGCCATTTCCGGAGCGGTCTGGACGCATCTCATCCCGACGAAGCTGCAGCAGTATCTGCCCGAGGAAAGCAAAGACGAGGCGAAGGCGATCTTTGGCAAGCTGACCAAGGCGCTCTCGTACCCGATGGGATCCCCGACACGGATAGCCATCAACCGAGCGTACCAAGAGACGATGAATAAACTGCTCATTCTCGCCGTTGTGGCGACCATCCCATTGATTCCGCTGAGTCTGCTGATGACAAACTACGAGCTGGACAAGGTATGATGTCCCCCCCCTCTCTGTCCCGAATACGCAATACTGACCTGTCCCAAGATGCCTCATAATAATAATAATAACCGTGATCAAAATGATCACCATGAGATCCCTAATAACGACGACGACGACCAACCTCATTCAAAGCGAACTTGATTAAGCACCTTATAGAGTACATTACTACCTAGATATATCAGACCTAGTACAGTTGCCCTTCTGAACTCTTCTTATACATGACTACTCGTAAGCTTATAGCTATACTACACTACATAGTACTACATATACTTTTTACCCATCTCCTCGGCTTTCGCAAGCTTTCCTTGGCAGTGCCATAGCAGTCGCCGTCCCACTGCCATACGTGGATCCGCCTGTCTCAAACAAAGGAATTCGGTAGTAACTACTAGGATAGGATACTCTGTAAATATTTATCACTAATCTTCTGTCTACTAACTACCAAGATAACTAGTGTACACTATCAACCAACTACTCCTTAATCCTTAACTACGGAGTACTCCGTATACTCCGTACAGAATATTCTCCTAGTAAATAGGATAGGGGGTAGATACGAGGTTGCTCAGGGGTAATATAGTGCACATACCAACCTACATCATATGTAGTAAGTATTAACTAGTTGTAGCTACCAGCTAACTAGTTGTAGCTACCAGTTAACTAGCTACTAGCTACTATTTGTATGGAGTAAGTCTGACTAACTGGTAGCCGGAGGTGATGTTTTCGTAAATTACATACCGTACCAATTGTTGGGACCTCAGTACATCAGTACCTCAGTACCTAGGTAGGTACCTAGTAGTTATTGCGACACTCCATACTATCATACTATAGGCATATTATTCAATTGTACAATATTTTCAATAACATATCTAGCTACAATAGTAAATAATTCATGGATGACTGTCTGGATGTCCCTCGGTAGCCTCAGGCTCCTAATCACTTGGTCGAAATTACGCGTACAGTCTCAATGCCGAGATCATCGTCTGCACTTCGTACAGGGAGCAGTTAACTACCTTACCTACCTTACCTACGTAGGTTTGTCTATTCCAAGTCGTTTATTAGTTGAAGTTTTGAAGTATACAGACTAACTACCTAATTAACTATAAAAAAATAATCTCTCTTATTATCCCATCTTGCAAGTCCAAGAAATCTGGTCCAGCTTTTGATGGGGAATCACATAGGCCGGAGTCAAGCTAACTAACGTGCGGCCTGCCCCGTTGCAGCTATCAATCCATCCTCCGCTCCCACCTTGCCTTACCTTACCTCTTGAAACCTTCCACGGCGGACGTTCGACTGCAGCAACCCCCGACAGCCACCTGCCCTGCTTCTCTGCCTCCCTCTCACAGCCTCTGCATCCAGAACAACTCCTTTGCTCGTTGCAAGAGTTTCCCTGCCTTGGACCTCTTCTCTTCTCATCCTCGACCTCATTCTTTTTTCCCACCCCCTCCTCCCTCTTCTCCCCTCTCTTTCCCCCCTCCCCTCCCTCCCTTCCCCCCTCCCCCCCCAATAATCTTGCTCTGACGCGTTCACCGCATCTTCCCTCCCACGTTTCTCTCTTGCCTAGCCTCTGCTGCGGTTGGACACCTGCCATTTCTTCAGCGATTGCCTTCCAGTTGCCTGTCGAGGGTGTTCTCTACGGTCCATATCTAGATCAAAATGGTTGTCGCTACAATCAAGTATGTCCTCAGGCTGTGTCGCTTCATCGCCGCCCTCCCCTCCTTCTCCCCCCCTTCTTCAGATCACCCATCATCCATGACTGAACCTAATCCTCTTGGTTCTATACATCGCTTGATAATCATATCATTTCTGGATCAATACTGACTTGTCTGCTCGTCTTACACAGGTGTGTCGTCGTCGGTGATGGTGCCGTGGGAAAGACATGTCTTCTGATCTCATACACGACAAATAAATTCCCCTCAGAATATGTTCCGACTGTGTTTGATAACTATGCTGTGACTGTCATGTAAGTTGGGATGGATTGACAAGAAGAAAAGAAAAGGAAAAGAAAAGGAAAAAAAAAAAAAAAAAAAAACCCTGGGTGGAATAGATGCGGACTTTCATATGGCAATTCACTGTCTATATTGTTGCGCAAGAGACAAGGGGAGAAGTCTGCAGAGCTAACCGACTGTTTCAGGATTGGCGATGAGCCGTATACGTTGGGACTATTCGATACCGCCGGTCAGGAAGATTACGACCGTCTCCGCCCGCTCTCGTACCCGCAGACCGATGTCTTCCTCGTCTGCTTTTCCGTCACGTCGCCCGCTTCCTTTGAGAACGTGCGCGAGAAGTGGTTCCCCGAGGTGCACCATCACTGTCCCGGCGTTCCCTGCCTAATTGTCGGCACCCAGGCCGATCTTCGCGACGACCCGGCCGTTCGCGAGAAACTTGCCCGGCAGAAGATGCAGCCAATCCGCAAGGAAGACGGCGATCGGATGGCGAAAGATTTGGGTGCTGTCAAGTACGTCGAGTGCTCTGCTCTGACGCAGTACAAGCTGAAAGATGTCTTCGACGAGGTATTTATATTCATCGAACCAACGCGGAATGAACGAGTTTACCTGACACTGACGCATCTTAGGCCATCGTCGCTGCACTCGAGCCCGCTCCTAAGAAGAAATCGAAGTGTGTCTTGTTGTAATCGTTCAATTTCGGAGGAAGAAAACATCCAAAAAAAAAAACACCCCTTGGTCGAAACCTAGATAACATACGACCCCTCGATCACAACTACCCAACTTCGATATACGTTTGATCTGGCGGGTACGCCCGGTCATCTGCAGCTGGACGCCATCCTCGCTTCAAGAATTCCGACCGCCATTGATCCGTTGTCTTACGCCACCTTCCTCTGTCCTCTCGAAGACAAGCTCCATCATATCTTTTTTACCTAACGAACATTTGTCTTCCGTCTTTCTCTCCCTTCGACCTGCTTTCATTCCCCCGTTGATTCCCATCCATCACATTCTTACTCCGTCCTTTTTTTCCCCCTCCTCCCCCTCCCCCTTTCTTTTTGTCATTCTTCTCTATTCTCATCGTCTCACTCGGCGTTGGAAGTCAGGGCGTCGTATTTTGGCTGGCTGATGGTACCCCCTCTCTTTTCTTTTCTTTTCTTTTTCTTTCTGATGTTGATGTTTCCTTCTTATATCTGCTTGCTTGCTCTTGTCTGTGCAGTTTCTTTTTCTCTTCTCTTCTCTTTTTTTTTCCCAGCCTCTTCATCATCACTATGCTGCCGGATGTGTCAAGTTCCATATACAGAGGATAAGCAACCACGCGAGTGACATGAATCAAGTGATATGAATTCTTACTGTGGCTGTAGATAGGTAGATTTCTGCTAGATCTGAGGCTAAAAGTTTCAGCCCTAAGTATTCGGTTTGAGTGTTATATCATATAAACGGTTTTTTGTAATGATTCATTTTTCTGTCATCTGTCATAACTAAACTAAAGTTCATCCTTGTGATCCTGGCCTTGATGGACATCCTGGGCTTCCTGGGCATCCTGGGCGTCCTGGGCATCCCGCCGACCATACCATCCGCCCATCTCTTGACCGGTGCCGGCCTTGACCATGCTAGTGATGATCTCAAAGGCGACCTGGGCCGCAGCCAGGGCGGTAGTCTCGCCCTTGTTGTCGTAGCTGGGGGAGACCTCGACGATATCTGCGCCGACAATGTTGAGCTTCTCGAGGCCGCGCAGGATGCGGATGAATTCCCGGGTGGTCCAGCCGCCGGGCTCTGGGGTGCCGGTGCCCGGGGCGGTGCTGGGGTCCAGCACGTCGATGTCGACGGAGAGGTAGACGGGTTGATCCGGGTCGAGGCCCGTGCGGGCGAGGATGGTCCTGATGATGCCCGCGGGACCCAGTTCGTCAATGTCGTCTGCGTGGATGCGGATGAAGTCCTGCTCGGGGCCCGGGTTGGTGTAGTCGCCGTCATCGACGCCTGTCAGGCGGGTGCGCAGCCCGGCGTGGGCGGAGGTGGTGTTGGAGATGAGCCCCTCGCGGCTGGCTTTGTGGAAGAAGCTGCCGTGGTTGAAGTGCGCCTGCTCCGAGGTCCAGTACGACGAGTACCGTACCGGGTTCCAGGTGTCCAGGTGGGCGTCGAAGTGCAGCACGGTGATGGGCTTCTGGTAGATCTGGTACAGCGCGCGCAGCGCAGGCAGCGCGACGCTGTGGTCGCCGCCCAGCGTCACCAGCTTGGGCTTGCCGGCTGAAATCCCCTTGACGCCGTATTTGGAGTCGGCGCTCGTGACCGCGGGCCGGCGGCCAAGCTCCAGGAACGCCTCGTACATCTGGCGCTCGGCAAGCCCATTGTCGAAGGGGGTGATCGGAATATCGCCGCAGTCCTTCACCGTCGCCCAGGATTGATACGGGTTGATCCCGGCGCGTGTGTTGTAACTGGTGCCTGCTAGCCAGCGAGCACTCGCGGCACGAATTGCCCGGGGGCCGAACCGTGCACCTGGTCTGTAGCTGACAGCTGTATCGAACGGCGCCCCGATAACTGCAATGTCATAGTGTTCATCCGGCTCGATCAGACACTTGACCGGCTTTAAATGGGCGAAGCTCGAAATGCCGGAAAACGTCCACTGTGGCAAACGAGTATTAGATCAAGATTGTTTTTTTCTAAAAAAAAAAAAACTCTTATAATTCTACCACTTGATTTCCCCAGAGTAAAAGGAATAAGAATTGTATTTACCTCTTGATCCCACTTCTTCAGCAGCTCCTCTCGGTATTCCTCGGGAACGACTTCAGCGTCGTCATGGTGGTGGCCATGGGACAGGGCAGAGCCAGCCACAGCCAGCAGTCCCACAAGAGAACTCTTCCAACCGTGCATTGTGAAATGGATTTGAAGGGAGGAAGCCAAAGCCAGCCCCAAAACCAACCGGCAGTGTGTGGTTTTTATATAGCCGCGAGCCCTTCCGGCTTACGGAGCTCAGTCACTCCCCCTCTCTCCACCCAGCCGGCGTCCACAGCGATAACAGCAGCCCCGCTAGCATTGCTCAGACCGAACTTCCAAAGGCCATTCTGAGCCTTTCCCAGACCTGTCGTTGGCTGTTGAGATGGCCATGGTCAACCATGGGCCCAGGCGGTCGGCGGAGAGCGAAGCGGGAAAAAGTGGAACGCGACGTCGTGCAGACCTTCCCTTCTCGGCACCTGCGGCCATTCCTCTATTTCGTGTCTCCGGTCGACGGACGTCGTCAACGGCAAAACAGGACAGGTAGTGTACAGTTACACATCAGGATGAAATGCGTCGGGTTGTTGTTACAGGTCTAGGGGCTGTTACGCCGCTGGGAGTGGGTAAGTCGATGGGTTTTCCTTTGCTGTGTGCTGTGTTTGGCATCCCGGGGAATCGCCCGGTCGACCTGGAGATCTCATGTCGGTCTAATCGATGCTGTTCCTTTGCCTTCTCTTGCTTCAGCATATTCCCCACATTCCCGTTTCTCTATCACGGAACCTTCGAGCAGATCGTCGTGACTAACGCCGAGTCCATGTCGTGGTAGGGATCCGTCGCACGTGGAAGCGTCTCCTCGACGGCCATTGTGGCATCGTTAATGTTGGTCTTCGCGACTCGAGGTTTGATGCCCAGCCATGTAAAGTTGCTGCTATTGTTCCGGAAGGTCCGCGGCAGAATGGTGGCTGGACAGCGTCTGAGTGGTTAAGTAGAGATGTAGGCTGAAACCTTTCTGTGGAGGGGGGGGGGCATTGTGCAATTTACTGACTGGGCATAAAGGATGAACGAAAGATGGCTCTGTTTGCCCAGTACGGACTGGCAGCGACAGAGGAGGCTCTCGAAGATGCAGGCTGGAAGCCCACAGCCTCAGAAGACCTGGAAGCAACGGTACATCTTAATAAGTCCTATCCTTCCTTGGTGGCCACTGACTCTGACAATTATTGTTTTTCCATAGGGGGTATGCATGGGCTCTGGTATTGGTAATTTCGATGAGATCTACGACACAGTCGTAGCATACGATAAAGGGGTGAGCGATCAAAGTCATACATCGTGGCCTGTCGAAGATTGACGTTTGGATTCCCCAGGGCTACCGAAAGGTGTCTCCTCTCTTTGTCCCAAGGCTGCTGATAAACCTGGGGGCCGGTCATATATCCATGAAATACGGATTCATGGTGAGCTGCAATCGACGGATGTTCGGCTGTTCGTTGCCTTTACTGATGTCACTAGGGCCCTAATCATGCAGCTACGACAGCCTGTACCACTGGAGCTCATTCGGTTGGAGATGCTGCTCGATTCATTGCGTACGGAGACGCTGATGTGATGGTGGCCGGTGGAGCAGAGTCGTGCATCCATCCCCTGGCAATAGGCGGCTTTGCACGGGCGCGGAGTCTCGCCACCGCTTTCAACGATGATCCTGCAAAGGCTTCTCGTCCGTTTGATGCAGATCGTGATGGATTTGTCGTCGGGGAAGGCGCTGCTGTACTAGTCTTGGAGGTACGTACTAGACATGTTGCTCTTGCTCTTTCTCTTTATACGTGATTCTCACCGTGCACTTAGGAGCTTGAACACGCGAAGGCTCGAGGAGCCCGGATCTATGCAGAGCTTCGAGGTTACGGTTGCTCTGGAGATGCCCATCATATGACGGCGCCCAAAGAAAATGGCGAAGGGGCACTGATGGCGATGAAAAAGGCGCTGAAGAGCGCGAATCTGCCACCTCTCTCTGTCGACTATGTCAATGCACATGCCACATCGACTGTGGTCGGAGATGCTGCCGAGAACGCAGCCATCAAAGCATTACTGTTGGGCTCCAATGGGAAAAAGAGGCCATCTGACATCAACGTTAGTAGCACAAAGGGAGCCGTGGGACATCTTCTGGGGGGTGCAGGTGCCGTCGAAGCTGCCTTCACTGTCCTTGCTATTCTTGAAGTACGTGATGCACCGGTTGCGATTGTCCATTTACTAATCCCTCGTGCCTTGTAGAACGTGATGCCGCCAACTATCAATCTAGAGCGTCTTACGGACGACTTCGACTGCAATTATGTACCACAGCAAGCCCAAGAAAACACGATCAATGTGGCCCTGACCAATAGCTTCGGCTTCGGTGGGACGAATAGTAGTCTCTGTTTTGCTAAGCTGATCCTGTAATAATACCCTGTGATACTATTCAATCCATGTACTATAGCGAAGATAAATACTGTATGTATATCAATGCCAGCCACCAAAATCAATTGTAGACCATGTGGCTGGGATTCCTATTCTTCTTTTGATGAATTGATTGTGCAAAAGACAGTCTATTCACTCCCTCCTTTCAGATGAATACGCAGAATCGCGTCGGGCTCCTATTGATCGCCTTATCGTCAATAGAAAGAGTAGCGGAAAATCAGATGCACGTGACTTGCCCAATGCGGAGCGCCCCGGACTGGGTCTCCGGCGCGGCGGACGGTCAGCGACGAGGGACTTCCCCCAGCTGCTTGAGCTCTTCGACACGTTCTTTCCTCGTAATATTGGACACTGTGCGCGTTTCTCGAGTCGCAATATCCATACTGACAGCGTTGTTTCGAAAAATCGTTGACCTGGCAGCATGGCTACCAACGGTGACACGGGCAGAGGTACGTTTTCCCCGCGCAATCAGGGAGAGCCAGACGACGAGGGTTCTGCCGGGGTTGAATCGTCCGACCGAAGACTGACATGGCTTCTCTAACTAGCTTCGTCTGTCGCATCGAGCTCTGGTAGCTTCGTGGATGCGTCCGGATACAAGTTCTCGGAGAAAGACAGCAAACCAACCAAAATTAAGTTCAAGAAGCAATCGAAATCCGCCAAGGCGAAGAAAGGTGATGGTAAGAGGGTGGCCCAGTCCTCGGGGCTTGGTCTATGGCATGAATAAGTTGCATTATATATCTAACGTGTGTGTGTGTGTGCTCCAGAGAATAAAGATGTGCCTCCTCCCTCCCCGGGCTCGTCCCCCATCCTTCCTGAGATGGATGAGAAAACTACAGCTGCCTTTCCCACGGGTAATCCTCGCGAAGACCAGCTCGAAACGGTTATCTGCAAGCACTGCAAACGCCCCGTTCTCAAGCAGAGCGCGGCAGAGCATATTAGAGGTTGTCTGAAGGCCAAGCAGGAGAAGGCACGCAAGAAGAAAGAGGCACGTGATGCTGCGAACCGGGCGAAGGAGAGAGTCGATCGGGACGGCGACGATGATGCTGCTACTGGTGGCGACGGCACGGTGGCCAAGAAGGGACAGAAGGGTACCAAGAAGAGCGCAATCAAGGGCAATGCTGATGACGCGAACAAGAAGGGCAAGAAACGCAAGGCTGACGGGGATGATGACAAGGATAAGGAGCCTAAGAAAAAGAAGAAGAAGGAAGAACCGAAGACTAAGGTTCCCAAGCCCAAGGGTCCCGTCGATGTTGAGAAGCAGTGCGGTGTTACACTTCCGAATGGAGCGCAGTGTGCCCGATCCTTGACCTGCAAGAGCCACTCGATGGGTGCAAAGCGTGCGGTTCCTGGTCGTTCTTTACCATACGACATGCTTCTTCAGGCCTACCAGAAGAAGAACCAAGCTCGCCAGCAGAGTACGTATTCACTCTCCCTGACTTTGTTGTTGACAGGTCACTAACGTGGTTTGTTGTTTTTCTAGAAGCGGCAATTGACGCCAACGCCCCCCTTCAAGATGACCTGGAGAACAATGGTCCTGTGGACTCGGATGAAGAGAGAGAAGCTGTCATGGCGGCCATCACCCGCTCTAACCCGCAGCCTCTTGAGACCCACCCTCTCATTTCGAGCAGGCGAAAGTACCAATACGTCCGCGTAAAGGAGATGCTGTCGAATGCTCTTGGAGGCGCCCGAGGTGGGGGGCTCTTCTCAACGGTTGATATAGCCCTCTCTTCGGCTCGGAACGTCTTTCAGCCTGTTGACAACACTCCTTTGGTGCCTCCCACTGATCAGAATGCGCCGGAGGCCACCATTGACATATCGAAGAAGGCCTCCGGTGCTACCCCGATCAAGACCTCTTCCTAAGCGACGATCCTCCTGCAGAAGCAGATGCCAGTCATGAATCTTTGTTTTTGTTTTTTTTTTTGCTTTTTTTTTGCTTTCTTTGGTTTCTCGTTTTCGCCTTCTTGCTTTTCTTTTTGTTTCTGGCCGACTCCACGGTAGGGAGGAGGCTTACATTGCTAAGCGTGTTGGCGTTTTATGGGCTGGGAGATGGTTTTTATGATATGATACCCCCCAATGTTCCTCGGCATAAATGCATTTGATGGCTGTATTTTGCTCTGTGATGGCACATAGTAATTCTATTCCACTTATTGATCATAACCATAGATGTCTAAATAGGATATTCTTCTCTTTTATAGCTTGCTTAGATAAATTTATTGTAGCATTCTGTATCTCTTCGAGTCCTCTGGATTCATCAAAAGTCTGGCTCAGACACAAGGAGAATAATATTTTTATGCCTCAGGCCCCAGGATCTAGATCACGCGATGCCGCATTGAACTGGGCTTCACTTCACACCCGTCCGGCATTCCTGCATCTATCTCTGAAACATTGCGTTGACTCCATATTCAAGCTCATACTGGAGCCTTTTCTTTGATATCTCGAGGGCTCTTGTTGCCCATTCCGTGCCGCTCTTTGTCTTCGTTCCGACACGCCAAATCTCAGCACGTTTTCGTCGATGCGCTCTCCGTCGCGACACTCCTCCCCTCGTCGCGACCCTTTCAAACCGAACGAATTGCCCCACGATACGAGAATACCTACATCCCCCCCTCGGTAGTCAGAATGAGCCATTCCGTCCCGGATCTCGATGTTGTTGGGATCAAAGCTGGGCCTGGGCTGGCCAACCAGTTTCGTCAAGAAGTCGCGGCTCTGCTAGGCCGCAACAACCTGAACTTCCCCGGCGCACAGCCCGTCAGCTTCTCATCGCGGCATCTGCTTGAGCTGCAGAAGGAGGACTACTATGTTTGTGAAAAGACGGACGGGATCCGCTGCTTGATGTATTTTGCGCGTGGGGAGCCAGACTCGGAGACGCCAGAGATCCATTACCTGATCGACCGCAAGAACGAATATCGATACGTTCCCGGACTGCACTTTCCCCTGAACAACGATGATACGTTCCAGAAGTTTCACGTGGATACGCTGGTGGATGGGGAGCTCGTCAACGATACCTACGACGATGGCACGCAACAGCTCAAGTACTACGTCTTCGACTGTCTCGTACTAGACGGGAAGAGCCTAATGCACCGGACGCTTGACAAGCGGCTTGCATACTTCAAAGAGCTGGTGCTGAAGCCATACAACGCGATGTACGAGAAGTTTCCGGAGGAGAAACAGCACCGCGTCTTCGCAGTGGAGGACAAGTCTACGCAATTCAGCTACGGAATCGAAATGATGTTCCGCGATATTATCCCCAAGGTGAAGCGCGTCCACGGCAATGACGGCCTCATTTTCACATGTCGGAGCACGCCGTATAAGATCGGCACAGACGAGCACATCCTCAAGTGGAAACCGCCGGCGGAAAACACCATTGATTTTCGCATGCGGCTCGAGTTCCCCATGCTGGAACCCGACACAGATGACGAGGCGGAGGGCATCATGGAGCCGTACGCGGACTACGATGCGATCCCCATCTGCCACCTGTTTGTCATGGTTAGCCAGGGTGAGTATCGGTATTTCGGAGAGATGTTTGTCTCCCTCGCCGAGTGGGACGAAATGAAAGCCATGGGCTTGCCGCTCGACGACACCATCGTCGAGTGCTACAAGGACGACCAGTCACGCTGGCGGTTCCACCGCCTTCGCGACGACAAGATAGACGCCAACCATATCTCGACCGTGGAAAAAGTGCTGGAGAGTATCCAGGATCGTGTCACGGAGGACGACCTCATCCGTGCCGCACCCGCGATTAAGGCCGCGTGGAAACGACGACAGGCACAGATGATGGGCGAGGAGGAGGAGCGTAAACGCAGAGCGAAACAAGCGCCGCCGAACCCGAACGGAGCTGGGATGAAGAGGAAATTCGAGGAGTGATCTATTCATCTCTTCTTCTTCTTTTTTCCTTCTTGCATTGCTTTCCCTCCTATCACACATACACACACTCCATTATCATTTCGTTTGCAGGGTGTTTGGCGTTGCATAATCCTTTCTCGTTTCTCTAGATATTCATTGGGGCAGGTTGTAGGATTTAGAAAAGGCAGGGGAAAAGCTGGTGTCGGGGTTTCAGTGTATATATCTGGTTTTAAATAAGGCAGTCAGTCATTCAATACATGACTATCTATTTCTTACAGGGAAGGGACAAAGGCCCACATCTAAAGGTTCTAACAATTCCTCCATATTTTATACAATAATGATGCCTCCACTGTACTGTTTTAGAATAGATTGATTTCAAATACATAAAAAAAAGAACATCGGAGAAAAAGGAGAATAGCGAATTTGAATAATTTCTACCAACTACAAGATCTAGCGCTTCTTGATGCTCACATCAAGGCTGCCCACGAACCAGAGAGCAACAAACACTGTAAACAGGCCGGCGGTGATGGTGACGGGCTTGCGAAGTCCGTCCCAAAGAGTATAATCATAGGAGATCTTCAAATATTAGCGATGGTCTGTATATATATGAATATATAATTGGTCTTTCAAGCTTACCAGAAGTTCGGAACTCCGGGCTTCGTCGGAAAGATTTTCAATGGTCAGTGTGAGAGCTGTGCGGCCCAGAGTGTCCATGAAGGTCTTGTGGTCGTTGAGCTCGGAGTGAATCTGGCTCAGGCTGGGGAGGCCATTGCTCGTGGCTCCATTGATGGTCTCCCACTGGACATTCCTGGCGCCCTCTGGCAGGATGACCCGCACGACGACCTTTTCGTACTGGATACCCTCGGGGTTTTTGGGACCTTCAATGAAAGGCACTTTCAGGATGTAGGTTCCAGAGCTGCCGATGGCCTTCCGCAGGAACAAGGACAAGTCGTTGTTCCATCCAATACGGAAGCTATAGTTCCATCCGCCGAAAATAGGAAACCGAGGACGAAGCTCCAGGGATCCGTCACGGTTGGGGACCTTTCCGGGGCGGAATCGACTCGTCGAGACGTTGCCAATATCATCAGTGAAGTAGGGATCGACGGATCCAGGCTTCAACGGGAACGTGAGCTCACGCAGAGCAGAGGTAGGAAAGCCCTGGTAGGTGCTCACGGTCCACTCCAGGCGAGAAAACTGCTTCTCCAGTTGCGAGCCGTTGTTGCGCAGCCAGTAGCGCTCCTCGGTCGCCAGGTTGCCACCCCAGTGGGAGACCTCTATATCACGTTCAAGAAGGTGTGCGGTGAGAACGGGCTTTGTGAACTCGTACCGGACCGTAACAGGGTACTGGGTGCCGGGTGCAACCTTGGCAGTCTCATAAGGACCATACGTGTACACCGAACCCTGGCGTTCCGGGTCCTGGCCGGACTTGAGTCCAGTGGTGGTCGTGTAGTCGGGGACATTGACACTCGGCAGCTTTAGCTTCGTCTTCTGGTTATCAACAGGGTACGCCGAGAGCGCATAGGCCGAGAAAGTGTAGGCAAGGTACTGCTGCTCGGACTGGTGGATCGTCGCAGGGAGCGGGCTGAGGGAGGAGAGGACGGAGTAAGATATTCTCAGGGTGATTTGCGAAGACGGAGCCAGAGCGTCAGGGAATTGGACAACGTAGTAGTTGATATCACTAAGTTTGCAGGTATTGTTAGCTAGCTCCTTAAAATCCGTGATCGCGCATCCTCCTCCTTCAAAGGCACTTACTTGGATGAATCGGTCTCGATGGCTTCGGCATCGAATCTTCCCTTCTCTGGAGACTTCTTGTCTCTCACTTCGAGACCTCCAATCTTGCCAAACACGTCTGCCGGGAATGGGAGGTAGTACTCCCTCTGTGGCTTGTCGTCGACATTCTCGACCACCACATCAACGGTCTCCCGGACGTATCCTTTTTCGAGGTTTGTGTTCCGCAGAAGATTCAAATTCTTGAACACTTGCGGCGGCGTAAAATCATTGGGCAATTGCACGCGTGTGGATGACAGGTCGGATTCGGCGCATACTACGCTGCTGGGCAATAGTAGACCGCAGACCACTGCAGCTGCCGCGAAAAGCCTCATTGTGACGGATGGCGGTCCAGCAAAAGACCGCGCCGTGAAACAAAGGTCCTCACTGGGAGGGAGTAGAACGAAAAAACACAAAAAAGAGACGACGATGGAAGAATTGGATGGAATTGAGGAAAGGAGGGTCGGGCAAAACAACTATTGCGTACGCCGAAATGATGCTGAGGTGTCCTCGGCAGGACAGTTGACGCACTCCGCCTTTGCTTATCAGCAGCCGATAGACGCAGGAAAGCTTGCTCCAACAGCTCCCCCTCACGGTGACATGTTCTTCAGCCAGCTGCGTTTCTTTTCTACGTTGATCGTTGCTATAAAAAATACGCACATAATTTACTGTTGGAGATATTGAAATGATCGCTGTGCGAGCTGCGGCTCGGCTGCGTCAGAGGCCCTCATCCTCATGGTCGACACTCCCTCGCTGTTCACGGAGACGACAGCACGACTTTGCGAAGAGCAGATTCTTCAGAGTCTCCGAAGAGGTTCGAGATGCCGTGGCCACCGGGAAACCAGTTGTAGCTCTTGAAACGACAATTTATACCCACGGTATGATAGTGCGACCGATCTCAGACATGGAAAGTGCCAGGAGCTCATCAGGAAATTGATAATAGGCTTTCCATACCCGGATAATGTAGCTCTAGCTTCATCATTAGAATCGATTGTGCGAGCTCATGGCGGGGTTCCGGCAACCATTGGGATTTTGGGTGGTGTTGCACAGGTTGGAATGAGCGCCGAGCAGTTGATTGAGCTGGCCTCGACAGCAGCAGAAAAGAGTGCGTTGAAGGCCTCGCGAAGAGATTTAGGATATATCTGTGGCCTAGTAAGTACCTTTGTATGGATCTACGTCCGGGGGCTGCCTTTGCTCATTGAGACTCTGCTAGGGAATGGCTAGCAAGCCGCTTTACGGCGGGACTACCATTTCAGGGACAATGCTGCTCGCTCATTTGGCTGGTATTAAGATCTTCGGCACCGGTGGACTAGGTTTGTGATCCGAGCGCTATAAGTTTGAAACTGTTTCTTATTTTCGCTCAGGCGGTGTTCATCGCGGCGGAGAAGTGTCGATGGATATATCAGGTATGGGTCAAATTATCTGCATCAAAAAAAAAAAAAAAAAAAAAAAAAAACCATTGCTGACCTGAATCAGCCGACCTCACCGAACTTGGGCGCACTCCAGTTACTGTGATTAGCTCCGGCTGCAAGAGCTTCCTAGATCTGCCTCGGACACTCGAGTATCTTGAGACAGAGGGTGTCTGTGTGGCCACTTTTGCAGACGGCCGTGAAGGGCCTGTGGACTTTCCTGCCTTTTACTCAAGGGAAAGCGGCATTAAAAGCCCGAAGGTGATCAAAGATGAGAAGGAAGCGGCCGCTATTGTTTGTAGGTTTGATTCTGCCCTGCATTTTCCAAGAATTTGAGACTAATGTTTTAACTATAAAAACTCCAGACGCACAATCTAAACTTCCTGTTTCATCGGGCATCCATTTTGCGAATCCGGTGCCGCTAGAACATTCAATCCCGCGAGCTGAGATGGATGATATCATCGAGCAAGCTCTTCATCTTGCCGATATTGAGGGATATCATGGGAGCGACAACACTCCATTTGTTCTGGCGAAAATCAAGGAGTTGAGCGGCAACAAAAGCGTTGTTGCGAACAGAGCACTTGTTGAGAACAATGTGAAGCGAGCAACCAAGGTGGCGGTTGAGCTTGCAAAGTTGGAACAACTCGACAGCGAGATTGAGCGTCGGTGAGTACCATCGTTCCATTATCTGGCCTCAATATTTTACTGATTTCGGAGGTCGTATTATGTCCAGACCGACACCAGCGATGCCAATGATCGCTCCCAAACGAGAAGCGCTAGAAGCTCAACCTCCAAAGACGAATGATTTCGTTTCCGAAAAAATCGAAAAGGTAGACATCCTGGTCGCTGGGTCGCTCGCTATTGATCTTGCCTGTGACTACGCACCTCTGTCAAGGAGAGAAGGAGATATCACGCCAGTATCTCAGACTTCAAATCCGGCTGTTATCAGCCAGAGCCTGGGCGGTGTAGGTCACAACGTCGCCCTCGCTTCCAAATATGCTGGAAGTTCTGTTCTGTTCTGCAGTGTGGTAGCCGATGATTTCAGCGGTCGTGCGGCTCTCTCAGCACTACAGAAGGAGGAACTGTCACCAGTAGGCATTCAGGTTCTCCCTGACTCTGCCGGTTCACGAACAGCACAGTACATTGCGGTCAATGATGTGAAAAAGGACCTTGTCGTGGCGATGGCGGATATGAGCATCATGGAGCTTCCAGAGGATAAATTTGACTTCGACGATTTCTGGGAACCGTTGATTAGAGACACCAGGCCACAGTTTATTGTTGTTGACGCAAACTGGAGCCCTGCGGTGATCTCCAAATGGACCAGCCTCGCGAAGAAGCATAACATTCAAATTGTTTTTGAGCCCGTCTCAACTGCCAAGTCGTGCAGACTCTTCAGCAAACGCCCTGGGGATGGCGCAGCAATCGGAGCGACAAACGTCGTTCCTGAGAACTCGGTCACCATTGCCGCTCCCAACAAGTTCGAGCTATCTGCAATGTATACAGCAGCGCAGGAGAGTGGGCTTTTCGAATCCGACGACTGGTGGCGTGTGATCGATACCCTGGGCATGTCCTCTGCCGGTTCTCGGGACCGGCTCGTAGCGATGACCAACGCTAGTCTGGTGGACGAGGGTGTTCCCCAGCAGAGCATCCAGCTGCTACCCTATCTTCCGTGCATTGTCACGAAGCTTGGCGCCCAGGGCGTTCTTCTTACGCGACTCCTCCGCGCAGGGGATTCTGCATTGACTTCCCTCGAGTCGGCTCCTTATATCCTCTCTCGTGCTTCAACGGCAGATGGACTGATTGGCGGTGTATACATGCGACTGTTTCCGCCGGCGGAGGTTTTGGAGGAAGCAGATATTGTCAGCGTTAATGGAGCCGGCGATACCTTGCTTGGTGTCCTCGTTGCCGGGCTGGCAGGGGGGTCGAACCAGAGGCCCGAGGACTTGATTCCTGCTGCGCAGCAAGCCAGTGTCTTGACACTGAAGAGCGCGGGGGGTGTCAGCCGCGATATAGCTGTGATAAGCACTAGTAAATAATATGATATTCTCGGGTCATCGAAACTTTTTTTTCACCAGAATAAATGAGTATGTACTCGTCTATCATAAACCATATCTATAGACACAAAACTAAAGGAGAGAAGTGGCACTAAAAGCCGTCAACCACCTCTTATCCTGGACGACCTCGCCCGTGGCAAGGGCAGAAGAGGCCAGTCCTCCCTCGAGATAAACCGCATACGCCTCTCGGCGCAGACTCTGGCGCGCGACCTCACAGTCCACCCGGATATCCTCTACCAAGGCTTCCAGCGAGACATAATCGTATTCCGGCCGAATATAGCCCAGGATCAACAGGTTGAGCTGCGTAGAGTAAAAATCCGGCAACTTACAAAACGACGGCCGCCGGTGCTGCTTGTTGTTGTTGTTGTTGTTGTTGTCGTCGTCGCCGGGCGGCACGGCGGCCGTCGGTGACGGCGAAGATAAAGGCGGCATGATGTGGATTTCGACGGAGCGGACCGTATTCTTGTAGAAAGGGTTGTAGCCTATACTCAGCACTGCGGGGAGGATAGTCGCTACAGCACCCGCCGAGGAATCGGATTGTTGTTGTGTTTGTTGTTCTGCTTCTTCTTTGGCAGGATCGACCGTGTGTGCCTTTTCCGCGGCGAGGTCGTACACGAACCGCGTCGGGTCCAGGGCTACCACGCCGTAATACACGCCTGATTCTAGAGATGGGTATGCGTCCAATCCGTCGGGGGGGATATTAGCTGTTGGAATGCCGAGCTAGATTTATCAATGTTAGCGAGTCATTTTTGAAAATGAAAAGAGATATAGCTACCTCCTTGCTTCCCCGGCCGAAACCTTTGATCACCGGCCCTGATAGACGGATCGGAAATGGAGACGCGGGCCCGGTGTCTGGTCCGGCGATGGGGGCGCGGGGGGTATCGGGACGCATGGCGAAATGTAGAGCAGAATGAAAAGGTTTGAGAGGTTGCAAATCGAAATCGAAATCGAAATCGAAATGGTCGTGGGGGTGGTGGTGGTGATAGATGGCGGGGTGGATTATCGATAAGCATCCACGTCCAGTCATATCGTGCTTACTACCTAACATCCTCAACTAATAACTAAGCAGTAGCTATGAGTACCTAGATAGTGGGTGAAAAGGAAGGTCTAGCATCTATTCCATTCTATATTAAGTATATAGATCTGCTCATTTAATTCATGTCATGAAAGTAAGATACTATCATATAAGAACATTTTCGGCGCCGTAGATATCGTAGAACAAGAGAACAAAAACCGATCAATATGTACGTGTGGTTGGGTATGAAGGCGTGGCATCAAATACAGGGTAGAAACTGGAACAGTCAGCATGATTTCTATTTTGAAGAGGACGTTAAAGCGTGAAGAGGACTTACATTCATCACAATTAACATCGGGATATCGAACACATCTCTCTTGACCGTCCAGCAGTAAGCGCACTCGACTTTACCGTCCTTGAAGCCCAGCTGGTTCATGCCAGCCTCGCCCGCAATGCCGCCCTTGCGCAGATGGGCATTCCATTTCTGCTGCTGGCTGGCCCCATTGGTGGCCTCGTCCATGGACTGGGCCACCTCCATGTCCTCCTTGGTCTTGTACTTGAGCAGCTTGCACGTATTCATCACGCTGCCGCGCGAGTCCCCGAATGCCAGTCGCGCAAAATCCTCGTAGAACTCGACCACGCTCTCGTCGTCAAGCAGTTCGGCCAAGAAAACCGGCTGTGGTCGAGACGAAGAAGACCCTGGCGGAGCAGCGCCGCTGCTGCTGTCTTGTGTTGCGGTACTGCGGGGTGTGAAACTGCCGCGGGATGCAGCACTGCCACCCGTATTGACATTCATGTTGGATTCCTTGCCCAGCAGGACGTCCTTTTTCCAGCCGGTCAAAATGCTGAACTCCTTGCCCACGGCAGCGATCTCGCCCGTCCGGCGGCAGACAATCGTCGGTGTACCGCAGGCGTTGATGAAATCCTCATACTCCCACAGCGTGCGCTGGAAACACTTTTCCATGAAGATCAGGTCGTCCCGATTGAGCGTCTTGGTGGTCGCAATGAAGGATGGCCGAATCGACGCCAGCGCCTTGGCGATCTGTAGCGTCTTCTGTGGCGAGAATCGCCGCTGGATGAACGCCGTCAGGCTGTGAAACCCGCTCGTATACGCGTACGGCTCCCGCACGCTCTCGTAAATCGCCGACGGGTTGCGGTGGCGTCGCTTGGTCCCGGTCACCTGTAATGTCTGGTGTTTGAGATTCGGCGTCGAGATCACCGGCCGCTGTTGTTGGTGTTGGTGTTGTGGTTGTTGTTGCTGCTGCTGCCGTTGTCCGTTCGTAGTCAGCCCGTTCGATTTGTTGCTGATCGGCGGGGTGAAGGCGGTATCCTCGAATCCGGACTGCACCTGCGAACTGGCCGTGGTGTCCGGGCTCGTGAAATTTGTCGGTCCACTCTCGATGGCAAAAGCATGGGGCGCGTCCGGCTTAGACATGTGCCCGGTGAGCAGGTTGTTATTGTTATTCTGGCCGGCGGTAGGGTACACGCCACCACCCACGGTCACATGCGAGCCGGGTTGTCCGCTCGACCATTCGTTGAGCAACGGATCGCCAAACATGAACGGCTGTTGTGGTTGCGTGTGCGGGCTTTCGCCAAAGGTCGCCGCGGGAGTGGTTGAGGAGAACTGAGCCGAACCACTCCGGCCCATCGACCCCCGTTGCGTTGCCGAGTCACTGGGGGAGTCCCCCGCCCCCGTCGCCATGTGGCCCAGCATCCCAAACTCCAAGGCGCCATAGCGATTCTCAAAGTTCATGCTCGACAGATCAAAATTGAACAAGGCCGGATCGCTGGGGTCGAAAAACGGGCCGGCAAAGGGGTTCTGCGGCGTGGCCGCTGCCCCCGACACGGGGACGCTCGGCGGCTGCTGGCCCATCGAGGCCGGCAGGGCGGGATTCTGCGGGGTCGTGCTGGTCTTCAGAGCAAAGCTTGGCGAGACGGGCGACTGCGTGGTGGTGAAGGGACTCTGGCCGATAGGGCTATCCTGGTAGATACTGTACGATGCCGACTGCGGACCCGCGTAGAAGGCAGCACCGGAAGTCTGCTGTGTGACGGCGGGGTTCACAGCATTGGTGCCATTGCGAGACATGGGGAGACTGCCGTTGCTGCTGTTGCTGCGTATGGGGTTACTGTAGAAATTACCGCCAACACCGGCCATCAACGCTCCGTCGGGCGCGTCGTGGAGGTATTTGGCCTTCTTGCGGACGCCATCATGGCACGCATCCTGCAAGCCACGCTTGATGCATCGTTGACACGGTCTCTCGTCACCTAGAAGAGAAAAGAAAAGAAAAAGAAGACAAAATCAGCATCTCCCTCCGCACGTCCAACCCCTCCTTCCAAAAGCAATGAACGTACCACACGTCAGATGGGCGCGCTGACATGCGAAACAAGCCCGCCGCGCCTTTTTCCTCCGTGGTCGTGAGGGATCTTTGGCGTTAACCCCGGCAACGGTCTTCTGGGCGCCGGCTGCCACCCCGTTCGACTCCCCGTTCATCTTGGATTCGGAGCGTTCTGCCACCTCTGCGGGATCCCGGTCTGGACCACTACGGCTCTCCGATGGGGATTCTGACATCTCTGGATTAAGGTCCATATGGGATCGATCGATCGACCAGGCAGCCACGTGGTTCTGTATCGTGTTGCAATCGAAATTTTTTTTCCCCCCAATTCTCCTCTTGACCACCCCGGGGGGTTCCCTTTTTCTACCGCTCCCTCCAAAGCACTTCCTCACTGCGTTCTAGACGAGCGCGTAGGAGCGGATCCAGATTGCCGACCGTTGGGGATCGTGGTGTCCAGCGCGAGAGCAAGTCGACTGTAGTACCGCGTCCTGCCCGAATCGACATATAAGGATTGCTCGGGGAAGGGAAAGTAGAAAGAGGGGGGAGAAAAAACCACAGCTGACAGCTCTGGCGTCCGAATCTGTCGGTGTCGGCTCAGAAGCGTGAAAACGGTCGAGCGGCGACAGGGTCGGCGCAAACGACCTATGAGCAGCGATCGCAGGCTATCCTCGACTTGTACTCCGTAGGGCCGTGCAGGAAGTACTAAGCAGCACAACTCAGACGATGGACTGGGGGATGGAGGGGGGGGGGGTTTCCTGGACCCGCGAGGGCGCTTGCAAGTTGGTGACAGGCGGAGGGAGATCTGCGTTGGCGGCGACCGGAGGATAGGAAAAGGAACTGCGGGGGGGCAGAAAAAAAAAACAGGCAGAGTTGAAGTCGACGCGAGACGAGGATGATGCGACCGAGGCACACGCGACCACGAGAGACCGGCTGCGGATGGGGAGGGGAAATTCGGCCGACAGGAAGAGCAGGGGGTTATCAACAAAGGAAGCAATTCATTAGAAAGGAGAGGAGAAGAGAGATCCAGATGGAGGGGAGTGCTGTCGGTCGTGGCGGGGAATGGAGAGGGAACGAGCTGGGAGAAGATGAGTTTGGGCGGATTCCCGTGACGTTGATTAGTCGTCTTAGAGCAGCATCAGGATCCCATAGTCAATTTATATCGACACAGAGAGTGTATATCTATCACCTTCTATACAAGTATATATATAGAATATTGACGTTAACTAGCTAAAAGTCGTGTAGTTCTAGCTATCCATTTGCGTTGCAGCAGTCAAATCAATAGTATTCTAGAAATAAATCAAATCATCCAGATCGCTGCCCAAGCAGTTCAGTCGATTTATCAATAATGCAGGGTTGATCCTCGCCTTGTACAATCTGTTTCTGCAGAGTACGGGGTATATATAGTATGTAAGATACTAGAATACGATATTTATATTTTCTTTATTCCTTTCTTTTTCATGATAACTCAGAATCCCGACTCCATCATATTCATTTCATGTGAAGCTTCAATATAAGATTAATGCCTCAGGTATCCACAGTTGGGCCACTTACTCTTGCTATCGGAAGATCCAGGAAGCCTCCGGTCCCTCCCGAGGTCGACCTCTGGCAATACTGGGTAATAGAAATTATATGCCTCGGTTACATTCAGGTAGATAGGCAGAGATCAGCTGCCAGTTATGATTGAAACAGTGCTGTTTTTCTAGAAGAGATCACCTGCAGTTCGTATTGTGTGTACCTTACTCCAACGTATTCTCCGGCTGCTTCTTTGCATGGTGCTCCGTACTCCGTACCAGGTGTCCTGGGAGTCTGCATAGGCAGCTGCAGCAAGGTACAGGGATGGAGGGCGTAGGTTTTCTGCCAGCCTTGAGCAAGGTTGATCAGAATACTCCGTACAGAGCACACAGCAAGGATAGACTGGGTTCGCTGGACTGGACAGACTCGAGATATTTCAGCCTTATCTTTGTAACATCAATTGATCCCAATGTAACACACAGAGCATAAACCGTCCTCTGATAGAAGTTTCATAGTGACTCAGAGCTGTCAGATGATGATGCCGATGATGGAGTCCTAGTGTTGAAGCTGGTATTCGGTCTTTGCCAATCTTTCGGTACGGAGTAGTAGGCACAACACTGGGGTGAGAACGGAAGGTCATTTCGCATCTATTATAGGCTCATTGTCCTTCAGTTCATGGGGTTTTTTTTCAATCTGCTTGAAATATCTGTATATTCTGCAGAAGGTACCCATACTGACTTTGAAAATTAACTAACACGTAGAGAGAGATACAGACTTCAAAGTGAAGAGTACAGAAAATTGAAGCTATTCTATATTAGTCCTAGTGCAGATCATGATCCACTGATATATGACTAACTGTATATGGACTAGCTCATCTGGAAGCTATTGAGGTACAATTTATGTACGTAGTACAGTTTACCTTTATTCTATCTTTGTTCCATCAACTCTCTCAGCAGAGAAGCTATCAAGTCTTATCGAGGATCCAAATCATAGGATGCAAGTAATACCCCTCTCAGACAGCAGTGCTAACCCTCTTTCTGTCATAGTTCCTCACTGAGCTTCGACATCCTCAAGCTGCTTCGATTAAGCGCGCCTAGCTTCTGTGACGTCCGGCAATCGGCCCTCTTGAATATCAGACCTCTCTCAAGAAGCCCAATTGGGAGGTTTACTGGGTCTATATTGTCGTGTGGTCTATCACGTAATTCGTCAATAGATTGATCTTTCAACATACTCGTACGGAGTACACTGGAAGAGATAGACTGATTCATAGAAGAGAAAGATAGGGAATAAAATTAGTCTTACGATATGCTGCCCTTTTACCTAAAGCACACCAACTCATACTTATAGAAATCTTATTTGCAGCGTCCAAGATGCCACTTATAGCGTAGTATTAGGTACAGTAAGTTGGTGGTTTTATTCAGAGATCAGCACTACTAACCTTGCCACGGCCCACATGCTGACATACAGATAAGAGAGAATAAAATAACACTCTCTCCTGCAGTCATATCCCACTATACAAAGGAGTCAACAAATCCAGGTAATCAATCTTCAGGATGCAAATAATCCTCCAACTACCCCCGGGTCCTATCGTCACCCGTAACAGCTGCCTTACCTCCCCCGCATCACAGGAAATACCCCAACCATTCCTTGACGCCCGACAGATTCGCATCCGCGTCTTCTGCGAAGAACAGAACTGTTCCCTCGAGGGAGAAATTGACGAAGACGACCCACGTTCCTGGTCATGGATTGCCTACGAGACAAGCGAAAGCGACAATATTAATAACAATCACAATAACAGTTCCGAACCCGTTGCTACGATCCGTATTGTCCCCCCCCCGCACGCACCACACCCGAACGGTTTCCACGATCCCACAGAAGAAGCATATATCAAACTCACGCGCGTCGCGACCCTCCCGCACGCTCGTGGGAGGGGGCTCAGCAGGATCCTCCTCGCGAGAGCGTGCGACTATCTCGCGCAGAGACCGGATGAGGTCTCCCCCGAGTGGAACGGGCTCATCCTCACGCATGCCCAGGTGGATGTCGAGGGCATGTATCTCAAGCTAGGCTTCGTCACGGATGAGAGACTCGGAAGATGGGATGAGGAGGGCATCCAGCATTTGGGGATGTGGAAGAGGATAGATGTGAAGAGATATACCTAGGTGGTGAGAAATGGGTAGAGAGCTAGATACTATTTCTTCTAAGCATGTCCAAGTAGAGACGTATAACATTATCTATACTACCAGTACCTCATACAAGATCCACCCTGAATCAGCAAAAAGTCCCAAAAGTCAACCTTTTGAATCCACAAGTCGCAGCAATCACCCCAGGTATCGATACGCCGAACAACCAAATCCAAGCAGCAAAGAAAACCGAGAATCGAATCAACTATCGGACCACACTGTACAAAAAGAAAATCTCCAAACTTAGGCTGTCGGCGCGGCGGGCTGGCTCGACACCTCCTCCGCCCAAGAACCCCAAAGAGCCGGCTTGCCCCGGATCGCCAGCGGGCCGCCGATCGTCTTGGGCTTCTGCTCAACCTTGACTGCATCCTTGGTCGCAAGGACGAGAACTTCGAAGAACATCTTGGTCGCGTCGGCCTTGGTCGATCGCTTCTCGGGGAGAAGGTCCTGGAACAGGACACTCGTCTTGGTGTTCTGCTCGTCTCCGAGCCGCTCACGCAGTATGTGCACCGCGTGCTTGGTGCCAATCGAGACAGGCCCACTGTCGGCCGCATGCACGATCGTCGTCTCATCGTAGTCCTCCGCAGCCTGGGGCATCCCTTCGTCGTCGCTGCCGTGCAGGATTTGATCTCCTTCGTCGCCGGGGAACTCGATCTCGTCCGGTTGGTTGATAGTCGTGTCGACATAAACGCCTTCGTCTGTCGGGACCAAGCCTTCTTCTTCTCCTTCTTCACCAAGCTCAAGACGAGGTACCAGAGCTTCCTCCACATCCATATCCGCAATGCCACTATCACGCTTTCTCTTCAGTTCACCGGCCTTCTTCACCGAGTCAAACGAGAGGAGCGCACGAAGTTCGGGAGCCCAGCCACGTCCTCGGCCTTCGCCCAGCACGCTGGAAACAAAGTCTCCGTTCTTCTGTTGGTTCATCAGAGTAAGCAAGACCGGGTCACGAGGGAGGAAAGACACCGGAACCAAAATTTCAGACCTGTCCGCCTGCTGTTCGCGGATCTGGTGGGTCTTGAGCATAATGTCCGTGTCGGCTTCGATAAGCTTGCGGCGCTTGGCACGTTGGTCGTGTTGAGCAGCGGCCACCTCTTCGTCATCTCCAGCTTGCTCGGCCTCTTCTTCCTGGAAGATAGTGTCATCGTATTGGTTGACTTCTTCGCCATGGTCAGACAGGGGTGAGAGCGAGTCACGTTCACGTTCGGGCCCTCGGGCGCCAGAAGTGTGCACATCCAGTTCGCCGTCGGGACCGAGATCCATTCCATCTTCATTCTGCAGAAAGTTGTCCAAGTTGTCGTGAAGGCCATCTCCACCGAGGTCCATCTTGTCCAACGGGGCATCATCATCTCCAAGATCCAAAGGCAAGTCAACGTCGTTGAATTTTCCGCTATCACTGAATAGATCTTCCTCCACAGGGCGAGGAGCAGGGGCATCTCGACCAACTTCCATGCTGAAGTCATGGCCCAGAGGGGTTTCGTCCTCGCCCAAGTCCAGGTCGACAAGAGTGTGGTCTTCCAAGCGGGCAGGTTCTTGGGAGACAGAACGGCGGAAGCTGCTATCAGGGAGCAGCTGGCTTCCAAAGTCCATAGAGGATCCAGGACGCTTGCCGTCTGACTCCAGATTAAGCGTTTGGGGTAAGAGAAGAGCAGCATCCAGGTTCATAAAAAGGTCCGATTCCGTCAATACGTCCGGCAGCGTGATGCCACCCGGGGCCACAACAGTGGACGCCAGATCATTGTTGTTTGTCAACCGGAAAGCCTGTATAATAATATTAGCGGACGTGATCTTGTTTTCATCGTCTCTCATAAAAAAAAGAAAGAAAAAGACGTACCATCTTGATCTTCATTAAAGCTTCATTGCAGTCATCTAACAGATAGCGAGCCTTGCGGCTATAGATACGGACCACACCCAGCAAAAGTTGACCACTCAGCCGTAAGGCCATCGGTGCCTGGCCCTGATCCACGATCGCGCTAACACTGCTCTCAATATCCGACTGCAAGATGTGAGACTTGGACAGTTTCCGCTCCAGATTGGCGGACAGCCAGACGCGAGCCAGCGGGCCTGTCTTCGACAGGAGAGTCTCCGAATAAAACATGGCGGCGAGTCCCAAAAAAAGATAGTTTAGACAAGACTTCTATGAAGAAAACCCGCCTGGCGCGGGACGGTGGATATTGGAGCCCTCAGGCAGCTCAAAAGCCGGATGACGCGCTCCGATCCAGAAAACGGAAGATGGAGGCGGCGAGGCTCCGTCTGCTGGCGACACGCGCACAATAACACACCGGATAGAGCGTCGATCCAAAATTCAAGCGATTCCAACGGCGTCGTCGACCGCTTTCGATGCGGAGGGGTGGGAGGGGCGGTTGGTTCGGGACGAGGAGCGAAGATGTCGCGTCGTGAAAGGCGGGCGAGGGCGAGTCAAGATGAGACGAGGTGGGTTTAGTGCGCTGGTTGCCCAGCCTCCCGCAACCCAAACCCAAAACAGGACGAGGCATGTGGCTGGGATCACGTGATATAGATCATCTGATTTGATTATTAATGAATAATTACTAAGCCGATCAGCTGATTTTTGTGTTGATGCCTCAGGCTACAAGGTGTAGACACGCTAGGCCTAATGCAGGGCTCAATCGGACCAAGTAAGTCTCCGAGCCCTCTAGGCCGCATAGGGGAAAGCAGCATCAACCGCTGGCCAGCCTGCGACAAAGGCAGCTTGGGAGAAAAGAAGTCTAGACGTGTCCACCCAGTTTCAGACGAATCCATAAAGAAAGCCTGTGGTCTCCAGCTGCAATTGTTTTACATCGCACTTGCATACATTTGCTGCTCTACTCTCTTACTCTCGAGTTGTCGCTATTCTTCGTGCAACCGCCGAGCCGTCTCTGAACGTGGCTCCTCGTGTACTCTGTTGTAGTCCGCCTTCTACGTGATGAGAGTGCGTCTGGTCTGATTACTCTACGTTTTCTTTTTCCTTTCTTTTTTCCTTCTTATTCTTCTTCTTCTTTTTCCTTCTTCTTTTTTTTTGGATCTATTTCGTCACAAAGCATGAGAGATGTCAAGGTCTGAGACGCCTGCGCTACCTCTGCATAATGCCCAAACCCCCGTTCCAAGACCCTCGTCCACAACGCCCGCGAATTCACGGTCAGCGTCGACATCTGCAGTAAGTTTTGGTGTCAGAGTTGTTCTCTATCGACGCCGTTGCTGTGATGATGCTAAATATATATTTGTTTACAGCTGTCTACTTCGACATACTCCTTACTGAACCCCCAAGAAACCGCCGAGCGTTTACAGACATCACTACTCCACGGATTGACTCCCGCCGAAGCAGAAGCACGACTGCTGCGCAATGGCCCCAATGAGCTTCCACACGAGGAACCGGAGCCGCTCTGGCTCCGGTTTCTCAAGCAATTCAAGGAGACCCTGATCCTGCTGCTGCTCGCCTCCGCAGCGATTTCGTTTTTCATGGGCAATTACGACGACGCCATCAGCATTACACTCGCCGTGACCATTGTCGTTTCGGTTGGCTTTGTGCAGGAGTATCGCTCAGAAAAGTCGCTGGAGGCATTGAATCGTCTGGTCCCCCACTATGCACATCTGATCCGCGACGTGCCTTCTGGGGACGTGTATGAAGCCGTCAATTCGCTAGCCATGGATAGCACGGCGGACGTGGAGTTGCGTGAACTCAGGAGCAAGAGTCCCAGTTCTGCGGTCAAGGCCTCTAGTACGGTTCCGGCATCTCAGCTTGTTGCGGGAGATTTGGTTCTGTTTACGACGGGTGACCGCATACCGGCAGATATCCGGATCACTGCCGCCACTGACTTGAGCATCGATGAATCAAACCTGACTGGAGAGAACGAACCGGTGATCAAATACGCAGAGGCGCTGCGTAGTCTCAATGGTTTATCGGCTCACACACCTCATACCCCCAAGTTCGTCTCGCCTCCGCGATCGCCGTTTTACGATGCACCGGCCAGCGGTGCCGTTGGAGCTGATATTCGATTGAACGAACAACACAACATCGCATTCATGGGCACTCTGGTGCGGTCCGGATATGGACAAGGTATCGTCATTGCTACTGGTGCAAAGACGGAGTTTGGAAGCATCTCCGCCTCTCTGCAGGAGATTGAAAGCCCTCGGACTCCGCTTCAGCTGTCTATGGATCGACTTGGTCAGGAATTGAGCTACGTATCATTCGGTGTTATTGCATTAATTGTCTTTATTGGGCTATTGCAAGGCCGGAAGCTTCTTGAAATGTTCACCATTGGTGTGTCGCTCGCTGTCGCCGCCATTCCAGAAGGATTACCGATCATCGTCACGGTCACTCTGGCATTGGGCGTGCTGCGTATGGCTAACAGAGGCGCAATCATGCGCCGACTGCCGAGTGTTGAGACTTTGGGCTCGGTGAATGTTGTCTGTAGCGACAAAACGGGCACGCTCACCATGAACCATATGACCGTGACCAAGATGTGGCACTTTGACTGCCCGGAGCCGTTTGAGGTGCATAAAGACATATCCTCTCTGACCCCCGGCCCAGCGGCTCGGACCGTCCTCCGCGTGGGTAATATCGCTAACAACGCTCGACTCTCCCGTGTTCATGCCAACTCGCCCGCCAGTGCCTCGTCCGCTGCTGTGCTTTCCTCGACGGTCGACAGCTCTTCCGGTGCTGCGAAAAGTCGCTGGGTAGGCCAGCCTACGGATGTAGCCATCTTGGATCTCCTAGATACATTCGGTGAGGATGATGTGCGTGATCGGATCAGCGCCCGGGTCTCGGAAACTCCCTTTAGCTCGGAACGCAAATGGATGGGCGTAATTATCGGCAGTGGGACCCCCGGCGATCCTTCCTCTTATAGTGCGCCGGGAGGAACGGATGTCGCATACATCAAGGGTGCTCTTGAACAGGTGCTTCTACGATGCGATACCTACCTGACGAAGGACGGCCGCGAGGTTATCCTCGACGAGCCTCGCCGCAAGATAGTCCGACATGCCGCTGAACAGATGGCAGCAGAGGGGCTGAGGGTTCTTGCGTTTGCGAGCGGCGCGGTACGGGATGTTTCCAGGGGCCGGTATGGCAGCCGATCAGGGACGCCTGTTCAAAAGGCAGGTGCGTCCAGTGACGATGATCGGTATACCGGTTTAGTGTTTGCAGGATTGGTTGGTATGAACGACCCGCCTCGCAAGGACGTTCACAAATCTATTCGACGTCTCATGGCCGGAGGTGTTCATGTTATCATGATTACCGGCGATGCGGAGACCACGGCAGTTGCCATCGCGAAGAAACTCGGTATGCCGGTCAATGACTCGCCGGGCTCCAAGTCTGTCCTTCGAGGCAGTGAGATCGATCATATGACGGCCGAGGAGCTTGGCCAAGCCATTTCGACGACATCGATTTTTGCTCGCACCAGCCCGGATCACAAACTGAAGATCGTTCGGGCCCTTCAATCGCGAGGAGATGTCGTGGCCATGACAGGCGACGGAGTGAACGACGCCCCAGCCCTGAAAAAGGCCGACATTGGCATTTCTATGGGCAAGCTGGGTACAGACGTGGCCAAGGAAGCTGCGGACATGATCTTGACGGACGACGACTTTTCCACGATCTTGCGGGCCATTGAACAGGGCAAGGGCATTTTCTATAACATCCAGAACTTTATCACGTTCCAGCTGAGCACGAGCGTTGCCGCGTTGAGTCTGGTCTTGCTAAGCACAACGTTGGGTTTCAAGAATCCCCTGAATGCGATGCAAATCCTCTGGATCAGTGAGTATTTTATTCCATTTACAATATCTATACAAAAAAAAAAGTTCTTCTACTTACCAACCTAGACATCCTCATGGACGGCCCTCCGGCACAGTCCCTGGGTGTTGAACCCGTGGACCCATCGATCATGAACCGACCACCACGACCCAAGCATGCGCGTGTGCTGACGAGACCTCTGATCCAGCGAGTGCTGACCTCCGCCTTTGTTATTATGCTCGGCACGCTGGCGATCTACATCTACGAGATGGGAGATGAGGACGACGTGCTCAACCCGGGCAAGCGGCAGCGGGTGGTGACGGCGCACGACACGACGATGACGTTCACCTGCTTTGTGCTGTTCGACATGTTCAACGCGCTCTCATGCCGCAGCGAAGGCAAGTCGGTGCTCCGCGGCGAGCTTGACCTATTCGGCAACAAGATGTTCAACTACGCTGTTCTGGGCTCGCTCGCGGGCCAGGCGTGCGTGATCTACGTCCCCTTCCTGCAGCGGGTTTTCCAGACCGAGGCGCTCGGTCTGGGCCATCTATTCAAGCTGGTCTGTCTGTCCAGCTCGGTCTTCTGGGTCGACGAGGCCCGCAAGTACTATCGAGCTCTCCAACGGCGGAGATCCGTGGGGGCAGGCTACAGCACAAATGTGTGATCACCTTACCTGTGCAGCCCCTTGCGAGCTTCTGTTTATATGGAGTGTTCTTCTTCTTTTTTCTTTTTTTCTTTCTCTTCTATTCAACTTTCCTTCCTGGTAATTAAATGCAATGTACAGCGGTTCATGTAATAGGCGGGACCATTTGTCCCGAAGAAGTGATGACTTATATTGATCATTATAATGGCTGGAGGCGGTCTTGCATGGGAGGGAAATCTCTCTGGTTAATGTACCTAGCAGTTGATACATACTAATAGACATTCGCATGATGGACTTGTATAGAGCCTTGGACATATAATATTAAATACACTGTGACGACCGGAATTACTATATAATAATCTAGTAGTATGATGTCTCACCTCGGAGCTAGATCCTGCTGACTAACATCTCCAAGTCCCGGGGCACTCCGTCCTCCGGACGAAAACAAACCACGGAGGAGAAATTTCTGGAAGGGAAATCCTTGGAGCCTCTCCATATTGAGTGCATGAGAAGCGAGCGGAGGGCGCGGAGGGCCGATGTCGTCCCTGGAATTCCCGACGGGCGCGGGAAAACGCGGGGTGGAGGACGGGCGGCGTCCGAGACCTTGCTACTCCGTACCGGACCAGTAAGTACGGAGTACTAGGTACGGAGTACTAGGTACGGAGTACTAGGTACGGAGTACGGAGTAACTACGAAGCCTGTAATGTAAGCCTTAAGGCCCTCCGAGGTGAAGCCGTTGAGGCTGCTGGTAAGGTAAACCTTAGGCCGACCGGCCGGGGTGGTTCAGGCCACCCGACGAATGAACAGACCGCGAGGTGGCTTATCTTGGACGAATCACAGCACGGGTCTATCTTGTGAGAAAGACTCGGGGCTAGTCCTATTACGGCGCAGCAGGTGTCTCTGCGCTAGTCCCGAGGCGGGAAAGGGCGTCCTACATACGGGTACAGATCCACTCTTGGCAAGGGTGGCGACCAAGGGCTTTATCTCTAGCCAATCAGGGCATTTGAGCGACAGCATCATTCATCCAATTGCTCGCCAGGTTAAGATAAGGTCTCATTGTAGGCCTTACGGAGAGGTAGTTGGTTACCAACTAGGTAGGTACTGTAGCTAGGTACGGAGCACAGTAGGAGTCTATAGTGAATCGCTGGGGGCCATTCTTCTATCTCTATCTCTACGGAAAGCCGGCAGAAAGCGTTATCAGGATTGCCTTTGAGATAACTGCCATATAGTTACTCCATAGATAGATAATAGTAGAGCTGTCCAGTCCTGGAGATAGCTAGATACCTAATCTGTCAGCTTAACTTCTACCTACTTAAAGGCTGATGCATGGCCCAGATCGGCGTCAGACGTTCTTTTTCCTTGGAAAAAGTGCTGCCACCAGATGCTCTGACACTCACGGGCCTGCCAAGATCCGGTTGCCAGAAGAAACAAAAATAATTTTGTCACGGTTGGATCCCACACTTACCCAGTTAGGGACCTGAGGACGTTACCAGGTAACTAATACGGAGTACTATTACAGGTACCTACTAGGTACCTAGGTAGGTACGGAGTACTAACAGGTACCACTACAGAGTACCTACTAACAACATACTGAGGTATCTTACTAGGTACCTAGGTAGGTACAGGTACTTAGTTAGTACCTGTACTCAGAAACAGGCTTGGGCTACTAATCATGACGCAGAGCAATCCCTACAAGCGCGGGATTTGGATCCAGAGGAAAGGTTTCGTCAAATGGCGGTTCCTGGAGGTATAGCGGAGGTTTGGCGGAGGTTCTCATATCAGTTACTGATGATAATCGGATTATGTACTGATTTCTTGCCACAATCAATACCATACGTACGTTACCTCTCTTCAGTCCTTTCTCATAACTACCACATGGTTAGGTCCATACGGATTAATACTGATCTGTATAGAATTCTATAGATTAAATTGATCAATGAGACAATTGAATTAATCATGAACTGCCTGCTCTGCTGATCTTTCTCTCTATACTCTGCCTTTATCAGTCTTTTTTTTTCTTTATCCGCAGCTGGCACCATCAATTCTATTTTTTTGGAACTTAAAAACTTAACTAACTGCAGCTGGTGTTTTACTCTTATTTTTTTTTTCTTACTACTACCTCTTTTTTTCCCCTGGGGCTTATTATTCCTCTTGTCTGAGTCCCGTCGATCGATCCGTCATTCATCCAGGCCCACTCAGGCCCAAAGTCTGGAATGACTGGAGTCGTTTGGAGTGCGTACCCAATATATATCCTCCGCTTTCTTCCTTCCCTGTGGCGAAAGGAGTCAAGTCAACCTTAAAGAGCACCCGGTCCGCTCCCCCAAGTCCTATTTGACTTGGCTGTCTTCTTGCTGCCTTTCTGCCTGTCATTCTGCTCCACTCGAAAAGGTGGAGTCCAGATTGAGCGAGAAAGAGAGAGAGAGAGAGAAGAAAGAGTGATTCGATTTTGTTTCCTCCGACTTGTCGTCCTCCCAGTCCCTTTTTTTCTCGTCCTTTCTCTCCGATAGGAAATCTTCATCCTGACTGCATATCTGCATGTGAAACCCTCCCTTACCTACCATTTTTCTTTTTTCTCTCTGTTCTGCCGGTCTTCCTAAACCTCTCGGATTCTGTATTTTCCGCAAATCCGGCACCAGGAGCAGCAGCAGCATGGCTACCTCGCAAGGCGTCGCACCATTCACGCCCGAATACGCATCCTACAACTGGACGGGGGCTCCATCGGACTATGGGTTAACTACAAATGAGGCATTGGGTGGAAATTCACGTACGTGAAAGTCAAGGATCTTCCGGAGAAATCGGGGACCATACAAAATACAGGATACCGTGATACTAAGACAGCTTTTTTTTTATCTTTTTTTTTACAGGAACGGAAAATGTCAATAAATGGTTTCAATCGGGCGATCAGGCCTACATTATTGTGGCCTCGGCGATGGTGATGGTGATGGTGCCGGGTCTAGGCTTCCTCTACTCCGGTCTTGCCCGCCGCAAGTCTGCCCTGAGTATGATTTGGGCCTGTATGGCGTCCATGTCGGTCATCACCTTTCAGTGGTACTTCTGGGGATACTCGCTCGCCTTCTCGCCGACGGCTACCAACGGTTACATTGGCAACCTACGCAACTTTGGCTTGATGAATACTCTAGCGGCTCCGAGTCCGGGCTCGCCGCTGATCCCGGACCTTCTCTTTGCTTTTTACGAGGTAGACCTTTTTTTTCATTTCTACACCGGCGGAGATATTTGGGGCTGACTTTTCAGATGCAATTCTGTGCCGTGACAGCTGCAATTGTCATGGGAGCGGTTGCCGAACGTGGCCGACTTCTCCCCGCGATGGTGTTCACTTTTATTTGGGCGACCGTTGTCTACTGTCCACTCGCCTGCTGGGCGTGGAATGCTAATGGGTGGGCCTACAAGTACGGCGTCATGGACTACGCGGGCGGCGGGCCCGTCGAGATCGGATCCGGCCTGTCCGCCTTTGCCTACTCGATGGTTTTGGGCCGCCGGCAGGAACGCATGATGCTCAACTTCCGCCCACACAACGTTTCACTGATCCTACTGGGAACCGTTTTCCTGTGGTTCGGATGGCTAGGCTTCAACGGTGGTTCCGCCTTCGGAGCCAATCTCCGGGCTACCATGTCCTGCTGGAATTCCAACCTGACCGCCGCCTTTGCAGCCATCAGCTGGGTCATCCTCGATTGGCGTCTGGCCCGGAAGTGGTCGATGGTCGGCTGGTGTTCGGGAACGATCTCGGGTCTCGTCGCTGCCACCCCTGCCTCAGGATTCATCACCCCGTGGGCCAGTGTCATCCTCGGTATCGTTACGGGCATCGTCTGCAATTATGCGACAAAGGGTAGGCATTATATATCACTCCCATATAGATAAACTCGTCTCTAACATGATATAGTTAAATACTGGGTGCGCATCGACGATTCGATGGATGTGTTGGCCGAACACGGCGTCGCCGGAATCGTCGGGCTCATATTCAACGCATTCTTCGCCGACGATGCGATTGTCGGCCTGGACGGAGTCAACACGGGAACTAAAGTTGGTGGCTGGGTGATCCACAACTGGAAGCAGCTCTATGTCCAGATCGCATATGTCGTCGCAACCTGCTCCTATGCATTCGTCATGTCCGCCATTATCGCCCTGGCCATCAACGCCATCCCGGGACTCAAGCTGCGGGCGTCCGAGGAGGCCGAGCTCCTCGGTATGGATGACGACCAGCTGGGCGAATTCGCCTATGACTACGTGGAGGTGCGCCGTGACTACCTGGCCTGGACGCCACAGAAGCACGACCAGCTGGAGGACGGCCACGAGATCCCTGCGCACAGCCGGTACGGCATCGGCGAGCATAGCGAGATGATGCTTGAGGGCCACGCGCCCGCCCAGATGAGCAGCCGCGGGGAAAGCCAGGACGATGGCATCCAGGAGGTCAAGATCCTTCCGCCAGCTCCCCGACAGGTTGCCGAACAGACCCGTGCTGGTGAAGCCGGCGGTCTTCCCCCTTCAAACCCACAGGTGTCCGCTGAAAAATCCGGTTAATAGATCATCTTCTCTGCTGCGTTTTTTTGCCCTTGTTTTTCGTCCGGCGTTCTCCCTTCCCCCCCCCCCTTCTTTTCTTTTTTTCACGGCATTTTCCCATGATTCCCACCGTGTAATATTCGGCCTCTACCAGCGACACCTGTGTTTATATTTTTTTTTCCCTCCTTGTTACCTCTTCTCCGTCTTTCATATCGTTTGCACACGATATACACCTCCCATCTAGCCTGGGGCTGGATGATGACGTTTTTTTACGTTTCTACACCAAAAAAAGAGAACGGCATGGGGGATGGTATTTTTATGTTCGGAGTTGTGGGCTTGTACATATGTTAGAGGATCTGGTCTTGGCTTGTGATACCACACTAAATATAATAAATTATATAAACTGCACTCCTAGTAACAGTGGAAGAGTCACTCTATATGACTTGTAGTGTATATATGCAAATCAAAACTAATAGAATGTACAGAAGGATACAAGAGAGAGAGAGAGAGAGAGAGAATATCAAACAATTTGCCTAAGCATGCCTCGCACCCGGAGACGCTCCTCGGCATTCAACCGATCGACCAGCTCGGCAGCGTCGCCGCCGCGCACGACCTCCTCCCATTCGTCGTCCTCCATGCCCATCAGGAGCACGATCTGCACGCAGCGCGCAAACGCCTCGCGATGACGGTACCGGCCTGCACTCTGGGAACCGCCGATATCGATCGCCGCACTCACGATGCCTGAAACGTCGCGTTCGAGGCGCGTGGTGCCCAGCGCGTTGACGCGGCCGTGGTACGCCCACAGACGCTTCTCGAGCAGGCGCGCCAGGTACGCGACCGTCACGGCGAGGAGGCGGTCGAACGCTGTAGGCGTCAGGATCCGGGCGATTGGGGACAGGAGCTCTGACCAGGCGGCTGCGAAGCGCGGGCGGACTAGTTCCGCCTCCGGGGAGGAGGTGGAGGAGGAGGAGGGGTCGCCGCCGTTCGTGCCTGGACCGCCTGCGCCGTCGTAGTCGGCGATATGGTCGGCTTCATCGTTGTCGTAGTCGTGGTGGTCGTGGTAGTAGGCTGTGGTGCCTGTTGGGTCGCGGTCGTCACGGGGCTGGTATTCAATGTCACGGAAGGAGTCGGAGAGGATCGGCCGCAAGCGGTGTTTGATCACATTGTTAAAAACTACCTGAATGCCGTCGGAGAGTAGGTCGTTGACTTTCGCTTCAAATGAGGATGTCAGGGACTGCAGGGTCTGCGAGACCTTGGCCGCCTCGGAGGCAAGAGGGAACAGAGAGTGCAGCGCGTTCGCTTCGCTGCTGGGCTCGGTGTGCGTTTGCACAATCCGCCGGATATAGTCGACGGCAACGTCCAGGTTGTTGATCAGGACCAGGAAGGAAATGACAATCTGCTCTGGCGGCTGCCCGCCCTGGACTGTTGCTTTCGGATAGCACTCGTCGCGCATCTTCCGCTGCGTCATCCCGATGAAGTCGGATCCCAGCACGCGGGACAGCGTCGGCACCACGTTCATCACCACAGACAGCTGCGAGGTTGCCAAGGATTGCTGCAACACCTTGTTCACAATATACATGATGTCGTCTACTGCCGAGGTGATGTGTGGAGGGTCCGCTTTCAATGGCTTATTCGCTTGCAATGTCAGGCCCGAAGGCTGCTCGTCAAGCTGAAACGCCTTCTCGACAGACCGTCTCAGGAAGAACGTGGTCATCGTATTGAAGGGTGTCGCTAGCCGGTCACTGACTTTTCGAGCCAGGGATGATTCCTCAAGGAATTTGGGAAGCCGCTGCTGTTCTTCGCCTGCCGCTTCTTCAGTCGTGCTCTGGGTCATGGTTAGCCTTTGAGAACGACAACAACTTCTCAGTGACATACGTTGCATTTCTCGGTCAGAAAGCGACAGTAGAGAGACCAGCGACCCAACATGACAGCTACTTCGTTGAGGATGCCGTCGATTTCCTTCATATCCACGCCCTCATCCTCAGCGGGGACCTGCGTTCCGTCTCGAAAGGCCGGTGAGTTCGACCGCGGGGTGCCGGCGGCTCTTTGCTGGGGCAGAAAGCTTTGTACTAGAAATGTAAAGGCATAGGACTTGACATCCATCAGCTTGCGGTCGATATGTCTCTCGTCGCTCCAGGTGTCGAGGATGATGCCTCCCTGCACGTCTGCTTCGATCTGGAGCCGCTCAATGACACGAGCCATTCTCCCCGAGCCATAGTGGCGTTCCACAAGCCCCCCATGGCTGTCGACGATTTGTGCGATATGTTCGAAGAGCTTGGTGAGAGCATTCGCGTAGAAGAAGCCATCCTTGCTCTGTGACCCAGCAGTGCCGGCATTAAGGTTCGTCCGCGCTCGAGACGCAACCCCTTGACAAACATAGCGCCCATATACGTCCAAGCCAACCTCTGATCGACCGATGAGTGGGAATAGTTTAAAGAAACGTGTGATTTTGGCCCCGTTGTTCTCCTGGACGGCCTTGTCGAACTCGCGGAGGAACAACCCACACAGCGATTCGGCGGCGTTGTCGAGCGTAACATTCGGCGGGTCGGGCACTTCGGCTGTGGGCACAATCTCCGCTGCAAAGGCGCCATGTAGAACCTCCGGTGGGATTTTCGACGCCCGGTTGAGGTAACTTGCTGCCGTCTCCCAGTCCTGGGGGGCTCCCATGGAACCAGCAACACCCAGTACACAGGCCTTGAGCTCTGCGACTTGTTCCACGACTGCCAGTGTGGCCTTTACCCGTGCCTGTTCTATGTCGAGGCGACGTACGGCACTGGAGATCCGGTCTGCCGTGGCTGCGGCGTTGGAGAGCATGCCATTGCTGATTGCGCGGGTGGTGGTGGCCTGGGTGCCAAGGTGGGCCCGTAACAGGTCAAGGCGACCCAGCTCTCGAGAAAAGTCCTTCTGGGAGGCGACGAGTGCATCGAGGCGAGCTGTGACGGATGCTTCCTGGTCGTGGAGGTGGGACAGGGTGGCCTTGATCTCCGCAATGGAGCTAGCATTGAAGATGTCCGCAGTAGGAGCGGCCGGGTTCGTTTGAAGTTGGTCTAAGGGCCTGTGAGGAGACACCAAGTGTCCGTTGGTAATTGCTGGTTCGGACATCTCCTTCCTGCGTGTGCCTGGATGGCAATTCCAAGCAACGCTGACCGGCGATCTGTCTTGTTGACAGGCGACTTTCGCTTATGACAGGAAGACACCAGTGGCAGTATGTGGCAGGCGGTGAGAACATTGCATCCCCGATGACTGTTGCCAGTAGTTGTGTAGTATTTATTATTGAGTAGTTATAATTGAATGATGAATGTACTTCCTTGAACTGAGGGAATATTGGTATAGTGAGAGATAGTGAGCAGCTATTCTGTATATCACTGCCTGGATTTTGCAACCGGGTGCTTTCCATGCTGATTTGTAGCTTTTACGCATGTCTCTTCGATCAGGATGCTGTATAGTCCGGCCACACTGGTTGCCTTGCCAGCTGGTACGATCGTGTTTGCTGGCACATATATTGGTATTCGAGCTCGTGTCTCTGGTACTGATATGGTGTTGATATGTTCCATGCTCAGTCTCGGGGGGCGGGCGGTGGTATACTGGGAACCCTCAGGGTGTCGTACAACTATATATTACTACCGTATCAAAGACACTGAAGAATACCGATTTCCTCGAGCGCTCTCGATATATCAGGTAGGCAGCTTCATGTGGGGCTTGACCCATATGAAGAACCTACTCGCTCTTCTATTGTTTACATAAAACTATGAACCCCTAATACAGAGTACTGGATACTGATCTCAGCTCCAACGTTGACTGGTTAAGTTCCGGAATTGCAAAGTCTGATCCATATAGGCATATAATGGTCGTATCTTCAACAACGGCCGGATGGTGTAGTTGGTTATCACGTATCGTTAACACCGATAAGGTCCTGGGATCGAGCCCCAGTCTGGTCATTGCTTTTTGCTCCCTATTTTTGGTTGCAAATGTATTTTATTTTGAACTTGACTCATAAATCCAGCGGCGAATTCATCGAGAAATATTCAACTATCTATATATTCTACACCAAAAGCTGACTGGCCGTCTCACACCGAGAAAAAAACACCAGAACTTCTCAATGCTATATACGGAGTACCTACCTAGGTAGGTAGTTAGTTAGTTACAACCAAAGTTACGCTTATGCCAAGTCCTACCCTTATTTCTAACATACCGCCTCTGTAACACTATTTGAGACCTCCCTTCAACAGCGGCCGGATGGTGTAGTTGGTTATCACGTATCGTTAACACCGATAAGGTCCTGGGATCGAGCCCCAGTCTGGTCATTGTTTTTTTGCCCACTATCCAGTTTCCCTCTGGGTCTAGCTGTAGCCTGCGATGGGTGGGAGGTGGGTGGGGGAGGGGGGTTTTTTGCCAGCCGAGTTTCACTTGTGTGACCAAGGCATTCATTCCTAAGTAACTCAAGTCATGATGATGACACTCACGTTGATCTGCAACTTCGCCTCAGGCACCAACGAAAGGCACTTTACCCGATCAGGAGCCAATGGCAAGCGGCTGAATTATTGGACGTCACTGTCGGGGGTTTGACAAGGCCGCCTACTCGACTTTCCTGAGACTCTCTAGTTCATCTCACAAGATAAACCATTCCCACAGAAACCACAAAACCTGGAGCTTTTCGCGGCCCTGTATATCAACAGCAATAGGTCGCCATCGAAGAAAATCGCGGCGCAAGCACGGCCGCTCGCGCGCTGCCATGGGCAACGAATCCTCGACTGTGGTGGATGAGAACACCCCTACCCAGGTTCTGGAGGCACGGAACATCGATGCAGTCGCAAAGTATATCCAAGAGAAGAATGTCCGGCACATTGTGGTCATGGTAAGTGGTTCTCTCATGCACTGTTGCGCCGCGCTCTTCCATGTCGCGAGGCGTAACATGTCTAGACTGACAGCTAAGTACTCCAGGTGGGAGCTGGGATAAGCACCTCGGCAGGTATCCCCGACTTCCGCTCACCAGGCACGGGGATCTACGACAATCTAGCGCACCTGGACTTGCCTGATGCCGAAGACGTGTTTGATATCGGCTTCTTTCGGAACAACCCAAGACCCTTCTACGCGCTGGCTCGCGAGCTGTACCCTGGAAAATTCCGCCCGACGGTTGCGCATTGCTTCATCAAGCTGCTGCACGACAAGGGTCGCCTACTTAAGCATTTCACTCAGAACATCGACTGCCTCGAGCGGCAGGCGGGTCTACCTGGGGAGATGATCATTGAGGCCCATGGCAGCTTTGCTTCGCAGCACTGCATCGACTGCAAGGCACAGTTCCCAGACGAGCTCATCAAGAAAGCAGTCCAGACTGGAGAGGTCCCCCGCTGCCTTGAATGCAAGGGTTTTGTCAAGCCAGACATTGTCTTCTTCGGCGAAGCCCTGCCGGAGGAATTCTTTCTCAACCGACATCTACCTGAGGATGCGGACCTATGTATTGTGATGGGTACCAGTTTATCCGTCCAGCCATTTGCCAGCCTTCCTGGTTTCTGTAAAGACGGCGTGCCCCGCGTCCTGATCAACATGGAACGTGTCGGCGGTATGGGGTCACGGCCCGACGATGTCCTGCTCCTAGGGGACTGTGACGCTGGAGTGCGGAAGTTTGCTAAGGCACTGGGTTGGCTAGAGGAACTGGAGGCTCTCTGGGAGAAAACCAACCCGGACAAAGAAGCGAGGGACTGCGAAAACGCACCCCTCAAGACCCGAGATGAGCGACTGAAAGACGAAGTGGAAAGACTTACCAACGAAGTCGATCGCTCGCTCAACATCACAAGCGCATACGAGAAACGTGTCAGACAGCAGCTGGAGAAGCAGCCCGCAGACATGACGAGCGTATCCAAAGCTGCACATACCGTCGACGAGAGTGCCGGCGGAGGTCTCGCGCATGTCTTCCCTCATATTGCCGGCCAACATCCCTCTCTCTAGTTAGCGGTCAACCGCAGACACCCATTGCGACGTGATCGACAAAGCTCAGTGAAACGATTGGATGGATTTAGCAGGACACCATCAATAAATCCTATATACCAAGGAGTATGGCGTCTGACACAAGCACTGCACCATCCAAATGGGAGACTATTGAGGATCCTAACGATCTTGGTGCGGGGAGTTCCAGACTTGGGATTGAAGACTTTCCTCCTAGCCAACACCGGCGAGGCTGTGTTGGCCCGTCACAAAACACTCTGCATTAGACTTATCAGGTTTTTTTTTTTTTTTTTTTCCCTTTGACTGTTTCCCCCCCACCCCATATGGTCTCCAAACCAGAATGTGCCGCCATATTCCATGGCGTAGATAGACAGTAGATACGATATATGGGCTCTCACGCCATGTCTACCAATTGAGCGCAATGCATAATAGGGCATTAAACTGGCATTAAACAATGACGATCATCGTAAGATAGTCAACTAGCAGGTTAGCTGTTCCAGTGAGCTGTTTCTAGCAGCAACTCTAGACTCGAGCGGGGCAATGATGCTGCTTGCTTTGGTTGCCCCACGGCCCGAGACACCTTCACCGGGAGAGCACCAGACAGGGTCGCTTCTTTCTTCCCTCACCTCCCTTTCTGTTTTTGACGGTTGACCCTGTTCTTCTCTCTTATTATCTCTCTAGCTTCTCCGAGTCCCAGTATTAATCGCCAAGATGGTTGGAATTGGTCCTAAGCAGCCGCCTTCCCGCAAGGGTGAGTACAAGCACTCCGCCCTATCAGCTGAGGGGAGTCGGCTGGCAGAGCAATTATGATGGACTGACTGGATGGCTTTTTTCGCCCACAGGATCGATGACCGATGTGCCGAAGAACCTCTTGCAGACGATCAAGGACTTTGAGGGTCAATTCACTGTGGATACAAAGAAACTCAAGGAGATTGTGGACCACTTCGTCAAGGAGCTTGAGAAGGGTAGGATACTGTGTTTATTATTACATGAAACGAAGCGAATGCTAATTCTTCTATGCTGCTAGGCCTCAGTGTCGAGGGTGGAAATATCGTGAGTCTCTTCTTCTCCCCGCGTGTGCGTGTGTGTGTTGGAGACCAGGCTGACCCGTTCTTCAGCCGATGAACGTTACCTGGGTTATGGGCTTTCCCAATGGTGACGAACAGGGCACCTTCCTTGCTTTGGACATGGGCGGCACCAACCTACGTGTTTGTGAGATCTCTTTGACGGAGGAACAGGGTGGATTTGATATTACACAATCAAAGTATCGCATTCCCGAAGAGCTCAAGACGGGCACCGCAGAGGAGCTGTGGGAGTACATTGCCGACTGCCTGCAGCAGTTTATCGAGTACCACCACGGAGAAGAGAACCTCGCAAAGCTGCCTCTGGGGTTCACCTTCTCGTACCCTGCAACTCAGGAGTATATCGATCACGGTGTTCTCCAACGCTGGACCAAGGGTTTCGATATTGAAGGTGTCGAGGGTGAGGATGTTGTTCCTCCCCTGGAGAACATCCTCAAGCAGAGGGTAAGAAACATGTGATACGCAAAACAAAAACGCTCTGGTTTTGCAGATCGACGTGGCTAACAATCTCTCCCAGGGCCTTCCTATCAAGATCGCTGCTCTGATCAACGACACCACTGGTACTCTGATTGCCTCTGCCTATACCGACCCTCTGATGAGGATTGGCTGCATTTTCGGCACGGGTGTCAATGCCGCGTATATGGAGAACGTCGGATCCGTCCCTAAGATTGCCCATATGAACCTGCCCCCGGACATGCCCATCGCCATCAACTGCGAGTATGGTGCCTTTGATAACGAGCACGTTGTTCTCCCCCTTACCAAGTACGACCACATCATTGACCGTGACTCTCCTCGCCCCGGTCAGCAGGCCTTCGAAAAGATGACCGCTGGGTTGTACCTGGGCGAAATCTTCCGTCTGGCGCTGGTGGACCTTCTTGACAACAGACCCGGCCTGATTTTCGAGAAACAGGACACGTCCAAGTTACGCAAGCCCTACCTCCTGGACTCGTCCTTCCCGGCTGCCATCGAACAGGATCCCTACGAGAACTTGCAGGATACGGAGGAACTGTTTGAGCGCGTGCTCAACATCAAGCCTACACCCGCTGAGCTGGAGTTGATCCGTCGCCTGGCCGAGCTGATCGGTACACGTGCTGCACGCCTCTCTGCCTGCGGTGTGGCCGCCATCTGCAAGAAGAAGAACATCACCTCATGCCATGTTGGCGCCGACGGTTCCGTCTTCACCAAGTACCCCCACTTCAAGGCCCGCGGTGCCCAGGCGCTCCGCGAGATTCTGGACTGGGCCCCGAATGAAAAGGACAAGGTCACCATCCAGGCCGCTGAGGACGGTTCCGGTGTCGGTGCCGCGCTTATTGCGGCCTTGACCCTCAACCGTGTCAAGGCGGGCAACCTGGCGGGTATCCGCAACATGAACGACATGAAGACGCTTCTTTAGAAGCTACGAATCTGCAAAAAAAAGAACAACGACATGCGATGGGATTTTTTTTTTCTTATTTAGTCTACCAACTGCCTGCATATGGGCGATTTTGAATTGTGATTTTTTGATCCTCCCCTCTGACCATTCTGGGACGGACAGTCGGTGGTTTTCCCACTGACTGGTTCCTAGATACGGTGGTGCCTCTGGTGCATAAAAAAAACAGAGAAATGGTAGATTATTGTGTATAGCTAATGAGCACATAAAGTCTATTTCTTGAAAAAAATCACCATCAGATAGCAATACAGCTAAAAAAAAGTCACCGACCTAGAATAGGCGACTGGAATGTGGACGACTTCCGCATGCGGCTGTCTTGAAGCAACCCACAGAATCAGAAATACAGAGAGCATGACAGAAGCTTAGTCGACTTATCGAGTCGTGTAGGATGTTTCTTTCGGCGTGATTATCCAGGTCCACGCCGTGGTCTGGCTGTATAATGTAACTATATCCACGGCAGTTACCAGCGTACACGCCACAAGGTGACATCAAGGCCGTTTGTGCCTGTCTACTCTCTTCTAAAATCGGATGTACCTGTCCCTTATGATGCTATAGAGGTGATAAGTAGTTACATCACGTATGTTATAAAAGGTACTGTCTTCGGTGGTCATGTCCTACTCACTTCTCCTGTCTCATCCACCCCCTCTTCTACCCGACAACCTGCTTCCCTTCAGTGGAATTACCCCAAGACCCCTTCCTTGAATTCTTATCAAAATGCGCCCTCAGTTCCTCGTTCTTACAGCCCTGGCTGCGTCCGTAATGGCAATGCCCCCGACGGAGAACGTCAAGGCCGCGGCATCTATCGACAGCGCCGCTGAGCATGTCCACGCTGTCCGTGACGTGGAGGGATCCAAGAAAGGCAAAAGCGATGATTCAGAATTGGTGAGATCTGTAATCTTTTCTCTCCTTGGTGCAAGGCTTGTACATCTCGATATTAACGTTCGCAGACCAGTACTCTAAGCGAAGTTGTTTCTCTGGTAAGTCTTCTGTCAGAAATGGAAAAAAAATGTATAGACGAGTATCTAACAACTGTAGCTCTCTGTGAGTGAATCAAAACGAGCCCTCGAGCCAAGTTGATCCAGGTAAGAAAATGCTTGCTGACGTAGTAGGGTCTTCTGGACGGATGAACAGCTCCATACGATTACCGAGGAGGACGAAGAGGATGACGGGAGAAGAATGAGAAGTATATCTGGTCTAGTTAGTTGATCTATACCAATGGAGTACATTTAGTGTCGGCCAATACTAGAACAAGCTTGGTGCATCCAAGTTGAGCGTAGAGGCACAGGATGATATAATTCAGATGTGATCAATTTTAGATACATGCAAACGCAATACAGACAGTCAGATGTGCATAAATGATAACTGGCTACATGAGCAGGACGATTTTCGGGCATCTCGATACGCTTGAACTACCCTTTGTTTTGGCGAGTTGCTTTCTGGGTCAAACCAAAGCCTCCAGGAACTCAGCAAGATAGTGCTTCTGCCTCTTCTTTGGCTCGGCCACCAGGCCCATCATGTGTTGCACCGCCATCTGTGCCCCGCGCACGCTATATTCTATGGTGAATGTTGTGTCCTCTGGAATCTCGACATATTGGCCTATAACAGCCACATTGTTGGTCCGGGGGACGACCTCTGGACGATCACCGTGGTGGCGAGTGAGCATCTGTGCGGTCAAATGGGGCATGAAGCATGGGACGGTGACGGAATTCTTGAGAATAGAATCCGTCGGGAACCGGAGGTGCTGGAGGAGCTCGCTCATGATCTCCTGGCCGGTACATGAGAACATTGGCTTTCTGACAAAGTTGCCGATCCGTTCGGGAAACAAGGAGTAGCCCCAGAAGACTTGAACGTCCGGTGGCTGGTCAGAGAACATCGGCTGGTGGGGGATACTCAGACTCATAGCCCAGTTACTATCCTTGAGGATGAGGAGCCCGCCAGTGCCGGGCCGTTCTTTGGTCAGCTTGAGCAAGCGGTCGAGAAACTCGGGATCGCGCAGGGTGACCGTGAACGTCTCAAGAGAAGATTCGGGGATCCGGCTGGAGAACCTGGTCGGATTACCGAAATTTGGGCTCTGCATGGCAAGCTGCGACCAGATGGACCACTCGACCCCAAACGAGTCTTCCGAACCCATTGACATGGGTGCAGGGGCTTTCGAGTTCGATCCCAGCGTCGATCCGGAACTGATTGAGCCGAGCGTGACGATGACGACGTCGTTGGGGTCGATCGTCACAATCTTCTCGGTGCCATTCTGCATCATGGTGAGTTCTGTCACCGTTGTAGGGGTCGACATCTTGAGATCCGTAACCCGGCAGTGGAATCGGAAATCCACCCCCTGCTCCTCGAGGAAGTGAGCAATCGGCATGATGAGGGATTCGTATTGACTGAACCGGGTCCATCCCAGCATCTTCATGTTGTTTAGGCTTTGGGTGTCATGAAGGTACTTGCGAAGATATCTGCGAAACTCGATTGCACTATGCCAGGGCTGAAATGCGAAACTGTGGCTCGTTTAGTATTATTCAAATTGGAGAGAACCAAGACACGCAAAAGCAACATACGTTGCTGCCCAGATACACCAGAATTTGCTCTGAAAGAACGATTCCCCAAAGCAATCCTTGACGCTCTTGCTATTCAATGCCTTCTCGCCTTCCAGCATGAACATGAGGAGATCCATGCGTTCTTTGTGCGTCATGCTTGACTTGCCCATCTCCAGCTCTTCCGGCCCGTACTGCCCCTGAACGAGGACATGGGTTGTAGCATCCTCCTGTGGAGCCTCCAGCTCATTGAATTCTTTGATTTCATCCAAGAGGGTTCTTTCCGTACCGGTACTCGAAGGCACAGAGGAGAGCAGCTCCTCCATGCAGGGATCGTTGAAGTTGGGCTGGCGGCCAGCGTGAATGACATATCCCTTCCCAGGATCTCCGGTACTATCCACTCCTCCACCGGGATAGGAGTGAGTCTCCAGGATATGGATCTGAGACGGTGGCACCTGCGCGTCCTTCATCAAATGAACTGCCGAGGTCAAGGATGCAATCCCACTCCCCACCAGCCAGGCATGCACTCCCTGGGGATTCCTCCCCTGCGAGACGGAGGAGAAGCGACGACGGAACATGGCTTAAATAGCTTAAGTCAGCTTAAGTCAGCTTAAGGCAGCTTGATGAGGTTCTTTTCTGTTGATGTGACATGTTTAGAGCCCACCCAGTCTTTGGAAAATCGCTGAGCTCCCTTATAGCTGCGGGGAGTCCATGATTGCCCAGGGAGACTCTGCGCGTCATATGGAGTGGCAATCGATTCGAGAGAGCTCCCAAGGGAGTCAAATCACCTGGTAGTCTCATGATATCCCTGCAAGAAAGTTCCCACAGGCCCGCTCGAGAGACCTGTCTGGACTGGCAGTGGAAGAATACGGGTACCGGAACCTAGAGAGCGCCAACCATCATCATGGCGACGTCGTAGCAGTAGCTGCGTGGAAGCAAGAGCTCATTCATACGTACTTGGATTCAACATCTTTGTGTTTCCCAACTCTTGGTTCCATGGGTTAAGGTCCGTATTGTTAGAGATGGCCAAACACTAATTATCGACACGGCCCACTGAATGCCAAATTCAATGCAAAAGTCAAAGCAGATTGCGAAAGCAGTTCCAGGTGGAAGCATGTAATATGATACATTTTGTATTTATAAAATTGGATACTTTTGTTGAAGGCTCGTGACTAAATAGCACACAAATGGTCTACCCTCGAATCTCCCACAATCTGATGCGACCTTGCTCGTTGGCGACAGCTAGATGATCCGAGTTTGGCGAGATGGCGACAGATGAGATGCGACCAAGCGGCGTATTAGACGTCGGCCAATTCCGGTATACGGTGCAAGAAGGAAGATGGACTGAAATGGGGAAGATGAGAGAATTAGCTGGTCTGTGATAGTAATGGAAGGAGAAGAAGAAGAAGGAAAGAAAAAGGTAAAAAAGACTCACCTAGACGCATGGCATCACGCTTCCACCGACTCGCCATGGCAAAGAACTGTCCATCCGGCGAAAAGACAAGATGACTGATGGGAGTTGTGAGCTGATCGAGGGCCCGGACAGGCTTGGGATTGCGTGGAATGCCGGCTGCATCTGAAGATGCCGGAGCAGCACGTGCCTCCGCCCATTCCCTGCGGTCGTAGACATTCACCACTCCGCTGGAGCTGCCAACAGCCACCCAGCGGTCTCCGCCCAGCTGCGATCGCCCAGACCGACCTCCCAGGCTGATGACCGTAGTGCCGACAGCACCTTCATCGACCCACCGAGCGATCACCCGGCGAACCCGGCAGTCATACTCGGTGATCTCGCCGTTCTTGCTAGCAACCGTCATACCCTCCCCGTCGCTCCACCAGGCAAAGTCTGCAACACCACCGCGGCCATCAACACGGACCTGGGCAATCCACTGTGCGGTGCCCGAGTCGAGGATGTTGATCAGACCACCCCCTTTACGAGCTGTACCGACCAAGCCGATATAGCGCCCGCAGGGCGATAACTTGAAGCGCTCCATAGACTTTTGCTCTTCCTTGCGGTCACCAGTCCCGTTGATCTTGTCAACCTTGCCGGTATCTAGATCCCAGATATGGAAGTATCTCCGGCGGCCGGAAGCGAAGATCTTGTTGCCCGTAGGCGGGGCGAAGGTAGATGTGTGGATAGGCGTGCGACGAATGTGTAGCGAGGTAAGAAGCGGGTTGGGCGCGGGTGCAGAGGGCGAGATGTGGTGTATAAAAAGAGTTGCAGCTGGACCCGAGGAAAGGAGAAGTGGATAAGAAGGATGGAAGGTGAGAGAGTCAATAGATGACTATTATCGCACACATTAGTTGTAATGTTCGAAAACCCATCCGAATACAAATCCAATCACTTACCGGCTGGTTTCCTCCAACATCTTTCAGTCTCTGGATATCCAAAACTTCCCGGCGTAGTTTTCTCTTGGTACCCGTCCGAGTCACATCCTCGAGCTTCGTCAGCTCCGTTGCACTCTGGAGGAGCTTGGCCAATGGTTGCGCAGATAACTCGGTATCATCTTCGTCTGTATCCATATCATCGGCGACGCTGGCATCGGAGTCGTCCTCGCCCTGATCCGCCCTCTTTCGGCGCTTGTTGATCGACTCTGGATTAGCCCATTCCGGCACCGGATGCAGTCGCAGGTACTGTCTGCGCAGGCGCCGGATGTATTCCTTGCCACTGACCAGATCTTCCGATTCTGCCACCCGTAACTTTCTTAGCCTTTGCTTGCTGGCTAGCGAGATGGTGAGCCGCTCATCGTCACTGTCATGCCAGACCGCAGCCACTTCATCTTCTTCGTCTTCGGCATCGGACGGTGTTGCATGCACTTCAATAAGATCCGTCGTAGTGGGAGCTTCACCAGAATCGAGGAAGAAAAGCTATAGCAGCGTATGCACGTTAGTAAAAGAGACGTGCAGGGAAAAAAAGGAACCGGAGAGAAGCAGTTACGAACATCCGCGTCAGGGACGTTTTCCAGGTCATCATCGCCATCCCCAGCCTCGCTATCTCCTTCGCCGAATCTGCCCTCGTCATCGCTTTGGCCAAAAGGCACCAATGCCCCGCTCTGATGGCCCTTCAGAGCTTCATGGAAGCCATCCTCTGCACCAAAAAGTAGCTCTTCAAGTCTCTTTTCCGCGTCATCCTTCTCGGGAACATCATCCCCTTCCTCGCTCGTTTCGCTGTCAACATCCATATCACTTGTATCGTCCTGATTGGCGAAATTTGAAGCACCAGTGCTTTCGAACGGCGACTTTGTCTTCGCTTTGACCGTCTGGCGGGTCTTGAGCTTGACGCCGGAATTGGGCATCTTGTAGGGAGTTTGGCCTCGCAGTTCTAGATTAAATACCCAATTGCAGGTCTTCGAATTGAATCCAGATAGCCACACAGGTGGAATAGGAGAACACCTTCTGTGTTGATTGTGCCCGGCGCTGGGTTGTGTTCATAGATATTTTCCCTTTCAAAAAGCTTTTTTTTGAGGGGGGCAGATCCAAGGCGGTGAAGCTAGCGGTGGATGTTTGCCTTAATATTGATACCTGTAATTTCAGGCATTGATGATTTTATATTGAATAGTTACGTCACTTCATCAAATCCAGGATTAGCTAACTAATGAGGTCAAAATGACAATTAGACTATATAATAAGCATTAACATCCCTAAAAATACAGATTTATATGCTGACTTATGGATCGGTGTAGACTGTCGCTAGTATATCTCTAGAAGAAGGCTATATGAACTTTGAATGGCTAGTTGAAGAATGTATTTATTTGAGGAGTCGTGGACAAGTCATGTACAACGTGCGGTGCTAGTTAAGCACCGGTTAATTAATTGATGAATCGATCCCGAAGAAAGAGAGATATAACGCCGACAAGACAAAAGCAAAGGCAAGGATGATCGCAAGACTGATCCAAACACCGCCCATTTAAATCCCATTATTGCGTTGAAGAGTCAATTTAGTAGAAGACGAAGCCGGATCATATTCGCCGTGACTACTGCCAGAAGCTGCGGAATAAGAGGAAACCGGAGGGGGATTTTCCCCATCTATCTCCGGGTCATATTCGACGGTCCGGGCATGTGTAGCAGCCTTGTTGGGAGAGGCACTTTCAATGACCTTGCCGGCGAGATCGCCGTCTTCATCAGAGTCAGAATCGTCGTCCAAACCGGCAAGGAAGGCACTGCGGCGGTGGCGGTCATCATCGAGCATAGCGTTCCGGAATTCATCCTCTCCTAGCAGCTCATTTTCTGAGTGAATGGTCTTCTTGATGAAGATATCAATGATATAATACTGGATGGCATTCATGATGACGGGGAAGAGCAGCATGACGAAGATGATCTGAACAGCCGTGTTGCCTTCGGTCCACCGCAGAGCCCAGTCGCCTACCTTGACGATGAATGGAAACAGTTGGATGAGGAAGAAGACGCAAATCTTCATGCCAAGAAGCCCGACAAAATATATAAGGGACTGCTTGAACCACCATGTTGCGCAAGGTGGAGAACCGTAGTTCCCGGATTCTATCGACTCCGGGGGGTCGGCAAGCGGGGTGTAATAGGCCAAACTGTTCAGGGCACCAAGGATCATGATGAGGATTGGGATACCGAGCGTAGTCTGGCGGAAGACGGTATAACGTTAGCTGTCTGCACGAAAAAAAATTTTGATAAGAGAAAAGGAGCAGATAATACTGACATCAATCCCTAGGTTCAGTAGGTAGAACGAGCAAGGGTTAGGCTTGTATGTGCTCGTTATCTCGAATTGGCCAGCGGAGAACATGGACATGAGCAAGTTGGCCAGATGCAGCATGGCAGACCCAAAAACTTGTTTCGAAACATCAAACGCCCACACCTTTACCGGCCGCTGTGGCCGCTCTCTCCATCTCTTATATACGAGTGATAGTAGCGCCAGTGCCCCGAGCGCCGCCTGGACGAAGAGCGAAAAGGGTCCTAGCAGCCTGCATTCCCCATTATCCTCACCTTCGGGGCCCTGACCAGAGCCGGCCACCGAATAGACCGACGAAGTTGAAGGCTGTGGCGACGAAGACACGCTGCTTGAGAGCTGGGTTGCAGTAGAGATGGCAGCGGTGAGTGCTGCTGTTGCCATCGCAGGTAGCATCGAAGCGCCCATGATGACGGTATGTTCTGAGCTGCGCTCGTGACACTACACGTTGGTAGAATCGGTATGAAGATTGTCGATGAGCTCAAGGATCAGACTTAATATATGGGTTCAAGCACATCGATGATGCTTCGAACTGAGGATCGCGACCGTGTTGTTAGAGCATTGGGAAGGCAAGATAAGAGATCCACAACTTTGAGAAGAATATAAAAGAGAATACTCCGTATATAGCCAGCAGACTACCTTGCCAGCAAGAAGTCTGCACCAGCCGGGACGATGGTGCTAGGGAGAAGTGGTACAGTGAACTAAGATATCCTGTTGACATCAGGTTGCTGCTCCGCCCCAAATCACAGCGGGATCATTGGTACGCCAAGTCGACAGGGACTAGGGACTCTTTACGCTAATTTTCCTTGTTTCAACCAGGGTATATATCAATCTAATATACCTAACTAGTTATCTACTCCGTACTACATATATTGTAGTATCTCTGTACCCCGTATCGGTATCTTTTTTATTTCTTAGATCGTAGTTAAGCACTGCAAGTACTGAAATTTATGTTCTTCGACTATTGCCGACCTCGGTCGGTAAGGTTTATTGCCTGCAAAATGACTACATATCGCCACATTCGAAAGCGATATGGTACAGAAGAGTTCCTAAGAAATGCTAGTGTTCAAAAGTTGGGTTGAGTGGTAGGAATGGAAATTGATTGATTGATGCATTGAGGAACGCAGGTTCCACTGCCAGAGGATTCTTGATCACCCCTTGAAGCTCGAGGGAACTTTGTGGTTGCGACACCTACCAAGAACCCTCATTATTGTGTATAAGAGCCGTCAAAAACCCACAGAAAATCTCATTAAACAGAAAACGCCAGTAACCCCTCATCCAACCTGATATCGACAACATAGGAGAGTCACTGCAACTCCGCGTGCAGCTAGATGCCTGCAAGGGGACCCAAGAAAAGCAACCTAAAACGCCTGGGTTATTCTATCCCATGTTGCTGTTTAAGGCGCTCTAGGTTTTCCTGTCTTTCGGCAAGGTCTTCTTTCGACTTGAGCATTTTCTCGGGCTGGTGATATAGGACTAAAGAAAAACCCCAGTTAGCACACGATCGATCAAAGATATAACGATAACCCTGGTGAGTTTACATACCAACGAGATATCTGTTCTGGAAGTTGAATCCATTGAGTTTATCGCATGCCTGTTTGGCGTCCTGAACGTCTTCGTATACAACAAAAGCAGTGCCTTTCGAGTTGTTTGCAATACCCTGACGAATTTGACTGCCGAGAAAGTGTTGGTTAATGAAAGAGAAAAGACAGGAGCCCGCAAACCGTCGCGCGGGATCCATTCATGTGCAAATATTAGGACGGCTTACCGGATGGGCCCAAACTTGCCAAATAGGTCGAAAAGCTGTTCTGCCGTTACGTTATAGCTGGAGCGATGTCAGTCGAAAACGAGAACTGATCGAGCGAAGAGCGGAGAAGGGGGGAAAAAAGACGAGTCGTAGAAGGACGGTCGAGACGTAGGATCAATCAATCCCGCGGGGTAGGCAGCAAAAAACTGGACATACTTGAGGTTCTTGACGAAGAGAATCCTACAGACACCATGTCAGCCAATTTCAGCCCTAAAAAATAGCGAAAAAACGCATTCCACACGTGTGACAGTCGTGATTTCGATCTCTGGAAGGGCTGCACAAGCCGTCCAGAGCCGCAATACCGTGGTGGAGGAGGGGTACACTGAGAACAGAAAATACCTACCGATTGGCTTCGGGGGCGAGCTTTCGGCTCATTCTTGGGCGGAAAGCGATCTAGGGCGGTCGGACAGAGTAGGCAGTCGTAGGAAATCCTGAAAGAACACCACAGAAGGGGTTCGGGCAACAAGAGGAGCGGAACGAAGAGTAGGAATAGAGACACGGAGGCATGTCCGTCCGCAGAGGCAGGCGAGCACGAGGTCCGGCTGAGGGGGTGCCTTTCCTGTTTGGGTTTAGCGTTCCGACCGAGCCTCCCTCGCGCGTTTTGAGGCCAGCGGAGGGAGTCGATCGAGGCTCGACGAAAGGAACAGAGTCGGCAGAGACGTCGTGCGAGTGAAGGTGAGCGGTTGAATTCTACGGAAGAGACAGCAGTGCGTCCGTTGCAGTCGGGCTGGTGGTGCTGAGAGGAATTACAGCTGCCCTGCTCTCCCTGGCCGGCATGCTGCGCCGCAAACGATAGACCGACGACGGTACGCTCTGCCTTGGCTCGGCCTTGCTCGATCTCCTCGACACTATTCGCTTTCCCCGATCGAGATTCAGATCATCTACAGCCTACGCATTGGTTTCTGTCTGGCGTGGTGTCTCTTGCTGGCGTGAGCCGTTGCCCGCGTCCCGCGGTGCTCCCTCGTCCTACCATCCCGCTACGCTCGAACAGAGAGAGGGCCGACTCAAACCTCCCCCCCTCAGCACAGCGTTCCGCCGCGCGACGTTTTTCCCGTCCACGCCCACCCTCCCTCCATCCACGACTGCGATTTCCATCCACCTTCGAACCGTCTCTCATTGATCGCTGCCTGGTCTTGATTCTGTCAGGAATGGTTTTCCTCTTGCCTGCGGTGGCCATTCTCTAGCCCGCGTCGTTCGACCACCCCCGCTTTGCGTCCGCGACCGCGAGCAACACCCGGTTGCTCCCCCGACTCTTCCCACCGCGCTCCTTTGACGTTATTCTCCCCTGAATTCCACGATGGCTAGTGCGACTTCTTTTTTGAGCCATCGGGGGAGTCGCCCGCCGAGATACCGCACCCCCTCGCCTCCGCGACGCGCCGTGGAGCCCATTTCGCCTGTTTTCACCACCGGTTTGCGGGCAACCTGGGCGGAGCGCGCCGCGCCCACAGAACTCAGCTCCGATTGCGATCCCTTTTCCTCGAACGGCAATCGTACTTCAGATACAAGCCGAGAGGCGCACCATCATCGACCGGGCCACGGCAGATCCAGCTCGACAATCGACACCCTTGCGACAATTGCTTTGGCGACAAGCCCTACTTTTTCTCCGCTCACCTATCGACCACCGTCTCAAAATTCTTCCTCTACCATCCCACTCTTTGCTTCGGATCACAACCAAGAATCTGGAGAACGTCCTGCGAAGCGTCCGCGGTCGGAGAAAGACCCCTCCCCGCCCCATGACCGGAGGGAAGCGGGATTGGATTCTCGGTCCTCCGCCTTGCTTGATAGCATGAAAACCGACGCCGAGCTTCTTCTTAATTTTGCCAGACCTACTAATTTCCTCCCTGTTGCACCGTCAACGAAGCAAGTTAGTATAGACGACTCATATGCCATCGAGGGCGATTCAAAACCTCACGCACGAGCGGATTCGGCTGAGGTTGGTGGGTACCCCAAGATTGGCGAAGAAAACTTTGCTCAGAGCTTTCATGGAAACAACATCCCTCTATCACGTATGAGGTCTCGGTCGGATGGCTCAACAATTGTTGCTCGACCAGTCATCCATGGGATACGCCCTAGCACCAGCTCCTCCCATCTTCCTCCCATTGTCTGGCAAGACGAGCCCGCTGAACCCGAATGGGTTGAACATCCCCCCGCGATCACGCAACGAGAGCGTGCATCTAGCAGTTCCCAGAATCACGAACCGAACGGGTCCCTGGCCGCATCGATAACAGTCAAACTCCCACCGAAGGCGGAAGAGGAGACCGATTCGGACAATTCCAGCCAGGCGAGCTGCGCTGCCTGTAACCTTGTTCGTATACCTGTGGGATCGGAAGAACAAGGCGAAGTGACCTGGATCAATTGTGATGGATGCAAGCGGTGGTACCATATCGTGTGCGCTGGGTTTAAGAACGACCGCGAGGTCCGGACGGTTGACAAGTTCATCTGTCGTGGTTGTAGACCACTTCACGGCTCGACCACTTTTGTTCGCAAGTCATCAAGAGCGCGTACGGCGATCGACTATGCTGGCCTTAACCAGGGCTTGGTCAAGGCTGCCACTGACCCCCTTGAACATCACTATATCGAACCTATTAAGCAAGGAAAGATTCGCTTCCTCCCGGAAAATTTCCCTCGCATGCGCCCCGAGTTGATCAACGCCGAATATTTTGAACGAGGCAATGGGATGACTGAGCCCATTGTCATCCCGGCTTCACTCAACACCCGTCATGCAGTGCCACCTACCGATCCCGACTTTGATACTCTCGTTCAGGAAGCTTCTACCCAGGAAATGTTCGATGAACTGCTCGACCATCTCCATGAAGTACAGCCAGACCTTGAGGAAGTAATTGACTGCGGTCAAGACCAATTGGATATGGTTATTCCTCAGGGTCTAACGGTCAGGGCTGTAGCAGAACTCTATGGGCCCGAAGAACGGGTGGAAGTCATCGATGTCAAGTCCCAACAGGGAGAGGATAAGAGGTGGAACATGCAAAAATGGGCCGACTACTATGAGAGTACGGGGGTCAAAGTTGTTCGGAATGTCATCAGCCTGGAGGTCTCCCAGAGCAAGTTGGGACGGTTGATCCGCCGACCCAAGATCGTACGCGACCTGGATCTGCAAGACTCCGTCTGGCCCACAGAACTGAAGGCTATCGGCGACCACCCGAAAGTCCAGTTTTACTGTCTGATGTCTGTAGCCGACTGCTATACTGACTTTCACATCGACTTTGGAGGTTCATCGGTTTACTATCACATTCTGAAGGGAAAGAAAACCTTTTTCTTCATACCCCCGAAGGACAAACACCTGAAAAAATACGAAGAGTGGTGCAATTCGCCAGCCCAGGACACGACTTTCCTCGGTGATCAGACAAAAGAGTGCTATCGGGTGGATCTCGACGAGGGTGATACGATGCTCATTCCTTCAGGATGGATTCACGCGGTGTGGACTCCAGAGAACAGTCTAGTGATCGGAGGAAATTTTCTCACCCGTTTAAATTATGGGATGCAGATCAAAGTTGCAAAAATTGAAAAGGATACCAAAGTTCCGCGGAAGTTCCGGTATCCTTTCTTCCAGAAGATTCAATGGTATACGGCATTGAAGTATCTTGAGGACGATCCTATTCCTCAGAGTGTTTTGGATGCATTTGCACAGGACGAGGCCTACCGCTTCCATCGACGATACCCTATTTATTACGAGTTCGGTGAAAGAGCAAATGCAGAAGCCCCGGGCTCCCCTTATCACAATTCTCGGTACTACTCCCAGGCCGAGCTAGAGGGCCTACCCGACCTCGCAAAGTATCTGCTTCGCACGGCCTTGATCGCCGGCTCCTACATGGTCGAAGGCGTGACGATGGAGCAGAGAACCGCAATCAAGCGGTCAATACCAAAGGGCCAAGGTGACCCGGTGGATGCGATACGGAAGTTTGGGATTTGGGTCGCCTGGAAGCGAGGCAACGAACAAGCACCTAGCTGGACTCGCCCTGGTGTCATTGAGAGCAATGCGAAGATCAGCTTCAGCGAGAAAAAGCCGGCGGGCCGGCCAAGTCGTCGATCGGAGCGGAATGCGGATAACCAGCGAATGTACACCGAAAGACAGGCCGTTCAGCGGCCTCCAGAAGCATCTGTCGACTCCGCAACTAGCGTCTCCAGCACCTCCTACGGCGAATCTTCTCTGCCATCAGACAATATCAGTACACCTGCCTCTGGCAAGATCATTTCAAACACTAGCAGCGTCAAAGATGAGCCTTCCAAACCTCGATCCGTGCCGCGTGGCTCAGGTCTTGGACCAAAGCGAGTTGCCTGCGATGCGTGTCGTAAACGAAGAATCCGCTGCCGCCACAAAGATGAAACCGGCGACGTCATGTTCGCGAAGCAGATGGCTGTGGGAAATTTCAGTCCTGGGTTCGGGATACCGAATCAGGCATCCTTGGCTCATGATGCTGCGTCTGCACTGAGCTCACTGGCGGCTATCGCTTCAGAGGCTGGTTTCCAAGACACCGGTGCCTTTGTGGGGTTGGATCACTTTGAGGCTTCTGGTCAGCCTAGCTCGGCTCTTCTCAACAGTCCAACGATGGCTACGAATGGATTGGTAGACCTGAGTCCTGACGGTGCTGCTTCTGGTAAAAAGGGTCGGAGCAAGGCCTGCGATGATTGCCGGAAGAGCAAGGTACGTTATGATGTGGTACCAAGCCCTTACACAACCTTTTCCGGTATGCTAACATTATTTTCACAGCGTCGTTGCATCCATGACGAGTACGGCCGGGTCGACCCAGTCAAGGCTCAAGAGCGGTCGAAACCGCGAGCCTCGACTTCCGCTAAACGGGCCAGAACAAGCGAAGACGGTTTAAGCTTCGCTACGGCAACTCACAAGAGACCAAAGCAAGAAAGCGCATCCCCGGTAACGAGGGCTGCGGAGCTCCTCGGAAGGGATGATGATGCGCCGGGAGGAGCCTTGTCATCTGGTCACCACAACCACGAAGAGCATGCTCCTTTCCAACCCGCCGTGGTGGCCGATCCGTGGAAGGCTCCCGTTGTAGAGGTGGATAACGACGTGTCTCTAGTGCATCAGATGTCGTATGCGTCGCCTCCTGCCTTCCAAACGGACGCCATGGTGCACAAAGAGCTCGGAGCAGTCTCTATGCCCTCTCAGCCCCCGACGTCCTTGGTCTCCCCGCCGACTTCCTTGGCGGACGAGATCGACGAGGTCCCCCGCGAAAGCGCAGACCGGGACATGCGCACCCTAGGGGAAGGCGGCCCGCTAGGTTTACTTTCTCGTGCTGCGGAGCACCACCATGCACCGGAGAGTGTCGCGAGGACCGCCAGGCCAGCAGAGCATGCTCCAACACGCAAGCCCCCCTCGCCTACTGCCAAAAAACCATCTTCCCGTCCTTCCTCCTCCCACACGAAGAAGAGCGCGTCTCCCATGACTTCTCCCGCCCACTCAAACAAGAGTGCGAAGCGCGAACGGCTGGCTACCGTCGGTGACGACGAGCTGGATCCCGAGAGCATGCGCCTCATCCGGGAGATCCAGGAGCAGGAGTTTGGACTGCGGAAACGGGCCACACGGGTGTGACTGGGGTTCTGAACTCATCTGAGAGGAGGCATCCTCTTTCTTGAGTAAGACCAAACCCTTTTATTTCTTTTCCCTTATCACTTGTTACAATGAGGCGTTTTAACTGGATTGCATTTGGAAATGTGGTGCGGTTTATGGCGTCGCCAAGGGGGGTTTGGTTTGTCTGTCATCCAGGAAACTCTTTCCATTCTTCTTGATATATGGCGTTTGCTGGTTTTACCTTTCTTCTTTTGCTCCCCGTTTCTCTCTAGATCTGACTTGACATTCCTTTCCCAAGCTCTTTTTTCCCCCTCCAACTCTCCTCGGCGTTGTGATCTGATTATTTGGCATAACTATTATGCTCATGCTCATGCTATATATGTCCCCTTTTGACAGCTTTTATTCTTTGTTCTTTGACCTTGCACAGATACCAGGCAGTAATAGTCATCATTTATTTTTCTAAAGTATTTGAAAAAGTTGTAACCAACCATATGTAGTATACTATACTATTCTATAACCATACACTGTTACTTGAAGACTAGAGCTCTACTTGATATTCCCTCCGTACCAGCATTGAGATCAGTATAACTAGCACTATTCTTCGTTTATATCATTTTATGTCTATCCTTCTTCTCGTCGTGACTTCTCATCCATCATCTAGACGGTCTCATCTATGCAAAGCAAGGCGCCGGGTATATCATAGCCAAAAAAACAACCAAAACAAACCAAAACAGAATACGGTTTCATACGCCAATCCTTTAGTAGAGAACTCATTTCATCATTCCTCGGGAGGATCCAAGGGTTCAAGATGCAGGCGCTCCGGGCGACCCCCGATCCAATTCTTGATGACGCAGGGCTTCTCGTCTGGCCCCTGGCAGACGTGGCCACGGTCGAGGTGTTTGTGCTGCGGGCCTAGCGGGCCGTTGACATAGTGGTACTGGCCTGCGAAGCGGTACTGGCGCCGGTCGCCGAGCGGGTAGAACTTGTCCCCCCAGTGGCCGTTGAAGAAGAACCATTCTGTTGGGGCGTGCGGGGTGAAGGTCGACGCTCGCAGCGTCTCGGTCACGGTGTCGTACGTGTAGGATTGTGAGTTCAGCAATGGGTCCCAGAGCGGGCCGCGGTCGGTCTGATCGTGCAGCAGGCCCCAGGGTAGGATATACGAGTGTGTGCCGGGCATGGCGTACATGGCGTGTGTGCCGATGGCGGAGTAGATCACAGGCTGAGCGTATTAGATATATGGTTATATATATAGATATATGTGTGCGTGTGTATCTTTGCACAATAGGATAACTCACCCGTTGTCCGATCTTCTCGACCGCTTCGTAGTTATAAGCCGAGCCACCGTTGTGGGCACTGAGGAACAAGGCTTTTGGCTTGCCGTGCTGGAACCGGACGAGACAATGCTCCCAGTCGCCGACATGGTTGCCGAATCGCACATTGAAGACAACGTTGCCCAGGTTGAAGCTGTAGAAGTAGAACCAGAAGGCGTCAATGATGCCGTTGCCCTTGTCAATCGCCACCAAGATGGCAGGCGCCTCGCTCCGCCCGCCGCTGTCCGGGCCGTGGTCTTGGACATTGTGGCCGCCATAGCGTTTCTGTAACTCATGTCTGAACCGTTCATCCTGCATCAGAATGTCGGGCACATTGGTTGGATCAGAGTCGCTGACATCTATCCATTGGACTTTATCTTCCAGGTCGTCTTCATTGAATTGAGCCTCCCAATCAGCCCATGACTCGTCTAGGTCGTCATCGTCGTCATCACCGCCATTATAATCATCGTCGTAGTAGTCACCCTGGTCGCCTGCATCCGGCTCAGGAATGTTCTTCTCACCCTCCATCCAGGAGGGCCGGTCTTCTGCATCGTCGTTGCTCGTTAAAAACACATTTCTCCCCTTCTGGTACTGATTCAATAGGTCGAGATCGGATAATGTGACATGATCAAACTGGGACTGAATGGGAGTATAGTTGAGCATCGGGGTGATATGGAACAGATGTTCTGCAATGTCACACGGCCAGAACTGCTCGCTCGAGAAGAGATGGACTAGCGGTGCGTATTCGAAGACATAATCTGGGATCTCGCGCAAGGAGCGCTCGGTTTCGGACCATTCATCTGGATTCTCGGACCCACTGGTCCAGAACGAGTGCCAGGGAGCCGTCTCCTCACCGGCAGCATCAAGCAGCTGGTCGACTACCACCTTGCGATGGCCGAACCGGGCATGCACCGGGTGGAAATGCGCGGCGCCGCAGATGCCGAACCAGCGGCAGGCCTTGCGGTCAAGCCAGTAGCGCGAGCTCGCGATCCAGCGCGACTCTTCCTTATCCTCCTCCGACCATATAAACGCAGCGGGCTTCACTGTACGGATGAGACTGTTGACGGACAGGTAGGCAATAAGAGATGTCAAGATGGTGATTGCAGCCCGGGCCTTGCGCGTCATCTGCTGCAAGGGCCCAACGGCTGCGCGGGTGGTCGAAAGGGCAACCTCTGTTGTGGAATTGACAGGCTCTGCCTGGTCCCTGGGGCTTAAATAAGCCCCCTCCGATCGCGCGGACAGTAGTATAGGGTCCGTCGAGTCGGCGGAGATGCCGGACAGGGTCTGACGCGGTGGGGGGATAAGTGATAAGGCTGGCGAGGAACAACAGAGCAGCAGGAGCAAGAACGAGGCAGCAGCGAACACGCCATGACGGCGACGCGGTCGATCGGTCACTAGAACAATAAATACCAACAGGTCAGCCAGAGAATGCCAAACAAGACTTTCCTAGTCCAGCAACCGGTCCCGCGAGCAGACAGCTTGTCATCGTGTCTTTTCTGGGTGCGTATTTCTAAGCAAAAGTGGACCATGGCCGGAACTGGCGGAGATCCTCCACTACCGGCGAAGAGGGGCGTCGACGAGTTTAGACTCTCTTCTCCATTAACGAGAGGGAGGCAAGATGACCGGCAACGAGCGGATATTAGATCATCTGGAGGGTGTAGAGGGCATATCCGACCGACGACAGACTTCTGGTGGGTGTCTCGCTCTCTCCTCCCTTCCCTTGCTTCCGCGAGAAGCCGGCAGTGTAGAACGAACGGAACAGACGGCATGGGCACGCACTTACTCCTCAGGACAAACCGGGCTGTGGCGACCGAAACGGAATTAAGACGGACTCAGGGCAAGGGAGACTCGAGTCGGCTCTAGACCGGAGAGCAAAGGACTGAATTGATGGTGCAAGAAGACGGGAGAGCAGGAGGAGCGAGAGGGGACACGACGGTGGTGGTGGGCCGTCAGCCCTAAGTATAGTCAAGTCAGAACACTTTCCAGGCATCCATATATATGCTTTTGAATGACAAGGACTCGTTACTACCAATGATCCTTGAACATGAAGCCACGCCAGGGCATGCAAGTGTTCTGTGGTTACTGCCCGAGACTCCTGACACCTAGCAATAGTCATGTACTCCATACTATAGTACTGTTGTATAACTACCTACTAACTAACGACCAGGTATACAGTAGTAAAACTGATTGTCTCTACTGGACCCTTCCAGTCCCTGGGTCTAGACAGATGGCGTCATCTTCGTCTCTGGCTGGATCTTCGTCACGCTAGTCGATTAGACTGTTCGATTAGACGTTCGCGAAGATCAGCACCACTTTTCCTCTGGTGGTATGGCAGTTGGTAATCCACCGTCTAACACGCCATGAATAATCGTAATAACACCTGATGATGATGATTCTTTGCGGTGTGTCCTGGACGCTTTGGGTTGGGGGGGGCTCTTGACCGCCCAAAACTGACGATCAAGGGACAGAAATAGTACCGACAAAATATTATTGAGAATAAAACAACCAGGAAAATGTCTCAGTTGGTTCTCGATCCCACCATGCTGGGGGGGTCTGCTGATGGAGATGACTCGGAATATGAGTACGAATATCATGAGACGGAGACAGAGGTGAGAGGAAAACATCCCTGGATCCCCCACACGAGCGCTCACCGACTGTTTATCGTGGTCTGACTTGATTGTTGCAACAGAGCTTCTATCTCAATCTAGACCTCACCTCTTATCACGGGCTTATCCGCCCTCCTCGAAGACGACAGGAGGGTGCTGCGACTGCTGCTGCCGCTGCTTCCATGCAGTCCTCGCGCCTGTCGTCCCCCGCCCTGGAGCCGTCCAGTCCCGGTGGTGCGACCGAAGATGCAGCTCCCGCCGACCGCGTGCAGATTTTGGGGCTGCATACCCGCAATCCGATTGTCTCCTATCAGAATCAGATTTTCAGCTGCTCTTGGGCCGACATGATTGGGACAGAGCTCCATTTCACAGATCCAGCGGGCGTTGAGCCGCCGCCTCCGCCCGAGGGAGAAGCAGAAGGAGAAGAAGGAGAAGGAGAAGCGGCCCTCAGGGAGACCGAGTATCTACGACGCGACAAGAAATTCGACCTCATCGCCGGCAACAGCGTCAAGATCCTGGGCCGCAAGGCAAACCTTATTTCGAGCTCTGGAGCGGACCTCGCCTCGGCGGTCTCTGTCGCTGGGGCGGGCGCGACACCAGAGCCCGCCTCGGCGATCGCGGCCCTGGCCGGCTCACACCTGGGCAGCGCCACGTCTGGTCCAGCGGTGATGCGAAAGACGCAGACACAGACGAACCAGGCGCGGTTTCTGGATCGTCTCGCGAGCGTCAAACAGGCCAAGGGCGAGACCGACACTGTCCGGACCGCGTTCAGCTGGAAGCGCGGGCAGAATATGGAGGAGCGGCTGCGAGGCTGGGCGCGGACGGAGGAACAGTTGGTGGAGATCCAGCGGCTCAACCGTAGGGCTCTGCAGGGTGACGTCGACGCACTCCTTGCTCTGGAAGAGCTCTACATGCAGTTTGAGAGGCACCAGGAGCAACAAGAGGATTGATCTTGTCGGAGAGACAACATACAGACAAAGTCAAACCAAACCCTTCTAGCGAAGTCTTTTCCTTCGCTCAAAACTACACGACTGCCTGGAAGAACGCATTTAAGCGGTATCTCATGTATGTGCATGAGGCAAATATTCGCGAATTATGTCACAGGGCACTATAAAAACAAAGACCGGCCTATTTTACACTGCCAACGCCAGAGCATTTGCCTGCTGATTCCTTACAAAACAGACTGTGGAACCCAATGCAATCAACCAAATGCAGCCAGACCAACTCAAAAGAAAGAACGACAAAAAAAAATTCGATCAACCTGCTAGCCATGTCTCAACGATGTACAGTCGTGGGTGCCGGATTGCTATCGACGACCTTGCTCTCAGCACACCCCCACAGACATTTGGACGAATTCCACGATCCGACCACGGGCGAAGGCGGCGGCGCCGGCGGGGGATATGCGCCGACGGCGTATTTCGGCACTGGGTCTGGCTCGGAGGCGAGGATGGCTCGGGCGATGTCTTGAAGAAAGGTTTGTGATTTGGACATTATGACGCTGTATAGACGCTGTATAAACGCTGTATGGACGCTGTAGTGTGTTGTCTGGGATATATCAATCGTATGTATAATCTTTCTCTCTGAAACCAGTCAGGTCAGTCAGATCTCTTTTCTTTATAATGAAGGATCAATGATGTAATAAGGAAGATTTGAACTACCTCGACGATCTATGGAGCTATTTGCTCGTACAATGATGTAATAAGGATGAAGAGTTGGGAAATAATATGGAGCACTCTTCTCTCTTTGAATAAAATAAATTCTAGGACTGTAAAAATCAGTTCAGTCGAGGTGCTTCTATAAAGCTATGAGTCGTCCCTTTATAAGTACTCCGTAGGTAGTGTTTCTCAGGAGTAGCTAACTAGCTACCACTTGAATAGGATTAGATTACAGCCCCATCAAGGCACGCCTCGCGTTTATATTGATTGGTGCATGCCGCACCCCTCGATTATTGAACCCATCCATGAATGGAGTACTCCGTACGGAGTACGGCGTAACGGGAGAACCTAGGTAAGGAAGGACTGGTGCAGAGAAAAACAACTGTAAACTTGGTAGGAGTAAATGAATTATCCATCCCTTGTTTGATTTAGATGATGGAAAGAATAGAGTGACTAGGAAAAGAAACTCAAGAGAAACTCAAGAGAAAGCAAAGGGAAAGGAAGGGGAAAGGAAGGGGAAGGGGAAGGGGGGCGTCTCCATACTTACGTTAGTTACTCCATACTTCCAAGTTACCCCATACGGAGAGACCAGCAGGGCTCCACTCTCACTCCACACATGTCCATTCTGCTCCCCCATACTTTCTATTTTTCTTTTGGAATGATGCCTGGGAAATGCAGAGTCAGCAGATAGGGGGAGGCAGAGTTCTCCTGGCACTCCGTACATAGTCTACCTAACCTAGGTAAAGACGGTGGAGCGACAATGCGAATTCCAGTGCTCCGTTCGGAGTACGGTACTCTGAGCAGGTACGGTACTCAATGTAGAGAGACATGACAGTCTCTATACGGAGCACCTTCTCCATGAGCGAGGTGACACATCCAGGTCTTGCGAATCATTAGCAGCTGGGTCGCAAGTTATGATTCCTCACATGGTATGAAGTTGTAACAGCCTGTAGAGAGAACCCGAGGATTGATGCCACCATCGAGCTTGCTGAGACACCCGAGATAGGCATCCCGCTTCGTTGAGGACATGCGTCCGCCTGCATCAGGCTTATGGTTCATGCGGCATACCCTTTTAATGTCCATTGTCCACAGCCTCCTTCACGTGCCGACTAATCCATCAAGTTCCTTGTGAAGAAAAATGGGCCATATGACCTCATATCGGATAATAAATTCCCCCCCCCAGGATAGGAAAGGCACAGGTTCTGTCCTGTCCAAAGGCCAGCCGCCATGCTCAATTGCCAAAGAGCACGCAAATCAGTCGTTTCGAAACGTAATCGCCAGTCATACTCTGGGCAGAAACCGCGCACCCGGCCTGGCTAGATTCTCCAGAGTCTCCCCAACGAAGCCGAGAAGAGAAGGTGTCCACTGCCCAGACTTTCAGGCGAGCCCGCAATTACCTCATCAATAAGCTGGAATTCGGCGCTGTCTTCCAATCCTTGCCCCGAGCCAGACGGGACGGACGGCTGTCGGTGATCACGTAACGGCCCCCCCCCCGCAAACCACCAAGGTAAGGTGGGTTGGTCTTAGTACAAGACAGATCGCCTCTGCTATACTTAGTTAATTAAGTCGACTAGGTACCCCGCAAATGCTCTCATGACTAATTAGCTACTAATTAAGTTAGTTTGTTGGCACATATTTCATCCTCCAGGTACGCGTTCATCTCGTCAAGGGGCTAGTGGTTGTTCTCGAGGCTTCTGGCGAGGGTCCGGCAGGTCTGGACCAGAGGGTGGACTTTGTGGCTGATTGATTCGGCTGAGCCAAATGAAGAACCTCACCTTCAGGCGTACCCCGTGACTCGAAGGAAAAGAAATCCTAGTTGGTTTAGTAGTAGGTAGATAGGAGCAAGCCAAGATGAATGCCAATTGATAGTCAGAATTCGATCCTGATCTATCAATCGGATCCACACCGCCTCGCAGCATCGAGCTGCGATAAGACTTTTTTTTCCCGGATCGCTTACTCCTGGTTTGACGCTGTTACGAAATAAATGAGGCATTTTAGTGATGAGAAACTCCAAGTGGGATATCCTATCCAGTAAAAGGGTCACGCCGTTGTCCTACTGTTACAGCAGGCCCTGGATAGGGAAAAACTAGTCGTCCAGCACTGCTCGTGATTTGCGTATATCGACCAGCCCACGGCCCCATAACGTCATGGGACACAGGAGGCCCATACTCGGGCCGACTGAGGTGAGTCACGGGGAATAATGAGGTCTGGTAACTCGTTGTAACTTCCATTGTCGACAATGAAGGTATGGTGTAATTCAATCGATGGATTGTGTTGATGGGTGTATGTATGGCTGCGGTACGAAGTACCTGGATGCAATGAACTAGTCAGTTAGATGCCAACTAGTGAGGTACCAGCTAGGGAGTTACCCAATTAAAGGGGGATTCAAGCTGTCATAATGCAGAAAACACCAGTAAAAAAATTTCGAAAGAGGTACTCCATGATAACTCATAATTAAATGAGTCGTCCGTGTGACGCCTTCGTCAATACCTCAAATGGCTGCTATCCTTCTGGTACGTCACTTGCGGCAATTTTCCAAAATTAGGAATTCGGTTCCAGTCTGTACCATCGTGCGGTATTTTTCCCATCTCCACGAGGATCCTCGCTGAGGTTTTGATAGACCGCTGTTTCGCGAGATATGATAAGCATCACAGCAAAGTATTTGGATAGTATTGCTATACTGTTATCTTCCTCAGTGACCTCTCTCTCGAAGCGTAAAGCGTATTGACGCTTGACAGCTGTACTCCGTAGACCTGATTTGGCCAGCAAAAGGACGCGTCTAGCCACATGGCTGAATAGAACCTTGGAAGTCACTACTGGCAACTACAAGGTACACGTATTTGACTTACCGTACAATCCGGTAGGAGGTACCTAGGTAGCATCGAGGTGGATCACTGGATCGTCCTCCTGGAGATCGAGACCCAACAGAGTGGCCCTGTCACCGTGCCCGTTCCTGGCCGCGTCTTGCCGTAATTGTCTGTAATTTCTGGACCTCAGCCAGGCTGTGCATGGTCAGCTCTGTATCAAGACCAAAAAAAACCTTTTGGGTCCTTAGTCAGAGCCAGAGAGAAACCTGGAAATGGCATAAAAGGATGCCTGCTCGCCCTGAGCTGTATGCATTGATAACATGGTACTTCCTCAATGAGTTCAAACAGAGCAAACACTCAGTGACGTCCTGCTTGCATGAAACTGCTTACTTAATCCTGCCTGCGCTGGTCTTCTTACTTCTGATAAGCTCTCTCCTGGGCAACCAGACATCATAACTACCTCTTCTTACAGCTGTATAAAAGGTAGGTTTTTTAAACAAAGTTCTTCTTATCTTTGGGTCCTTCCCTTGATCACGTTGCATAATTGTCTTTGTGTGACATCAACAGTTATATTCTTTGTGACACTGATAGCTCTTATCTCTCTACTCTGATTTGTCTTATCTGCCTGGTGCCTTTCTTTGCTCAGTGGTGAATTCCACTGATCAAGGGTTTTAGCCTTAAAAGTTGCTGATTTATCCTTTTATTCTGATTTATCACTAAGAAGCTATCGCACTAAGACTTTCTGAAGTTCTGATAGTTCCACCATGTCATCTCCTGCTCCGTCAACGCCTCTCGGCGACGAGTCGATCTCGATCACGCCCGGTACACCAGAGGGCTCAGTGAACGGCCATTCTTTGCCAGGCCGTCTGAATCCAAAGCTATATGCAAATGGCGAAGGCCCAACATCTGGCGTTGGCACACCTATCGGATTCCAACGATTTCCTCACAACAAGTTGCTCGACCATGTGATCGGGCAGACTCAGCGGCATCCGTCGCCGCAACCCACACATTTGGGAATCCCGGGAGGTGGCCAGCATCGTATACTGTCTGAAGAAGATCCTGGCTATGTTGCGGCCAAGTTCGAAGGCAAACAAAAGCAGATGGAGCAAGGTAGGTACTCTTTATACTTGAGTTCACATATTCTGGATGGTTGCTAACTATGAACCCAACTGTAGTCATGGACCAGTTAGAAGAGAAAGGTTTCTTCCCTAGCGACTTTGTTATCTCTGAGACAACTTGGTTTTATAATATGTTGGGCATCGATGACACATACTTCCAGACTGAAACGGTGGATGCCATTGTCACCCAGATCCTCTCCCTCTATGCTGCCAAGGTTGCGGCATACGCTCGAGATGATAAAAAGCTGGAGATCCGGCTTGACAAGGAGGCTGAGGACCATGCCGTCTATATTGATACAAGCAAGCCCGGTGTCTCTACTATCGAGGGCCCTCGGTACGAACAGAGAATTGATGAGAAGTACATCAATGGCTCGACGCACAACAACAGCTATCGCGTCGAGACCTTCCGTTCTCCGACAACGCTGCCAGGGGATAGTGAACAGCAGCTCCGCTGCTACTTTGTCTACAAGTGTCAGTTCGCCAATCCCAATCCTGATCCGAACGAGACCAACATCGACATCATCGGCGAGAAGCGATTCCTACAAAAGGCCACCGCCAACACCAAGGCTATCTACCAGGAACTCATTACTAACGCCGTGGGCCGTTCGGGCCCGGTCATCGAAATGTATGAGATCGAGGGCAGCCGGGAGAAGCGCCTGGTCATCGCCTACCGCCAGGGCTCCGCCATGGGCCTGTTCAGTGCGCTCTCTGACCTGTACCATTATTATCGCTTGACCAGCTCCCGCAAGTACCTGGAGAACTTTTCCAACGGTATCAGCGTCATCTCTCTGTACCTCCGCCCTCTGAAAACCCCCGAGATTACGGCAAAGTATCCTCCGATCGAAGCCGCCATTCACCAGATCATGAAGGAGGTTTCTCTTCTGTACTGCATCCCTCAGAATCGATTCCAGGGACACTTCGCCAGCGGGCGTCTCAGTCTGCAAGAGACTATCTACGCGCACTGCGCGTGGGTGTTTGTGCAGCAGTTTCTTAACCGCCTGGGCTCCGAGTATACATCCCTGGTGGCGCTTTTGGACTCTAACAACAGTGTCCATGCAGAGCTCCTGTCGAAGATCAAGAAGAGACTTCGTACTGAAACTTTCACGTCTGATTACATCTTCGAAATTATCAACAACTATCCGGGCTTGATCCATAAGCTATATCTAGACTTTGCCAATACTCATTACGTGCGCTCAAGCGGACCGGCTGAGGATGACTTCCTGCCCACGCTGAGTTATCTGCGTCTCCAGGTGGACGAGGTCTTGGAAGGGCCCAAGCTCAAGGAATTAATCTCAAGCACAGCAGTAAACGAGCACGACGAGATGGTGATGACCGCCTTCCGCGTCTTCAATTCATCTATCCTCAAGACCAACTTCTTCACCCCGACAAAGGTGGCTCTCAGCTTCAGGCTGAACCCCAGCTTCTTACCGGAACACGAGTACCCACAACATCTGTACGGCATGTTCCTGGTTATCAGCTCCGAGTTCCGTGGTTTCCACTTGCGATTCCGTGACATCGCTCGTGGTGGCATCCGGATCGTCAAGAGCAGAAACAAGGAAGCGTACGGCATCAATGCGCGCTCGCTCTTCGACGAGAACTACAACCTGGCGAACACCCAGCAGCGTAAAAACAAAGATATCCCTGAAGGCGGCGCTAAGGGTGTCATTTTGCTGGATGTGAACCATCAAGACAAGGCTCGCGTGGCGTTTGAGAAGTACATTGACAGTATCTTGGACCTTCTCCTGCCCCCGGTAAGTCCTGGAATCAAGGATCCCATCGTGGATCTACATGGTCATGATGAGATCCTATTCATGGGACCGGATGAGAACACCGCCGAACTTGTGGACTGGGCCACAGAGCACGCCAGGAAGCGAGGCGCCCCCTGGTGGAAGTCGTTCTTCACCGGCAAGAGCCCGAAGCTGGGCGGCATCCCCCATGACACCTATGGCATGACCACCCTGTCAGTCCGCCAGTACGTCCTAGGTATCTACCGCAAGCTCAAAATTGACCCGTCGACGATTCGCAAGCTACAAACCGGGGGCCCCGACGGCGATCTAGGATCGAATGAGATCCTACTGTCCAACGAGAAAAATGTCGCGATTGTCGACGGCTCTGGTGTGATCGTTGACCCCCAGGGGCTGGACCATGCCGAGCTCGTCCGACTGGCCAAGAAGCGCGTCACCATCTCTGAGTTCGATCTCTCGAAACTCTCACCCGAGGGATACCGTGTGCTTGTGGACGAGAACAATGTCAAGCTTCCCAGCGGCGAGGTCGTCCACAACGGGATGATCTTCCGCAATACCTACCACCTGCGCAAAGACCAGACCTTCGACATGTTCGTCCCCTGCGGCGGCCGTCCCGAGTCAATCGACCTGTCAACAGTGAGCAAGCTCATCGAAGGTGGCAAGTCGGTCATTCCGTATATGGTCGAGGGTGCCAATCTGTTCATTACCCAAGACAGCAAGCTCCGCCTGGAGAAGGCTGGGACGATCTTGTACAAGGATGCCTCGGCGAACAAGGGCGGCGTCACGTCCTCGTCCTTGGAGGTGCTGGCCTCTCTATCATTTGACGACAAGGAGTTTGTCGAGCACATGTGCGTCCGCGAGGACGGAACGGTGCCTGAATTCTACCAGGCGTACGTGAAGGAGGTGCAGGAGACGATCAAGTCGAACGCTACGTTGGAGTTCGAAGCCATCTGGCGCGAACATGAGCAGTCAGGCATCCTGCGTAGTGTGCTTAGCGACCGGCTCAGCAACGCCATCACCAAGCTGGACGAGGAGCTCCAGAAGGCAGAGTTGTGGGAAAATATGGAGCTGCGTCGCTCCGTCCTCCAGGATGCCCTGCCAAATCTGCTCCTCAAGCAGATCGGCCTGGACACGATTCTTCAACGAGTACGTTTTACTTGTCTCTTTATTTACCTCTTAAACCTAATTTTTATACCTTGGTAATTATACTGATAACATCCTTCAGGTCCCCGATAATTATCTCCGTGCCATTTTTGGCAGCTACCTCGCCAGTCGCTTCGTCTACCAATATGGCAGTAACCCAGGCCAATTCTCGTTTTTTGACTTGTAAGTCTGAGAAGAAAAAAAGTGACAACATTCTACTAGAAAAACACCCATTCTAATGGTTTCCCAGCATGACCAAGAGACTTTCCGAATCAAAAGCATAGACACCTTCATACGTTTAATTGATATCACTGGATTCATGGATGATGGCGTTCACGCTTGGCTTTGGATTTCTGTTTTACTCATCCATTAAAACCACTGAGTGCATTTCTGGCGATCAAGGTTCAGGATGTTCTTGATTGCTTATTGCTCCATTTCGGCTGCCATTAAGGATCGGCAATGATAGCTATTGATCCTGTTAGAAAAATCTTATTAGTCCAAATCAAATCATGCCCAATTCTTGATTGATCGTGTTAAAAACTTGACTGGAAGAGTTGTTCGAATAGCGAGGCCTTAATCATTTACATGTAGCTTGGTATATTATGGTAAAAGTCCATCTTTTATACACTAGATATACACAGGACTGCTAATACTATCGAATTGCAACCCTTCCTCGTGCTCAGTGCGGTTCAGGGGTTCCAGCTGAGCCCACTGTTCAGGATAGTTTGTTTTAGCCCATGCCTCGACCTGGTCTTTCCAGTATGGGTATGGGATTGCGTTGTAGAAGAGACCGATACTATATATTCCGTCAGTTATATCGCCACGTTATTGAATATCAAAGAAGGCTTACGTGGTGCGAGTTGGCGAGAAGCTAATTTCATCTTGCATCTTGTTGATGGCGTCGGTAGCCTGGTCAAACTCGCACTGTGCCGCCAGGGCCTCGATGTAGGCTGAGTACAGCTTGCGGTCGACGGGTATCTCCAACAGCTTGATCTTGCTCATCATTTTCATCGCCTCCTGGGTGCCATTGTGATGCTTTTCGCAGACTTTAAAAAAGATTGCGATCGTGGTCGCGTTGGGCCCTTCGTCAGTCTGAAGGATGTCACGGAAAATCTCCATGCTCTTCTCCGGCATCTCGCAGGCGGTATATGCGAGCATCAGCGCGTTGAGGATTCGCGTATCAAGATCGACCTCCAGGTCGAGCTTCAGCATGTTGTGCACCAGTTCAAGGTTTGTCGGATCAGCGGTGCCCGCAATCCCCTGGAAACACCGTGCGTACGTGTCCGGTTTGGGTCTCTGAGAAAGGGTATCGGCTTGTCGCATATGCCCAAAGACCATGCATGCTAGGTCACTTTTTTCCCGTTTGAAGAAGCAACTCATGATGTCGGTTCGGATACCGACGCTCATCTCGGGGAATGCAATCTGTAGGAGACCATATGCCTCCCAAGCATCCTCGCTCGCTTGGTCAAGATCTAGCACAAACTTAAGGACTGCGTCTCGGATCTCATTTCTCTCCTCGGACTCGTACAAACCGAGTCGTGGGCGGAGAAGCTCCGATACGGCATCCCAGTCGTGTCGATATAGCAACATATGAGTTAATGCTGCCACAGTTCTTGCTTCCAGTCGAATATCGCTTTCAAACAGTGGGTCTAGAAGCAATGAAATCTGATCAAAAAGAGCATCCTTGGAACCCGACAGACAAAGCATCGTGATCAGCTTGTTCATCAGGGGGAGATTCTCCGTTGCCATAGTGCTGGTATGGTCCAAGGCCTGTAAAGACTGAAAAGTCCCACTAATGTCCCTGGCTTGGATGCGCGACTCCAATTGTAGCAGACGTGTTGTCGTATCAAACTCTAAACCCCACTGATGTGCCAATGCTGCGAATTCAGCCGCTAGTTGCGGATTGCCGCTGCTGTTTGCGTACTCAACTAAATCGTTGACAGTTGAGATATTCAGGAAACTCCGAACTTCCGGGTCCTGTCTCACCAATTCCTGGAGGGAATCGGAGATATCAGATGCTTTCTTACCATGTGCCACATCCCAGAGCAACATGGTATTCAATGTCTCAGCAGTGGGCGTTTGTGGAAGTGTTTGAAAGATAAAGCCTGCCCACTCCACCTCGGAGTTGAGAAGTGCAAATTTAATGACCCTTGCCTTTGTAGACAAGGAAGGCTCCTGGCCATCGGAGATTGCGCAATCGTATATAGCCTTGGCAGCTGTCAGAAGATTCTGACCGATGAGAATCTTGATAAGCTCTTCGTGTGATACAGCATCGAATTTGGAGCCTTGGGTTTCAAGCATTTTCGTGATCCGTTGAATCCGGCGCCAATCGCCCTTCAAGGCGAATCCTTTCATCACCGCCAGCCAGGGCGACTGATTACAATCACGTAACTGGAGCGAGAATTTCTCAAAAACCTGAGCAGCTTCATCCGGGTCGCCGTTCGAGCTGAGAAGATTTATATACGTGATAAGTGTAGAACGGCTGACTGGATTGGCGTCGAATCCATAATGAGAACAGATTTCCAGGAAAGCAAACCGAGCGAGTTTTCGAACAATCGGTGCAGACTCGGGCAGACACTCTGCCTCGGAGAGAACCAACAGTATGCTCTCGAGAGCTTCGGTTGAAAAGACCGCCGACCATTCCGTCGACTCGAGTTCCTCTTGCTGCGCTTTGAGGTATTTCCATGTACTGAGGAGCAGGTGCGCTTGAAACCCTGTGATAACCCCCGCATGTTCAAGCCGTGCCGCGAAAAAATCTTGAAATGCTTTTGTAAGAACCTCGTTGGGGGGAGCCCGGCGTTTTTTTGACATGGCTCTTATCAGATCACTCATCTCCTTCAACCCTGTTTCTGACGGTAGTGCCGTCGGCTGCTCCACGGACTGGGGAGCACCGAATGCAAAAAGGCTCCGTCGCTGTGTAAAGTGCGAGCACGGAAGACGCGTCCTTCTAGAGCGGGGATTCGAGGCCATATGCAAGAATTGATGGCGGCATCGCGTCGAGCAGAGAGGCTCATTGTTTAGAATGGCACGAAAAACGTGCCTCGTAAGATGGGATTGCATTTTTTGAAGGTGTCCGTCGACGAGGCTGAATTCAAGAATCAAACAAGTAGCCCCGGAGGTTCACTGAGGCATGCCGTTCGTAATTTAAAGGCTGATCGGAGAGTACAACGCAGTCGAGGTTGAGGCCGGCTGTTTGTTCTGGAGCTCCGAGCGGAGAGAGTTGCGGCTCTTGGCGGACTGGGAAAAGAAAACTGTCGGCTCCACCGCGTCCGTCGTGAAGGCGCAACGTCCTCCTACAGTGGCCGCCAATTTTCTAACAATCAATCCCAGAACGCAGATTCTTTGGACATCATGTCTATGAGCCTGTTTTCTTCGTTTTCTCTCCGCAGCCTGGGGCTGGGTCTGGCCTCTCCATTGACCTGTCGATGGAGCTCAACGGCCGCAACAAGCGCTTTCATTGCCCAGAGCGCTGCAACAGCTAATCAATCCAGTATGAAGGCTTATATCGACTCCTAGAATACTCTGCTAATTGTGACTACAGCCCAAAGAGCGCATCGCCGTCGACCGTCGAACCGCCAAAAATTCCTTGAGGATCAGAAGGCTCAGGGGCAGAGCAGGCTTCTGGAGAAGTCCCAGACGCGCAACTGGAAGGCAGGAGATATCTACGCTCCTCATGACTTGAGTCCGGCGGAGATGAAGAAGTGGAGGAAGCGCCAGAGCCCGGGATACGATGCTTTTGATTCCCTGAACATTAACCCGTCGAGTCTGTATAAGGTACGCATGTCCTCTCAAACTGTGACCAATCATCAGGACGTACGGCTAGCTAATTTGTCTCTTTTTTTTCAGAACTTTTCCGTCATGTCAGAATATATCACAACGATGGGACGTATCAAGCACAGGAGCCAGACCGGCCTTCGGCCAGTTAACCAACGAAAGATCGCCAAAGCAATCCGCAGGGCCGTTGCTCTGGGACTCATGCCGAGTGTCCACCGACACCCCGAGATTTTAGCGGCAGAGGCTAGAAACAGAATGGAATTCTAGAGGGCTCGCGTTCTTCTACATGCCATATGCTTCCCCAGTCACATCGGAAGGGAGATACAGAGGCAGCATATGGTCCGCAGATCACGGCAGATCCGCAATATGAAAACTGTATATTATCATTCTTCACCATCGTATCGGTGTTGCTTGCGATTGGGTTTGGAGATACAACTCAAGGGCAATGGTATTGCTGGGACTGGAGTACTTGTACTGATGCTGTTTTAGTTACTCAAGTGTTCTACTAGCAAGCAAAAATGCTGGAATAGACTACGGCCTGGATATGGTCATCCTAATATTGAAATCACACGTTATGTAAGAAATCCTGAGCTCGGTTTTGGCCTGGGGAGGAGACTTGGGCGGAACCCCACTCGTAATCAAGTTACTCCAAAACCAACTATCTGGCGGCCTGGAGTGGTTTTAGAAGACAGCTTATCTCCAACCTCTCCCTTCCATCCATCATTCAGGCCATAACTATATCCTCGCAGACATGTCAATTACTGGTGGTATTTTCTCAATCGATCTCTATCCACGCACAAGACATTGTTTGCTGAACCTAGTGACACAACAGTATCCGTTTGGGCCGCCAGCCCCTCCACAACACGGGGCCAACCCACCCAGCTTTCTTCCGATGCCAAAGGCGAGCGCATTGCTTACGCAGTATGTACTGCCCCTTTGCAGATGAGAACCTGGAGTTCTTTGTGCTGATCCGCGTCGGCGATTATAGGCCAATAAATCTATCTTCCTGAGGTCCATCGACGACCCCGCGGTTGCCCGCCAGTACACAGAACACAAGGCACAAACAACGGTCGCCCGGTTTGCTCCATCCGGGTTCTATGTTGCCAGTGGCGATACAAGCGGGGTTGTGAGAGTGTGGGATTGTGTCGGTGAAGGAACGACCAAGGGGGAATATAACATTGTCAGTGGCAGGATCAATGACCTCGCATGGGACGGTGATTCCCAGCGCATCATTGCCGTCGGGGAGGGAAAACAGCGGTTCGGACACTGCATTAGCTGGGACAGTGGAAACACTGTTGGTGAGATCACCGGACACACCCAAGCGATCAATTCCGTGTCGATCAAACAGCAGCGACCCATCCGGGCGGCTGCCGCGGGCGATGACAAGACGACCGTGTTCTACCATGGCGCGCCCTTCAAATTCAACACTGGAATTCGTGGCAAGCATACGAACTATATCTACGGGGTTGGGTTCAGCCCCGATGGCTCTAACTTGGTCAGCGTTGGTGGAGACCGTGCTATCTGGCTGTACGACGGCAAAACGGGTGAAACGAAAGGCAAGATTGGGGAAGGCGAGCACAAAGGCAGCATCTTCAGCGTGTCATGGTCGAAAGATTCGCGCAAGTTTGCGACGGCTAGTGCAGACAGGACCGTCAAGATCTGGGACGTTGAAACAGGAAAGGTTGCGCAAAGTTGGTCATTCGAAGAGGGGGTAGAGAACCAGCAAGTCGGTGTGGTTTGGCCCCACGGCCGAAGCGATGGCCTTCTCATCAGTCTCTCGCTTGGGGGGGTTCTCAACTACCTAGTCGAAGGCACCCCGGAACCTAGACAGGCTATCCAAGGCCATCAGAAGAATATCACTTCAATGGCTAAACTCAGTACAAGCTCTGGCGAGGAAACATTATGGACCGGGAGCTCTGATGGTCGGATCCGTAGCTGGGACATCGGAACAGGTTTTGCAACTGAAATTAAAGGCGATCAGCACTCGACCTACATCGCCGGCTTGGCTGGCACCAATGAGGACAACGGCCGTCTTTACAGCGCAGCTTGGGATGACACCATTCGATCTGTTGACATGGATAAGAAGATGTACACTGGAACCACTGTCAAGCTCTCCGGTCAACCGAAGGGCGCGGTCGCGAGCGACTCCACAGTCATAGTTGGGAATTCAGAGGGTGTCGAACTCTTCCGAGATGGCCAGAAGATAGGCGATTTCAAGTCAAATGTTCCGGTCACCACTGTTGCCGCTCAGGGAACAGTCGCTGCTATTGGAGGCGAAGACTCGTCGGTTCAGATCTGCAATATCGGCAACTCAACACTAACCCCAAAGATAGAGGTAAAGGCAGGCCGTAGCCCGGTATCTGCTTTGGCGTTCTCACCAGATGGCTCCTTGATCGCTGCTGGTGAAGCACGAGGCCGAATCCTTGTTTTTAAGGTTTCTGACGGCAGTCTGGTCACTGACCGTTGGACGGCACACACTTCTCGAATCACTTCTCTCGTTTGGAACGACAAGGGCACCCATGTCGCTAGCGGAGCTCTGGACACCCATATCTTCGTTTGGAGCTTGGCGAACCCAGGAGAATGGATTAAAATGGCCAATGCTCACAAGGAGGGGGTGAATGGGGTGGCTTGGATTGCTCAAGGATCTAAGATCGCGTCGGCTGGTGCCGATGCTGCTGTCAAGATCTGGGCACTTGAGGATTTGAAATAAATCCGACTTGAGGATGTTCTGTGTATGGAAAGATGTCCATGCCAAGACCATCAGAGAATCCATTCTTCTTGATGGTTTATTACATACCTTGGTAGAGGGATCAGTATGTAAGATGGTACTGGTCATCCTAATGCAGTACCCATCCCACTGTTGCTCTAAGTAAAAGCCGTTTCAAATTCTATGAGAGTAACAATGATATAAGAAGACCAATACCTTGATGGGAATCTTGAGACATCCGTTTTTCTCTCTACTATGATATTTCTAAGCCGTGCGTGTACAAATTAAGTATCTCTAGTGGCATTAAACCCCACAAATCTTGATAAATGACGACACCCGCATAATTAAACTACCCAAAGTAGGTGCAACGCGCCCAGCTCAGAGCTGCAGCTACACCGGTGAATTTCTATTCAACCATTTCATTAGCAACGAAAAATACCATGCTATGTGTCTGGAGCTCTGGCAGTTATATCGAAAAATGACATGAAAATGTCATCTGATGCCTCTTCGAGTAGTTCTATTCGCTCTTTTCGGTCAAAGGTGCGCTCCAAGGTTGGTTCCATGGCAGCTCTCGCTTCTGCACGGATACCTTTATTGACTTGTTACTCCAGCTCCATCCAGCTACCTTCGTCCTACCGAGAACCGGACAACGTCTTAAAGGGCTCGTAAATCTTCAGGGTCACAACGAGGCCAACAATGGCTCTACAGTCGGTGAGCGGCAGCCGCTGCTTCCACGAGAAGGCCCAGACGAGCATAAAGGCCTTTGCACAAGGATAGCCGGGAAGATTGCAAGTCTATATCATCAACTGCTTGGATTTATGACGTCGGAGCTAGGGATCGGAATCTTGAAATGCAGCCTGGCATATCTGCTTGGTTCTCTCGCTACTTTCATTCCGGTCATTGCGTCTTTTCTCGGGCATCAAGATGGCAAGCATGTGGTTGCTACCATCACGGTCTATTTTCATCCGGCGAGGACCCGAGGGAGCATGTTCAAGGCTTCGATATGTGCCTTTCTGGCCTTTCTCTATGCCGCCTTCATCTCAGTTACGAGCATGTGCATAACCATGTTCTTTCAAGACCAGCTCAACCTCCTTTTACTCGGCCATGTTCTAGTGCTCATAGTATTTGTCGGAGGGGGTTTTGGGTTCATGGGGTGGACAAAGCAGCGGTTGGGAGACCCGCTCGTCAACGTCGCCTGCTCGCTAGCCTCTTTGGCTTCAGTCACCGTCCTGACGAAAGAGGGCGCGGTACAAAATGGAGAGATATCGTTTGCAAAAATTTCGCAGGTCCTCAAGATGGTCATCATGGGTGTCAGTGCGTCCATGGCTGTCTCATTCCTGGTCTTCCCCATCTCGGCACGAAAGAAGCTCAGAGCTAACATAGTCAATGTGACTGGGACCCTGGCGATCATGCTGGCGATTATTACGGATAGCTTCCTCAGTGGTACTGAAGAAGAACTTCGTTCAGAGCGTTTTATAGAAGCCTCTAAGCGCCACAAAAAGGCGTACTCACAGCTTGATAAACTGGTCAAGGAAGCAAAGCTTGAGCACTTCTTCGCTGGGACCGAGAGAGAGTACAGACTAGAGAAGAATTTGGTCCGGTGGGTACAAGACATTACTCACAACATGGGTGGTCTGCGTAGTGCAGCTGCTCTCCAATTCCAACTGCTGAAGCAGACCGAACACCCTCAACCAGCTCAGATGCCTGACCAGAGGATCCAGCCTCCCAGGTTTGCATCAGCAGCGACTTTCTGGTCCTTTCATGAAACACCCATGTTACTCACACCGATTGATGAAATCCCGGAAGAAGAAACACTGGCCACCTCTAAGGACCCTTTACCTGGGGAGGCAACAAAAGATGGTGATGCGGGTCTTGCCCAAAGCTACCATCCGGCCGATATATTTGAAGTATTTATAAGTCACTTAGGGCCATCTATGGTAAGTTCTCTGCTCATCAATGAGCCCGATTAGTAGTATCATGTTGACTGTGCCTATAGCGCTCATTTGCATTCACAATGAAGGAAATATTCCAGGAAATTCCATTCGGGCCATCTCCAGATTACAAGGTTTCAGTCAATAGCAAGTTTCAGAACAGTCTCGAAACTGCGCTTTTGCTTTATTGCGAGTCTCGGAACGAGGCTTTGGCTTCTCTATACCGACAAAAGGAGGTTATGAAGGTCCAGAGTTCGGAAGCAGAAGCAGATCTGGAAGAGGTCTCTGCAAGTTGTGGACATTTCAGCTTCTCACTTCTCGAAATAGGTGAACAACTAAAAGACTTACTCGCCATATTGGATGAACTGCAGCTCGAAGTTGATGAGAGACCCAGAGGAAGATCATGGAGCTGGCTTATGTTCTGGAAATCAAGAGATGTTGGGGTATCTGATAAAAGCGTTGTAAACTTTGGTGAGAAGCATCTTCCCCCATATACTCTAAGTATTTACATCACTGAACCAGGAATAGATCATTTATCCACAACCTTTGCAATTGGAAGCCATAAATACTCAATGGCCGACTCTGATCCATCTCACTTGGAGAACCAGCGAACTCTGCCTTCTGCTGAAGAACCAGAAGATTTTCGAGGAAAAAAGAGGATCGGTTATCGCATCTGGAAAGCCCTTGAATTTTTTCGCCGAGATGACACCAAGTTTGCAATCAAGGTTGGAGCTGGAGCAGCAATCTATGCTTTACCCTCATTTCTCTCTGAGTTCCGGCCATTCTATGCTCGCTGGCGCGGAGAATGGGGTCTCGTATCCTATATGTTGGTTTGTTCGATGACTATCGGTGCCTCAAACACCACGGGGTATGCTCGATTCCTTGGTACATGTCTCGGAGCAGTCTGCGCAATAGCGGCATGGTACATGGCAGCTGGCAATGCAGCTGTCCTTGCCTTCTGTGGGTTTTTAATGGCAATTTGGACGTTCCATCTCAATCTTGCGAAAGGCCAGGGGCCGATGGGACGATTCATTATGCTCACATACAACTTGTCCGTTTTATATGCCTACTCCCTTTCTCAGAAAGAGGCCAATGGCGATGAGGATGAAGGGGGCGAAAATCCCGTCATTACTGAAATCGTGCTCCACAGAGTTGTTGCGGTCTTATCTGGGTGCATCTGGGGCGTCATCATCACGCGTGTAATATGGCCTATCAGTGCTCGCGAGAAGCTTAAAAACGGGTTGAGCTTGGTCTGGTTGCGGATGAGCCTGACATGGAAGCGCGATCCATTGTCGCTCATGGCACAAGAGGGAACTACAAAACTGTTGATGACTCCAAGAGAGAAACTCGAACTTGAACGCTTCTTGTCTCATCTCGAGTCTCTTCATGGCGCCGCTTCCTCTGAGTTCGAGCTGAAAGGCCCATTTCCCGATACCACATACAGCAGCATCATTCGCCGTACAAGAAGCATGGTCGATGCTTTCCACGCGATGAATCTGGAGCTCATGAACAACCTGACAGCTTCTGAGGGAGAGCTTTCAATGCTTCGGTATACCGCCAAGGAGAGACTGCATTTATCGGCACGCATCAGCCACCTCTTAACTGGTAAGTCCTAGCAGGTCTGACTCTACAGTTGCATTGTCATCATCTAATCTTGATGATCCAGTCCTTGCATCATCGATGAAACTCGAATATCCTCTAAGTGATGTTCTACCAAGCATAGACCATGCCAGAGACCGTTTGCTGGCGCGCATTTTCCATTATCGCAGAGACCTAACCGTTTGTCAATCGACCACAGACGAGGATTATGCCTTGCTATATGCCTACAGTAAGTCCATTTCGAAACATGTTTTGCATATCCCAAGATTAAATGGCCATTGACTCGATTTAGTCCTTGTCACTGGGCAGTTGTCAAACGAGATAATGGAGATCATTCAGGAAATAGGGAGGCTGTTCGGATTACTGAACGAAGATGCAATTCAGCTTCTGTAGTACCATTACCACCAGCTATCGAACTGAAAATAAACTTAACACCTAATAGCTCTATCTGTAAGCGTATATAAAATCTGCACACTTTACCTGGTGCCAAAATCCAGCAATAGATTTGGTGAGGCGGCCGAGTCCATTTCCGAACGCGATATTTGCTACTTCGGGACCCTGGCGGGGAACACATTCAAGGGTTCGTTCCAACCTTCCATTAATTTGCCATCGAAATACCACCCATTCCATCGCGATTCCATCCTAAAATCGTCGCCTGACGCGCTATTTGCGATCCATAATTCTTCTTTCCCGCTTCGATCGCCCTACTTGATGACGGCCTAATTCCTACACCCCTCCGGCGTCGCGCAGCCCCTCGCGCTACAGCGAGACTGCCACAATGCAAATCGATCCGGCAGCTCTGAACCGGACAGACTCGGCTGCGAATGCAGTACCGACTTCCAAGAGCTCTTCTACAACCGTATCCGTGCCACAGAAACTGACCAAGGCGTTGTTATCAGTCCCGCGACTGGAGCTGGAGCCTATCTACACGGAGCTGAAAGCTGCAATCGGCGACAACTGGGCGGAATACAAGCAAGCTACGAGTCTGTTCCTCTTAGGTACGCTAGAGGATTTGTGCAATTGTCGGAGCTATGTAGAGACCTCAGAATGCGACTGACGATTTTTCCACGTTTGATGCAGGACATCTAAATCAGAATGAGCTCTCCGCGCGCGTGGACCATATCATATGCGTCGATTCCAAGACCGAACATCTACATAACAATTTCATTTGCGCGATTATAGGGAATCTATCCCGAGACCTCCCTGATCATGGCGTTGCAAGCTGGGTGTCAGCGAACGACAAGCCGTCGGTCGTGTCGAAACCCGTATCCGGCGATGTTGCGGAGCAGAGATTGAAGACGGAGGTAATGCAGCTGCCGCCAAGGGACCGTCGCAGGATAAAGGGAATTCCAGAGGTATGACAGGAGAGAAGGGTAGCTTTGATAGGTGCGATAGATGCTGACGATACGGATATAGCGTGATCCAAGTGAGACTGTGCGGCACGAACTGGAAGAATATCATCTGGCGAAACAGATAAAGCTTCCTAGCCAGGTCCCAGCAAGTGCCGGTGGCTTAAATAAAACAAGTGAGTCTCTGCTTTTGGGCTTTGACCTCGCGGATCACTGACAGTGGAATTAAACGATAGATTGGGAACTTGAAATCCGAAAGCGTTACGCGCAACCGCTAGCAGCAGAGACGGGTGAATTCCCCGATGCAGAGTCAATACATACACGCATGGTTCCTATATGCTACGAAGAGTCGATCGTCAGCGGTGCTGGACTCCCCTGCGCCGAGTTTATGGCCATCGCAACAGAGACGTTTGTAAAGGAGGTCCTTTCTGTTGTGTTTTCGCGGACGAGACTTAATGGTCCATCCGGCACCATCAACGGTATGATGACCCTCAAATACCGACAACAGCTTGAACGAGAAGAGCTGGCATTCACCCGTGGCGATATTTCCAAGGACAGCGCAACTGGTCTACTCCCTGTCGAGGCCAAAGAAGCAAGCTATAGGAAACCATTGGGCGTCAGAGATCTCCGTTTGGCTTTGGAGCTTGGCACCGGGGTGCTCGGTCACATGCCGCTCATTATCGACCAGATCATGGGTGGTTCTGTGGAAGAGGATTTCGACATGAGCCCACGACGAGAGAAAGCGATAGACGAGTTGGCGGAGGTACACCGCGATGAACCCAAATCACTCACCTTCCGCGACGAGATGGATATCGACGATGTCGATGCGTCATCGGACTGGGAATATGAAGCCGCAGCAAACAGAGAACAGCTGGAAACCTTGCTTGATGAGTGTCTGTCCATGGCATCGTAATAGCAACAGCAACCCATTATACCCTTCCACACACACCGCTTGCATTGTACTTTTTTATCCTATTCTTCCTTTCTTTTCTTTTTGCTCTCCTATTTCTTTTCCCGCCTTTCTATATTTAACCCTGCAGTTGTCACGCGCAGGCACCGCAGCTCAGGGGACATGGAGTATTCAAAAAGGCAATGGTGTTCAAGGAGGATGGATTCATCAGTCAAGGCTGGCTGTATTGATGGTTACAACCATATATATCTGCATCAGATATGGAGTTAGGGACTTGGCTTTGGCAACCTTTTTTTTCTATCTTATCAAGTGGTCTCTATTCTTTCATTTCCTGTCTCATATTTCCCATTCAGTGCTTTCTGGCTGTCACTGACGGTCATGAACCACAAGGGCCACAAAGATACCAAGGACAACTTGGAATACTTGTATAAAATTGATAATCTAAAGCTAATAGCAGTAATGAGTATGATAACAGAGATTTTGGTGGAATCGACAGTAGTTTCTCAAGGGGATAGAGTCTAGAGTCTAGTTCCAAGCATTCTTTGCATAGCAAGCAAGTACTGATTCCTAAAATTCCTTCAATATTCACAATTTGATATGGAGATCTAGGAGATCTGGCAGCAAGCAACGCGTACTTCTAGTGGTCTCATTGTTATTAGACATTGTCTACTTTATATGTTTTTGATAACCACCTCGAGTTTACCCCATCCTCAATTCTCAAAGATCGACAGATGGTTGTTTCTATCTAGAGTTTCTTTGAGATACGAGTCTGTAATGTTTCAAGGGGGTCCATATAAAAGTATATCTTGGTCATTGAGACTTGAAAATTCGGACTTATTGGTCGAGAATAGGTGTTCTTAAACGCGAAGAGATAGGCCGTAAAAAGATTATTGGGTGTTGTAGCCAGCAGTTGCGCGGTTGAAGAGCCAAAGGAAAAGAGGATGACGCTCCCTAATTAATAGGGAAGTAGGCATGCAATCCCCGACATCTCATCTTCGAAGTGTTCCTTTGGTGTTCGCTCGAGTCCTGTTCATTGCAGCAACATTGCTCTTGTTGACGAGCACTTTGCGGAGACTATGATAACCACCGTTTATGACTTGATAGCAGCCCAGAGTTAATAAGACAATTAAAGATTTACAGAGAGGAAGGTGAGGTGCGACGTCTCTTTCTATCATTGCAAAATCGGATTGGGGTCACTGAACTTGAATATCTTTAACACCAGGCAATAATAGAAACATTCATACATCAATTAATAAATACATCACTGGACAAGCTGGTTAGCAACCAGTTTTAATATTTCTTCCGTGGACAAGTGCGCGTTAGCAGGATCTTTGGCAACGGACTGCCAGACTTCGCCATGCTTCGGTTCGGTAGAGATACATTTGGAAATCACGTCGGATCGTTTTTCCTGCAGTAAAATAACAAGTTAGTATATTTTTGTATTATTTGAATAAATTTAAAAAGACCGGTCACTCACCTCTGTGCCATGTTGCAACAGGAATTTGTAGTACCAGGCCCAAGCATCGCCAAGGTCACTGTCCGAGATAATCGCCTTTTCGAACCATGTCATGGCCTTCTCGAGTCGACGTTCTCCCCAAAAAATCCGGGCCACGGTAATGAACAGGATAGGGTCATTGTCCACCTTCTTGATCGCTTCCAGACTGCGAGCCTTGCGCTGCGCCCGAGGCTCAAGATACCAGATGCTTTCACTCCACAGAAGCCCGGAGGTCGGGACTTCCTGCAGAGCTCTTGCCATCAAGACCTTAGCCTGGGCAATATTTTGGGCGCGTCTCTCCACTCTGACACTTTCTGTCCATAATTCGGCGTTCTTGGGAACGGCCAAGCGAGCCCGATCAAGGATCGAACGCGCTCGAACGACTGCCCCAGCCTTTTCTTCGAGCCTAGAGGCAAGTAGCCAGAGAGGAACAGACTTCGGACACGCTCGAGTACCGATCCCAAAAGCTTCGCGGGCTTGCGGGAACTTGTTTTGCGATTCGTATATTTGACCTTTCATCATGAAAAGCTTATCGGCTTTCGGGTATAGTTGGAGGCCTTGGTTGACAAGATCAAGAGCTTCGTCAATGTTGCCGAGCTGTCGCTCAAACGACACACTCTTGATCCAAACACGATCCGTTCCTGCTTCACGGCGAGCTGTAGCAAGGAGTTCCCTCGCTTGGTCTGTTTGCTTGGCATCCGCCTCCAGCTTGACAGCAGCAAGCCAGATATCCTCGTTGTTGGGGTTCTGGTTGAACGCACGACCGAGCACTCGTCTAGCATCGTCAATTTCTCCAGATTGCCACTTCTCTTTGGCAAGCTGCAACCATAACTCCTCACTCTGAGGACAAGCTTCCACAGCTTTCTCCAGGACCTGCCATAGGGCTTCCTTTGTACCATGGATACGTTCTAGGTCGGCTGCAGCGATCCAGATCGACTTCCGATTAACAAACACGCGCAGCGCATAAGCATAAATGGCTCGTGCCGTCTCGTATTTTCCGCGGGCAATGCTGGCCTTTGCATCATCCATCCAGATATCCTTACGATCATCGTCCTCATCGAGGCCCCAGCCGAGAGTTTCTCGAACAATTGCACCACATGTGAGTATGGCACCTTCTTCCTCGCATTTCTCGGCTTCTGTGATCCATTCCTCTCTCTTAAGCATGGCATTTTCGCGTGCGAGTGATTGTACCGCTCTTTTCATCACGTTCACTTTCTCGAATGTACCCATCTGCTCTTGTAATCGCGAGGCAGCGATCCAAATCTCATGACTGGTTGGGACGGCCTTTCTCGCCAAGTTGAGGACTTTCTGAGCCTTTTCCGGGGTTTCCAAACGAGCAAGGGCAAGCCATAACTCTACGGACAACGGTATCATCTCAGTTGCCTTTGCAAGGAGCAACCGCGCATCGGCTGGGTCTTCCTCCAAATTGACGGCCTCTTTCCAAATGACGACTGATTGAGGGATATGAAGAATCGCCTGCCTCAAAACGTTCTTCTTGGCGCGGGTGTCTGTTTCCAGTCTCATGGCTTCAATCCACAATCGGGTCGATCGATCATTGTTTTTGATCGCATTGGCGGCAATCACTTTGGCATTATGACCTTCGTTGAGGCGAATATTTTCTAGCCATGCGTCTTCACTTTTCGAGCAGAGCTCACAGCCTCTGGCGATGACGTTTCTTGCAGCAACTATCTTTCCTGCAATCTCTTCTAAGCGCGCGAGCGCAATCCATCCTGGGGCGTGTTTCGGATTCGTTTTGGTGACTGACTCTAAAAGAACACGTGCTCGCTTCACATCGCCGATCTCTACCTCACCAGCTTTCAACTCTGATTGCGTCAGACTGGTAAGATAGCCTTTCGGGTCAATACTCGTGGAGCTGCCCGAGGCCGCATCGCCAGATGAGCCCAAGGCGGCTTGGTCAAGTCTGACTTTAAGAACTTTATCACGGGCAGCACCGATATCCGCGAAGTTCGTCATTGTTCCGTCTCCAACTCCCTGATTGGCGGGCTCAGTTTGAGTGCCATCTTCGGCTATGGTCGTTTCGAACTGTGTCGAGTCTCTGGCGCTTGCAAGAACACTATCTGGAACAGCGTAGAATCTCTGTCGAAGATTTTGTTTCGCGCGGCGATTTTTCCCCGTGAGGTCCCCAACCTCAGGAAGGTTAGCCCATTCGTCTTCGGAGACAGCTGCTAGAGATCGTTTCAAATCGGCGAACTGCTGTTGGATTTTTGGGTTCTTTCTTTCGTATTCATCTCTTTCTTCGACTTCCCGAGCTTCCCTAAGAATTTCGAAGGCATCATGTCGGTATTCTGTCCACAAACGGGAATGACCCGATGAACAACAGCTTCTCAAAAAGAAAAGGAAGGGATGATCTACTGACCTTCGTGCTCTGCGCCTCTTATCCATCTTCTCATCTACTTCTCTGTAGATACGATCTGCCTCGTCATCCTCCTGATCGAACTGACCATAGGCAAAAAGGCCAATCTCATTATCGGGATCTTGGAAACGCTCGTCTTCCTCCTCCTCTGCCTTTTCCTCTTTTCCACCCTTCTCTCGCCCACCGCCATATGCCGTCGGAGGAGCAGCCCCAAGAAGTTGCGCTCGCTTTGTGAGAGCAGCTTGGATTTGCTCTGGTGTAGGGCCTTCGCGCGCGGGTCCAAGGTCCGAACGAGTGGTGAAACCTGTCGCACCTCGACCTAAACCGGCTACATAGTTCTCTGGAGCAGGCTGGCTCAGAAAATCTTTCCGCCCAGATGACATTTTTTATAATGAAAAAATGCAGATATATCCCTGGGGAAACAAGGGATAGAAAAGATGGCGGCAACGAGACCTCCTGGTAGGCGCTCTGGACTTCCAATATAAAAGGTACGGAGTATCAAAGCTGAGATAGACGCAAGAACATAGATCCGTTCCGGCAATCTTATCGGCCAAAGCTTACCTGATGATCTCATCCAAAGTTGCTTGTATGAAAGCATTGGGAAGAGCATGATTTTCCTCACTAGTCACAGGACCAAAATACATAATTATAGAATGTGTCAAAGTGGAATATTTTCTGAATGTCGCTCCAAGAATCTAAAACAGTACAGATATAAATCCAGCCAGACCAATCTAAGTCTAATTCTTTTGACCAAATGTTCGGCTTCCTCGTACATCGGCTATCCTTTAAGCCAACCCCAAATTTTTCATGAAAAAATTGAAAGCAGATTCGATCAACTTCTTTCGAGTATTTGAATTGACCGCGAGTGTCTTTTGTTAGGCATGATTCGGAGCTATCTGGGATTTGGTAGAGCTTTGTTGCCCAATTTTCACTTTTTCCGCCGGCTTGGGGAAATTAACGGAGAGAGGGAGATGACTGAACCAGCATCCTGGAAGACATAAAAATGTGTCTTTGAGTTGATAGATACTGTTGCCTAGTCGTAAAAGACCACCGGCATTAGTAGCGTCAAATTCTCAGGCTTTTAGCATCCAGCCGAAGCCAAATACAAGTATAGAATGGCGGCGGGAACAGGCCGAGGTGTTGAAATCAGAATCTCTCGGTATGAAAAAGGGTTTTGTTGAAGTTAGTGTAGACTGCCGAGACCAGGGGGTATAAGGTGATTAGATTCATTCATAACGTTTCAAGAGCCATGGCATTAATCCTGATTATTATTATACTGTACCGTTCCCAGAGGAAACGTCGCCCGCGGACCTCAGATGAGCACGCGAATCTTGGAATAAGCTCTGCCAAATGAAGGCCTCACTCAGCAAGAGCTCAATGTCTTTCTCGGTCCAATTCTTTGTTGGTAAGGCTTGCAAGAACATCATGACCTCCTGTGTTGCTTCTATCAGCGTCTTCATGGGACCCTTGAGATTCGATGGCCGCTTACCTGGAAATCCATCTTAACTAACTGCTCCGACCACTTGACTAGGAAAGCGGCACAAACATAAAGATGGAAGCGTGAGAATCCCTGCTCCTCTGCCTTTGAGAAGGTCAGCATACAAACGTCATCATTGGTGGGACTCAAGATGTACCATATATGTATCCCACATTCTTATTGTGTTCTTTATGCTCATCTCTCGCATAAGCAAACAGTTCATCCAACGAAAGCTAAATTGCATGAATTCCACACCCTCGCCCTCCAAATGCTTGGCAAGAGCAGAGTCAATGCGCACTGTCAAGTCACGGAGGGCGTTGACTTGTCGATGAATGCCAGGCTGAGCATAAATGTAATTATCTTGAATGCCATCAAGAAGCTTGGTCAAACACCAGAAGGAATCGGCCTCCACTGCATCCAGGACAGACTTGGGTAGCTGACCAGGATCCATTCCTTCTTCCACGTCTAGATCTGTAATGTAGACACCAAGGAAAACTTGCCAGAATGGTGTGACGAGATCGTTTATCCCTTGAACATAGCCACTTGCTGGATGTCGGATGGCCCAGACATACAGGATTCTCTCCAATGAACGCTGGGTAGCCTCATAACCATATAACTCTATGTGTGGATTTGTGCGTGGGACGTCAATACTAATCTGATGCCACACTGCTTCATCGAGACCTCTGGCACGTCCCGAGGTAGAAGCACTCTGCTGTCCAGGGCTTGCAACGTTGCCGCGTTCAAACGCTTGCCTCACGCCATCCAGATACTCCTTGCGCTTTCTTTCGAGAGTTGAGATACGTCTTTCACTATTAGTCGGCAGATATCCGAGGAGAATTTGCCAGGTCATAGCTCGCACTTCATCGGGGACTCCTGACCAGGCCAAGTCTCGTAATTCCGACAACGAGATGTTGCTGGATTGTAGAATTCGCTTGAACTTATTGATCCTAGAGATGCGAGACGAATAATTCTCTGTCTCCTTGGAAGATGCATTCGCTGGGGGAGGAGTATGGCTGATGAGGTTCAAAGCATTCACTGGATCTGAAGAATGTTTCAGCATGTGAATGACAGCAAGAAGCCATTCAAACTCACCTTGGAGAATATCTTTATATTGAGGCCTGAGAATCTTCCCCTCCCCCGTACGGGCCAACGGATACATAGGCGCACCGCGCTCCTCGGCAATATCCGAGCTGTCCGCTCGATGCCTACCAGCACCGAGCGCAAGTCCAAGACTTGAGGTATCCTGCTCATTATTCCCGCCAGGATCGATACTTTTCCTCTGAAAGAAGTTATTCCTCTTAAGATCCTTCTTCCGCAAGCTTGAAATGCTAGGAAGCCCGAATTCGTCCTCTTCATCATCGTAAACGATCTCTTCGTCAACCTCGTCATCGTCCGCATTGTCGGTAGTCCAAGATTCATTTTCATGGGTCAGAATCCCAGAATACGGCTCGCGCGGGGGAGATGTGACCCATATCCCAGGTCGAGAAGGAGGAGTGGCATGTCGAGCGTTTGCTGAAGCTTGTCGCGGCGGTGTCCTAGGGCGAGAGTGTGACGGAACACCTCTACTAAAGGGCAATTGTCAGATCATAAAGTTGAAATAGTCTTTCGTACCGAACCCTCGGGGACAAACTTCAAGATGTTTGCGTGTGAATAGGAAGCGCCGACTACCGTATTAGAAGGGCTGTGGTTGGTTGACGGCGTTCTACTTTTCCAGAAGGGAGAGCCTGTACGTCTTCAACAAATGTCAGTGCGTAGTTCTCTTATACTGCTGCTCATAAACAGTACATACTCTGAACGATCTAAACATGAGACCATTGACGCCGTATTAGTCCATGAAAAGGGCAAGTAGATAGGGTCCCTTGAGGTACGAACCAACCTGGACCATCTCCTTGGAACTTCATCAGCCAGCGCATACAGGGCGATTGAGTGCTTTGGAATCAATTATAAGCACGTACCTGCTGCTGATGCTTTTTTCCGGACATTGTTGAGAAATACGTCCAAACAAGCACTCAAATGACACAATCCGAAGTATAGGTCATTCGCACTCGGTGCTGCGAGCCAAGTGCGGGGTGCGGTGGATGGCAAGTTTCCAGAAAAAATGATACTCAGCTCGACAAACTATCTCATAGCTGTAGATCAGATGGTAGGAGTAAGAAACATCTGAGTTAGGCAGTGAGTGAAGTGCTATTCTTTTCCGTTATCTCCGGGAGTTGTTGCACCATTTGCGGCCGTGGAGGTAGGTGCTTGCTGGAGGAGGCAGGTTCCAGAGTTTCCCATCGCCCGCGGTCGGCTCCTGGCCGCTGCTGGCCAACCCAACCTCCTCCACCTTCTCTCGCTGCCGCTGCGATTCTTCCCTCGCTTCACCCCCATCCCCTGATACGCTATCACAGCTCTAATTGCCCCTATTGTTTGTATTATATTCGCCCTATTCACTTGCACATTTTAACTGGACCGTTTTTACATCACCCAGGTCGTCTCCACTCTATTGAGACCTCCCAGGTGGAGTTTTTGCCTTCCCCGGTCTTCCCTCACAGGCCCGGAAAGCTTTCCAGAGAACTCTAGGCCTTCTTCAAGTCTTTAGTTATCACTCCAGTTTCCATTCTCTAACAATGGCAGAGCCGGAAGACCTTGAAGAAGATCTTTTTGCCGATCTGTAAGTCTTGATCACTTAATTCTCTAAGCAGCGAGATCTGACTTCCTACCCTAAAAGATATGAGGCAGACGAGAAAACAAACCACGCGGTACCTGGGACCGATGCTACGACAGCTGCCGAGCCAGCCTTCTCAACTCCCGGGGCATTTTATGCAGACAACAACGGCACGCAAGATTATGGCAACACCCAGTTTGAAGCAGAAGAGAACAGGGGCTATGACCAGCCGTATGATGGAGGTCACCAGAATGGCGCTGGCGGTCTAGATACTGCCCCGATCAATAGTGAAATGGGTACTGCCGTAGATTCTGAGCCTCAAGGGACGGGAATAAAGGAAGATGGGTAAGTGTCTATGTGTTGCAACAGCATTTTTGATTTGTTCCCACTCCTCTTTTCCGGGGTTGATATTATGCACATTCTTTCCCATTGTTGGTCAACTCTCTTCAGATGGAGGATCCATCTCCCTCCGATGTTTGTCCAGGAAGACGTTGATTGTACCGTCATGATTGGATGATGATTGACGTTACGGTGCAAAATCGGGTCTATGGAGTTGCGATGGCATTAAAGCTGGACAAAAAAAGGACTGGACATTTCTTTGGCTTCCGGGCAGAACTCTACTCGAGCGAATACAGGCCACTATATTCGCTAGGCGTGTTCGCGCTCTCTACGAAGAACTATCTGGCTCCTCTGCTGCACTCAGTTTCATCTAGAGTGATTGCGAGATGCCGGATCTCCTGCTATCTGAGAGTCCGGGCAAACTCAGTCTCTTGATTCAAACGACATGGCAATCAAGAAAGTGAAAGCCTCGATGACATGATTCAACATAGCCTTCAGAACGAGTGGCTAGGATACAGATGATACTATCTGGCTTGTCGATGTATCTTGATAGAACAGAGCGAGGTTTAGACGTCTTGGCTGTTCGGATGGGACATTTCGAACAACGTTACCTAGCTTCGGACTCTATTAGACAGGAATCTTCGTCAGAGCAAAGATACAGAAACAGAGACAGAAAAAAAGACAGAATTATTCACTTTATTACGCCCTGGCTTGCTGCAATGCGTGGCTTGTTTATATCTCGCGCATATTCGATCCTGGAAGTGATCTCGAATACCTCCAGTTCCACTGGGCTCGTCTTGTAAACCAGTGGAATTCAACCCTCTTTTGACTAAAGATTTGACTGCTCTCCCAATTCGGCTACGTCCTTCAACGTATGGGTAGCGCGATCTGGTGAATCTCGAATGATAAAGGGTGTCGAGCTTGAGGCCTGTGACTGTCCGATCAAAGATCATGGGCGGTGCCAACCCAACTCTCTTCTGAGGTCGTGGCAACCTTGACATGACCTTTTTTGCCAACCCTTCCAAATTACCTGAAGAGAAACGACCAGATATTAAAAAATATCCTGCCTTTGACCGCAACATGCCTTTTTATTTTGTTCAGCCGCATTTAAATGTTTTGTTATAGCGTGTATTGATGCATTTAACAACTCAGAGCATATAAACTAATAGATAACTCTCTTTTAGGAAAATGTTTATTGGTGGCTTGAATTGGGAGACTACAGATCGTATGCAATTTCCCTATATGCTTTTTCAATGTTTCTCTCTCTAACTCCATCTATATAGAATCCCTACGCGACTACTTTTCTCAGTTTGGCGAAGTCCAGGAATGCACTGTGATGCGTGACAGCGCTACCGGGCGCTCTAGAGGCTTTGGATTTTTAACTTTCAGAGATCCTAAAACTGTCAATACTGTGATGGTTAAAGAGCATTATCTTGATGGGAAAATTGTAAGCCTTACTCCCAGTAACCTGACCTTTTTGATCTAGCATGTAAATGCCTTGGAGCGAACTAACAAGCATCTAAAGATTGATCCGAAGCGTGCCATCCCCCGCGATGAACAGGAAAAGACGAGCAAGATATTTGTCGGCGGTGTGAGTCAAGAAGCAACTGAGCAGGATTTTAAGCAATTTTTCATGCAGTTTGGTCGTGTTATTGATGCCACTTTGATGATCGACAAAGATACTGGTCGTCCTCGTGGATTCGGATTTGTCACTTTCGATAGTGAGGCTGCCGTGGAGGCAGCTCTATCCCGTCCATTGGAGATTCTCGGCAAGCCTATTGAAGTTAAGAAGGCTCAGCCACGAGGCAACCTGCGGGATGAAGAAGATCGGAAGGGTCGACGGGGTAGAGACGGATTCCGTGACGGAAGCCAGGTCGGAGTTGACAGTGCCCAGCAACAGGGGGGACAAGGTGGAATGGGTGTCGGAATGACGCCTCAGATGATGGCTCAGTATTGGCAGCGAATGCAGCAGTATTTTGCTCTTATGCAGCAGCAGATGGCAGTCGCCGCTGCCAACCAAGGTCAGCCAATGGGGATGGGGATGGGTGGCATGAACCCTGCCATGATGCAGCAAATGCAACAGATGAAGCAAATGCAGCAGCAACAGCAGCAACAGCAGCAACAACCTCAGGAAGGAATGAGCCCTTCGTCACAAAGCCCTGGGCCTCAGGGAATGTCGAATATGATGAACCCTCAAATCATGCAGCAGATGCAAAGCCAAGGCCAAGGCGGAATGAGCAACTCCATGGCGGGCAATATGATGGGGAACAACTACTCGGCCCAACGCAGCGGCCCCGGGTACAACGCGCAGGAGCAAATTGCCTTTGAGCAGCAAAAGTATGAGCAACAACAGGCACGCCGAGCCATGGACAACAGAGGCTTCTCGCCTTATCAACAAGGCGGCCCAACCTCGTGGGAAGGCATGTATGATGAGGTTCCGCAGCCGAATATTCCCACTGGTCCTCAGAGTATGAGTCGCGGTAGCGGTGGCGGCATTGGTCGAGGTAAGCAGCATCTTATTCCTATGACACAATCCTTCGACTGTATGCACAGACTAGTGTAATGTTCTCTAATACTAATCTTTCTTTCAGGCTCTACTACCCCCCAGCCGCAGAGTGCTGCACCAGCCAATGCCCCGACAGGCCCGAAGAACGCCGGGAGGCCTGGCGCCAATTACCGTGGTGGCGGACGCGGCGGACATCGTGGTTTCCACCCCTACTCTCGCGGTTGATACCATTCCCATTTCACGCGGGCGTTGCCCCGTGTTCAACACACCCCTTGAGAATCCATCACAGCACAGGCTTGAGGGAGATTGCCAGTTCCTATCGCTCTATGAAATTTTACTTGCACACGTTTAATCATGATGAAACATGGACTATTCCTTCAATCGACTTGATATTTTTTTCCTTTCCACTGGTCCTAAAGTAATTACAGATTCTCTCTTATTCAAAAAAATCTCTGCAACTGGTAATTATACTACATAGAACGAACACCCGTGGAAATATAAAGTAGCTTTTACCTCTACTTTATGATTGGTCTTTGTATATTAAGAACCTGGTTAGAAATTTAGGTGCTAGATAGATAGATTCAACTCTATTTTAACCAGGTATCGAAACAGTGTTATCTGCCACCACGTATTGTGAAAATTTTAACTATATTATGAAAATAAATGATATACATAGAAAGAAGAGAACAGGCTCAAAAAGGAAAATCTTCGCCTTTGAAGATGATATATGGATATAATATGCTAAATTCGTACAAGATTCGCCGGGAAGGAGTGGTATGAGATCTATACCCAAGCTAGAAGATAGATTGAATGTAGCCAAGAAGAAAAAAAGGGAAGGTTCTACTCGAAAGAAGAAAGTAGAGGATGCATCGTGAAGACAATGAATACGGGTGGTGTGAAGATTTTGGTTTTAGAGCGCCATGCCATACCCTGGTTGGGTGGGATGGTGTGGCTCTGGCGAGTGACTCCGACTATCATGATTTGCGCCACTTTCTCGACTCGGACTTCGGTATTCCTGATGGTCGGTAGGCATGCCGGGCTCAACCAAGCGCTCGGTACTCTGGGTACGGTCATGTCGGGTAGCTGAAAACGGTTGGTCGCGGTAGGGCTCATAGGGACCCGTGAAGTTGAATTTGCTCATTTCTTTCAGATCCCTCTGTACCGGGGGGTGATCCATAAGAAGAGATGCTCGGGCATCTAACGGAGTGAGGTTGTCCATGTCGCGATCCATTTTTTCTGCGCTCAGTGTTAGTGACATTGACATCATTTCATGGTGGAATAACGGCTGCACTTACCAGCTTCTCTTCTTCTCCGAACATGGGGATTCTCGCGACAACACAAGATAATTGCATTTACAGCAATCAGTATGGCGAGAAGAGCCGTGAGTCCCGATTGGACGGCGATGAGAGCAATACCAGTGACAGTCTTGGTGGTCTCTGTGAGCCCCAGCTCCTCAGCAAAAACGAGCACACAAGCCACCGAAAGCATACGGACGACTTGAATGGTGATATTGATCCATTGGCCGGACTTCGCGGCGTAGGGGCGGTTCCACAGAAGCAGCAGCAGCATCAAGGCTTCCACGATCAACTGGCCAGCAGATTGAACGAGTCCGTGCCCATCTGCAGCAGCAATGATACAACTTTTGGCGAACATGTACGCAATTGCGGGCACGAAAATCCACCAGTAATCCTTCTTGTAGTTGTCGTAGAAAAGACTGTATTTGCGCCAAGTGTCCTTGTTCTCGAAAAGGCCCGCCGCGTCACCCTCGGATTGCTTATAGTTCTGAGCTGCGACGTAGATCTTGAACGAGAAGAACGCAAGGAGACCGGTGAAGGCGGACAGGGTGACAACTGCTAAAACTTTTGCGGCCCAGGAATCACCCGAAGTCAGCTGGTAGATGCAGTACAACACCCAGACGCCATAAAGGAGGAGGATCAAGTTAGTGATGGTACGACTCAACAGACCCCAGTAGTCCTTGCGGAAGTTGGTGAGCGCCTGCGGAAAGTTGCCGTACAAAGCCCACGCCTCAAGGATGACCTTGAACAGGAGAATGCTCACAGCGATGGCGGCAATGACGATGGCGAAGATCAGCAAGACCGTCATAAAGGTGTTAGCCTGAGGGATAGACAATTCTTCCGCATAAGCCTCAATACCCGAAACCAGGTGATCGATCTCGGAGGTACTAGAGCTTGTTGTAGCGGTGCTGGTGGCGGTGCTGGTGGAGGTGCTGGTGGAGTTGGTATCGACCGAAGCTGAAACCTCCCGGATAACCAAGCTCATTGCGCGCTTGAGTTTGGAACTGGCTGTAGAGGTAGAACCGTCTGAATAAACCAGGGTCGCTTCTTGGAGATACTCCCAACTGTCATCAGTGAGGTTACCACCAGTCGCCGACCGGAAATTATCGATTGCGGTTTGTAATGTCCCCCAGGGAAGGAGGCCGGTGCTGAATGCAAAGTTCGTGGTAAAGCTGCGATAAACAGACGGATAGCTCACACTGAGCATACCATTGGTCGCCATGCTATGGAACCAACCGACCACATCGCCGAACGTGGGACTCGAGGTGGAGGCCCCTGGATGACCAGCGGCACCCAGAGCGGATAGTCCCGTCACAGCCAAGGCAGCGCCAGCGACACCTGCAGCAACATAAGACACGGCCTTCATCTGGGTACTTTTGCCGTTGGTCAGGCTAGACTCGATACAGGCAACATCTTCGCCAGTTGCCTTGGATGTCAGTTCGAGCTTTGCCTCGCCCTCCAGATCAGGAATCGTAAATGCAATGGAGGGAATCTCGCTAGCATACGACTCGGGTACAACCATAGTACCGTTGGCGGAAAAGGAACCTGACGGAACTGCCACTCTAGTCAGCAAAAATTGAACACATTCCTCCGACGTAACAACTCACCAGGACAGAGCTTAGCAATATAGTTGGCCGAATCACAGGGATCAAAGGTTTTTGAATAAACTTGAACGCCGTAGGCGGTTACGCTTAGGGTTGCAGTGACATTCTGAACCTCTGAGCTGGTTCCTGCAACGTCGAAGACAAGCTCCCGAGTTGAGCGAGTATAGGTCACATCCAGCTCTTGGACCGAGACGGAAGCGTCAGTCATACAAGTGGAAATGCCATCTGTGCTTATGGTGTCCGAGGCGAGAACCTGGGCGGACAGGGTGCTCAGGCCCAGGAGCAGAGTAGCTCCTCTAGCGACAAGACCTCGCATTCTGAACATGTAGCCCTCTGGGAGCTAATAATAGAGATGGATTGAGCGGATACAAAAGTTGCGGAGGGCCGTTATGTATAGTGACGAAATCGATTAAAAACAGCGGTATATCGGCCACACGATAAATCAAAGAACGAATCAGTCGGACCGGGAAGGGAAAAGAGTCGTAACAGGGTCAACCTGCTTTTTCGAAATTAAGATCTAAAGAAACCCGTGAAACGGACGGTCAAGGAAAGAAATGCATGAGTCTCGCGCGGTTCCTTTTTTTTTCTCCCCTGTTCCTGCTTCTACCTTCGATACCAGTTGAACAAAGCACCGCAATCCGGTATGTCAGGGGCAGAGACGAGGGCCAGCAAGACCGACCGACGAGACAAGATGCGGAAGATCAGAAACGAATGGGAAAACCGGCTATCGAGCTGGAAAGCCAGGGCGGGCGAGAAATCGCTATGATTGCGAAGGGAGGGTTGTCACGGTTCGTGGCCCTGTATAAAACACACTACTGAGTGTGCAAGAACAATGCATACGGCAAAAGGCCAAAGAGAATAAAACAATAGGTCAAGCGAGCGACGGAGGTTTAAAAAGCGTAGTAAGAATATGATCGGTAGATCAGCAGAGAGCAGCAAAGCGAGTGTGATGGTGGTGGTGGTGGTGGCGGTAGCGGACGAACGATAGTAGAATAATACTCGCCCAGCACGGCGATTAGATAGTTAGTCGCAGTCCCTAGGTACCAGGGTCAGAGACTCAGAGCCAGCCGTGTGAGAAAACAAGCACACGAATCCATGCGGCCAGACCGTCGGGCGTCTCAAGTTTGGGGGCAAGCAGCCAACTGCAGACGGCCCCAGACACGGGAGGTTCTCTAATGGCTGGCGCCGTTACATGACGAGCTGCCCCTGTATTGTTCTGGCCCACCATAGTGGGGACCAGGAAGGCATACGTCAGTCCAAATAGGAAGCATCGGCGGAGTGCAGCATCTCAGATCAAATAAGAGCGGATATATTACACTGAGTGCCAGGGGAAAAAGCATCTGTGAGAAATGAGAGACAGTCTACTTTATAGAATGATAATATCAGTGGTTATATGCCTTAACACACCACCTCTTACTGATATTTTATGTAGAGGACCAGGATTTAGTGGTTTATTTAGTATTTTGTGGATATTTCATTACTGAGCCACATATGTAAAGTTGTGGTGGCTAGTACCTTACAGAGTAAGGTACAGAGTACTACCAGGTAAGTAAGTAGGTATTTCAATATGATAGGTATATCGAGTACCTATCATATATGTTAACTAGTTGTTAACCTATGTTTTCTAGCTACTTACTCTATATTAAGCACATCTACATCTTATATACTTTTGCTTATATACAGAGTATCCTGGTCTATACATCACTATATAATAGATTACTGAATCCTCTATACCAGGTACCTAGTCCATACTAACAGGTACCTAAACTCTAGAGGCTACCTAGGTAGGTACCTTACTCTATACATTCCTGACGGACCCGCCACAGCGGCCTTGCCGCGCCACGGTCTCCACCTTAATTTCCATCCTCATTCATCCTAATTTTATCCAACTCCTGGCTTCAGTTCCAATCATTGCTAGTGATGCCCCCTTTTCAGTGGCAGGTCGATGGCCACCCACCTGGCCTACGTACTACATATTTAGTAAGGACTACGGACTACGGAGTATGGAGTACCTAGGTCCGTATCAGAGGCTAGGTAAAATCCTACTCCGGATTCATTATTGGTCGAGAATTTACAGTAGTTGCGACTAATACTCAAAAGGGTCTTTATTCTGTACCCTGTACCTACATAGTCTGGAAGTGCTCTGAGTCTGTACATATAGTTATTACATAGTTAGTACGGAGTACATAATAGTTACTATTATTTTCCTAATAATAGCTCTCGTCTACTATATACTACATAGAGGGGGAGGGGGGCCTTCAGTACGGACTATGGAGTAGTACAGCAGCCCATAGGTTCGCCGATCACAAATTACATATGGAGTCCTGATCCATTTGAAATTAAATATTACGATGAAAATTTTCTCCCTATGGCTAGCGGGTTGTCGAGTCTTTGGAATCGGCCAAGGGAGATAGGACGCTTGCCACGTTGTACTTGCATCGCTGTCTTCTCCTGCTAGATAATCATCAAATATATACATGTTTATATATATTATTGACCATCTTTTTCTTCCTACTCCATACTCCTATAGAGTTATGACTATAATTACATGCATATTAGACGTACCATGTGGAACCTGTTCTCATCTTACCGATCCACCTTATATCTATTGGAATTGTATCAAAACACCATGTGCCGAACACATGGCATACCTTATGGAATAACTCCCCACAATCATTTCTGACCGGCCTTCTCCTGCGACTCTCGCATGGCAGCCCGGGCGCTTCGGCTGCCACCGAGTTTCGGCCCACGAGGGGCATCCGTCTTGGTCGGGGCTTTGGAGGCCGCTTTCGCACGCGCAACGCGACGACGAGATTGGATTGCATCTAGGAAGTCTCGCCGAAACTGCTCGGCGATCCGATCGTCCGCTGCCTGGTCATCAAGCGGCTCTTCCTCCTCTGGCTCATTGTAGACGTCCACTAGAAACATTCAGGTGAGTTCAAAAGCCTTGTGGGGAGTTTTTGAAAATTTCCAAAAAGAACACCTACATTTACTTTCGCGGAGAACCTCCTCCACGAGCTTGTCCCGCTCAATATCTTCACTGTTTCGTCGTCTGCGGTCACGCCATGACTTCCCATGTTTCCCTGAGCGAGCTACCCCTTCTTCTGCTGCTCCGGGAACACCGTTTCCGGCAAGCCGTCGCGCTGCAGCCTCCGTCCTGACGATATTCTGGAGCTTGGTCTCCTCGCCCAGGTCAATTTCATGCAGTTTGCCGATGGATGCTGGTTCGCGGGGAACAAAAGCCGATGGCAATTGTTCACTAGCAACTTGCACCACTGGAGGAGCGGCATCTGTAACTGGAGGTTCACTAGGACTATTGCGCTGTCGCTTGGCCATCTCAGAATCTATAAATGCCATCCTTATCTTGTTAGTCTCGGTTTCATCCTCAAACAGAATCGCAAGTGAAGAACAAGGAGGGGGGACAGTACATATGCTTATCCACATCAACCCTCTGCCCAGTATGTCCTGTAAACCGGTCAGACATGGCTCGTAACCTGACACTCTCTGGATCTTCTGCGCCAGTCCCTCTTGTAGAAACGGAGTCTGCAACCTGTCGCGCTTCCGTGGAGAACTCGATCCCACCCTTTCGAGCTCTAAAGGGCCGACGTAGCGAATTCATATGGGCATTCGAAGAAGATTGGTCAGTTATTAGAGGATAGTGAGATTGCATTCGATGGGAATCTTCGGTGGCGGTCAAATCATCTTCGATATTATCAGACTCATCTTCACGCCGTCGCATGAACTTGCGTCTCTTCACAGGTCGAAACAGCGGTTTTGTTGATACTTGAATATCAGTGTCCATGTTCATATGAATCAACTGCAACAGTGGATGTGTAGTCTGAAGAGAATGAAAGTGGTGGTGGTAGCGGACAGTGGATTATTAGATTGATTGACGTGATAAGGGAAGGCGGAGAGCTTCCACCGCGAAGGTTCAAACAATCAGCACGATTCGCGCGAAAAGCTTCGCCCGCCTACTGTTACATCCAACTCAACAACCCAGTTCCCAGCTTTTCTTCGCACGGATTTGGGACTTAGAGGTTCCCAACAGGGCTTTGACCGTCGTTACCCTCTTTTTCTCTCACAGTTGGTTGTTCTCGCGCAAACCAAATCTGCCTTGCCGACCTGGAATATGAATCCCTCAATACCCCCTTCAACTGCCGAATATGGAGGAGGTGAGCCGAGTTCAAGCCGTTACGGGTTTTCTAGCAAACATTGTCTAGTCAAAGAGTAATTGAGTGGTTGTGACATTTCTAACCTTGTGCGGTACAGATGAAGTGTCGGCCATTGTCCTAGACCCAGGATTTTCCACAGTTCGTGCAGGTTTTGCGGGAGAAGACACGCCGAAATCGCTGATTCCCTCTTACTACGGCAAATACACCTATGAGGGAGAGGAGAAAATTATTTTCGGAGATGATATCTATGTGACACCCCGACCGGGGCTGTCGATCCACAACCCCATGGGCAGGGATGGGATCGTAGAGGACTGGGACATGGCGGAGAAGGTCTGGGAGTACTCGTTCACATCGAGATTGACCGGGTCCAAGCCAGGAAACCCGCTGCAAAACGGATTGAATGATGCGCTCCCAGACGGAGAGCTTCCTACTGAAATGGAAGGCATCGAGGCCGAAGAGAAGCCTCTCGCAGATAGTCCGCTCCTGATGACGGAGAGCGGATGGAATCCCAGCAAGGCACGCGAAAAGACCATCGAGATTGCAATGGAGAATTGGGGCAGTCCAGCGTTCTACCTGGGGAGAAATGGCGTTCTGGCAGCGTACGTTCAAGAGCGGTACTCCTGTATTCTCTCTCTCGGCTTGATAAACTAATCATGTGTATCTATCCAGCTTCGCGTCTGGTAAGGCTTCTGCCCTGGTGATCGATGTCGGGGCGTCGAATATCTCCGTGACTCCCGTACATGACGGGATGATTTTAAAGAGAGGCGTGCAGCATTCGCCGCTTGGTGGTGACTACATCTCATCCCAGATCCGAGCGCTGTTCAAGGCAAACTCTCCCCAACCAATTACGATCACTCCACATTACCTTATCTCCTCCAAGACATCTGTCGACGCCGGGCAACCTCCGCAAGCGGTTTACAAGACGTTCGCCCCGGAGAAGGCGCCCCACGAGTCGTACCGCGCGCTTCTCGAGGAACGGACCCTATCGGAGTTCAAAGAGTGCGTTGTCCAGGTCTGGCCAGGCCCCAACCGATTGACCGCAACGGGACCCAACGGCATTCCCAACGAGGAGATCGCGCGGAGCAGCCCCGGCCGGCCTTTTGAGTTCCCGGACGGATACAACCAAGTCTTCGGCGTGGAGCGGTACCGTGTCGTTGAGTCTCTCTTTGATGCTAAGGCCCACATCCCGGACTCGGAGTCGCCCTTCCCCGCGCCTACGCCTGCGCAGACGCTCCCAGAACTCATCAAGAGCGCCCTCAACGGCGTCGACGTCGATATCCGCCCCCACCTGCTCGCCAACGTCGTTGTGACCGGCGCCTCTAGCCTGCTGTACGGATTCACGGACCGGTTGAACCAGGAACTCCTGCAGAACTTCCCCAGTCCGCGTGTCCGTATCTCCGCGCCGGGCAACACGACCGAACGCCGCTTCGGCTCGTGGGTCGGGGCCAGCATCCTCGCCAGCCTGGGATCCTTCCACCAGATGTGGATCTCCAAGAAGGAGTATGAAGAGCATGGCCCGTCAATCGTGGATAAGCGCTGCAAGTAGATTGATCCATCTTTATTAATTATGGGAGCTTGGACATGTGGCGTTCTAGTTCCTTCTTACTATCTTACTGAAATGAATTGATTTCCTCGCCTTTGTCCATTGGTTGAGATCGTCTTAAAAGATCATCAGGTGTTTAGCTTGGGGCCTCCAGAACCTTTTCTATTCTTCCCCCCCCCCCCCCCCTGGTTGTACAATAAATGCTGCTGAACGCAATATCTTTGAGCTAGTTAAAAATAAATGCAGGTCTCTCTTTAATTATTCTGAACTTAACATAAATTCTCGGTCATTTCTAGACTACTAATCATTGAATCTATGATGCTTTTGGTATGTGATGGGGTAATAAGTACCTAAGTAAACTTGTTTTATGTACTAACACTACAGTCCAAGAACTATTTCCATGGTCCGTCATTAATCATTCAGGTATATCCTGAAAGCTAGATGTAGCCATCTTGGATCGGTAACATCTGTATATATACCGTGGGGTCGTCAGGGTCGTATTGATCAAAGAAGTCATTGTAGTCCCTAACACACCTCCAGCCTGCCAAGATCGCCTCGTCTAGGATATATAAAACCACCATATCGCGATCGGACGGTGGGAATCCGTGTGTGTTGAAAATATAATCTTATCTCATATATCACTTCCTCTTTTTTGTATTACGAGAGGTAGAGAGCCGACTAGAGGAAGCGGCCGTCGCAGATCATGAAAAATTGTGTTTCTTCAAGTCTTTGGAAGCGAATAACTCGATTGCACCTAGCGCTCATCAAACTTTGGGGAAAGGTGACCAGGTACTTTTCGTAAGAGATATGGAAGAGAGGGAAGTTTCGAGCTCCTATTCGACATTAGGTCTTGATCAAGATGAGTCTCTCGATTGTTCTTACCAGATGTACGGGGACAGAGGGCAGTGCTGTGATCATAATTGATTCATCGTCACCCGTCTTATTCTCCTCTAAGCCCCGGAGGTCCTCGGCCTTTTCTGGTTTCATCGGAGATGAAGGAACAGGTATTCGAGGGACATCGGCACGTTTCGGTTTCAGCGAGTATGTATTCAGATTTTCAACTTTATCACGATCCTCTGTCGTGCGTATTTCAGAGTCATACTCGCAGGCAAAGCTCTTGCCTGTGTTGGAGATATCAGGCGGGCGCCGGACATCTGAAGCAGTGGAAGTGTCTGCTGGTTTCAGACAGAAAACGCTTGACGGCCAATCTTTCTTCTTTGACAGCGCATACGGAGGCTGCTTTTTTTTGGTGTACCCACAACTTTCCCATGCATCGATCACTTTGTCTGACTTGAAGTACTGCGCCAGCTGCAACTTCATTGTATCGCGCTTGCTGGAAACATGTACCGGTATCTGCTCGTTTTCGGGTATAGAGGTCGCATGCAAAGTATTCCAATTTTGCGGCAGTTTTCCTCCAAAGCTGTTCTTGAAGTGTTCTATCGATATACTTCGCGCCTTAGATGCTCTTGCTGGCGCTGTGGATGGTCTTTCGAGAGGCGTTTCGGGTTTTTCATGGACCGACATTCTTGATAGAAAACTTCTTGAAAGTTTCCGGGCAGTAGAAGGCCTCTGAGATTGAGGTGTGGGTGATTCTTGGCGACCAATGTTGACACTATCACTGACAGACCTTTTCCGGGTATGGCGGCCTGTTTTCATGTTCTGGGACTGTGATCTCTTTACATCCCTCAAATTCGGTACACTCTTTTGTGCCAACTTATGTGTCATGACCTGGTTTGTGCTTGGTTCTATGCCCATTGCGTGCATCAAGTCTGGGTCACCAGGAAGTGGTTTATTATGGACACTGACAGAATAACTCCGATCAAAAATCCTTTCTCTAATTGATTTTGGTCGAAGACTTGGTGTAGGGGTCTTTGAACGAGGCCGAGGCCGAGTCATCTAATGTATGTGGTTAGCTCTCTGGCCCCAAAATGCTCAAAAGTGATACAAACCAAATCTTTCCTGCTTGCCACGCCTACACGTCGCTGCATTTCTATGACTGCTGCGTTGAGCTGAAAGAGAACCGAATCTAAGACGGTGCCTCTTTTAATAAGTCTTGAAAGCGCAGCGAACCAGCCTTCCACATTTGAAATCATGGCATGATAAATTGCAACCAGTGTGTTACATTCGGGATTGCAATCTTTGACTAGTTGTGTAACTTGGTGCCATAGAGCGCTGACAGCTTCTTTTCCTTTTCCCAGGTCTTTGAGCGAGTCGCTAACAGCTGCCGTGAAACGTGTAATGGCAAGTTCAATCTTCTCGTTGTAATCGATGATAGAAAGGCGGAACCTGCGGTCCGCCAGCATTTCATCAAAGACGTCCAGATTTTCAAGAGGCACCCTAAGATACTGAATTCTGGTCTGTACATCGAGTTGTATAAGCTGTAAATCTTCAGTGGTTCGTTCGAGGAAACCGTCGAACTCGTTCACATGGTCTTGTAGGATCCGCACGACCTCCACCTCAGATTTTGCTTGTCCATTGGCCAGAAGATGTACACCAAATGAAGTTTGCGAAATAATTTTCCACAAAGGGTGATATCTGCTTTCCTCCCTGGTCAGCCCCTGCATTTTGCTTTCCAGTGAATGAGAGGCAGTGTGTTAACTTGCCTTTCTTCTGCTCTTTGCCGCCATTTTCGGCCACAAAGCCGTTCGTACTGTGGACGTTCGAGCAAATCCTTGCGCCGAGTTTGAGCATCGATATCTACCACCCAATCTTTCTGCGCCAGGCCGGACTCAACCATAGATTCTTCAAATGGGCCTTGCAGTTGAGGAATCGGATGGGCAGGCGAAGTGTTGATTGGCCGGTCAACATGAGAAGGGTCTGGTTTCTCTTGCTCCATTGTATCACCGACGGTCTGACTGGGTATAAATCCTTGGTTTCCTGAAATCATCGAAGGCTTTCACGGGGCTGTCGCGAAGTAGGTCTAGTCTGCGCATAACAATAGTGACTAGATACTTTCAAGTATCATTGAACTCAACTATCCATCGAGAATGTTCGGTGTTCGACTTAGGTCCATGATCAGATCGCCGTAGTAACTGTAGAAAAACCGAGATTGGTGTTTTTATCGCTGTATGGTGGAAGACAAGGCTCTCGAGAGTCTGGAGAGAAGAAGAGAGGACGGAAAGAAATTGAATGTATTTATTCCTGACTGACAAGTAAAACGGTCAACTAGACATTACCATTGCTTGCTGATAGCCAGTAGCTTGAACATCCTAACTCCAGCTAATTGGCGATTGCAATTGGACCGACGGTCTATTTATATATATATATGTCTGTCTCGTGCTCGAGACAGCATCTCATAAATAGACACTGCGTCAGCTTCTCGGTCTGCTGCGTATTCAACAACGCAAGGCGGGTCTCAGTTGAATGATACAAGCGATGGTCCGTAATTATAGCTTCACGGACCAAAGCATAAGACATGCAACAGGGAAGAAACAAGCTATATGGCGAAACCGAGAGGTTGGAGGGATGTGGAGAGATGACATGCAACTCGAACAAAGGAAACTGGGCAACCCTCACCAGATCGTGGTGCTGCATCAATAGCTTTAGACTCTTTGGCCACTTTCAGGGGAGGAGTCTGGGCCTTTAGCAGATTCAAGACGGTTCCTCATTAGTTCGGCAAATAGATGAGCGGGGCCATTAAGACGAAACGAAATGCTTTTCTAATAATACCAACACATTATTATGTACATAGTAGTAGGCTGTTTTTCACCTCATGGTTATATCAAAGCAGGATTCTATAGATTTGTACCGAGTGTTGGACTGATATGGGTTATAATTTTTAATCTATTTGATTAAACAATGGAATCAACACCATTTTCTGAGATACATCAGTTTTATCTCCTAGACTCAGGAACGAAGTAGTTAGCACAGATTCCTGTCCATATGCAATTTTGCAGGATCCATCCTCTCTGATCAAGACTTCCTTGATGAATTGAGATCAGCATTAATCTCCTTTTCCATTTGTAATTAGTTATGGAGAATCATACTTCTGTCTGGAGTAGGGGAGTACTTTATTCTTAGGCTCCTAGAATGCAAGCCACTCATCGCACCTCTCGTAGAGATGCCAAGGCCCAATACAGAACGCGTGAATACGATGGGAACGCGTCTTCCGGATCCTTCGTCATAGTCATACTTGCACAGGTCAGATGGGGGCCTAAGGACCTAAAGTACACGGAATTTAAAAACAAAAGTCACTGTCCCCTTCATCACTGACTCTCATTGTTTAATTATCCATTAAGTTAGCTTTTCAATTTATTGTACGGAATGCTCAAATGAAGATGGCAAGCTCCACAGGTATCAAACGCGGTGCAAGCCATCTCGCCTCCCCAGACGCAAAAAAGGCCAAGACGAACAGCAGCATTACCTCATTCTTCGGTGTTCCCAAAGCCAAAAGTGCAGCCTCGATATCTGTCACCTCGGGATCTAAATTCAACAAAGAGAAGTGGGTTGCATCGCTGACCCCGGAGCAGAAGGAACTCCTGCATTTGGAAATCGAAACACTTCACGAGAGCTGGCTGGCACATCTTAAGGACGAGGTTATCACCCCGGAGTTCCTTGACCTCAAGCGTTTCCTCAAGAAGGAGAAGGGGGCTGGGATTAAGGTCTTTCCTCCAGAGGATGATATTTACTCATGGTACCGACAGACGCCTTTGTTTCTCGGGGTCATTCCGCTAAAAAGCCACCAGGTCACGATACACGCCATTGAATACTGTCAAGGCCGTCATCCTCGGTCAAGACCCATACCATAACCATAACCAAGCTCATGGCCTTGCATTCTCGGTTCGGCCGCCGATTCCTGCGCCCCCGTCACTAGTCAATATCTATACCGCTATCAAAAATGACTATCCTTCATTTCAAGCACCTGCAAACAAGGCAGGTCTCTTGACACCATGGGCCGAACGTGGGGTGCTGATGCTCAATACTTGTTTGACTGTGCGCGCCCACAATGCCAATAGTCATTCAAATAAGGGGTGGGAACGGTTCACGCAGAAGGCCATCGACACTGTCGCCAAGGTTCGCACCCGTGGTGTGGTCTTCCTCGCATGGGGGAAGCCTGCCGGAAAGCGCGTCGCAGGAGTTGACCAGAAGAAACACTTGGTACTGCAATCTGTGCATCCTAGCCCCCTCAGTGCCTCCAGAGGCTGGGTAAGTGTATTTTTTGTCCTTTGATAGCTATGCCACAATGTCCTAGAAACCATACAGCTAATGAGTGTCAATCCTATAGTTCGATTGCGGTCACTTCAAGAAATGCAACGAATGGCTGGCTGAACGATACGGAGAGGAGGAAATAATCGACTGGGCCTTGACAGCCAAGACTACAACCATTCCGGCTCTGGCTTCCATCGCAGCCAACACAGTCAGCATCAAAAAGACCGAGGCCTCGTCAGCCGAGGAATCTAAAGAGCAAGAAGGGACAAGCGCCATCAAGACGGCCCAACCCATCAAACCGAGCGCTGATGATGAATTTGAGGATGATTTCGCAGCTGAAGACCTTGATGCTCTTGAAGCTTTAGCTTCGGCTGAAACTGAAACGACTCCTGCAAAGTCTCAATAGATTATCAGAAAGAAGGAAATCATATGCTGAAAATGATACAACATCAAACAGAGTTGGACTCAAAGTTTAGTGTCATTCAGATAATGCTGCTATCAAGTACCCATACGTAAGCCTTATATTTGCGTAGTCATGTATACCCAGAGAGAACCCCAAATTTCACCTAGTGTAGTCTTTTATGTATTCATATAAAGTCAAGACAGGCCCAATAATGCTCATGCACCATATGAGAAGTAAGAAGAGAAGTCTAAAAGAGAAGACCAGGGCTTGGAGAGCTACTTGTATCAAGAAATTTCGAGTTTGAATTCCATTCAATTTGATAAAATACATTTCATGATTTGAATCGTAAAGAAAATGCCATTTCAAAGCTCATCGTGCTTCTTATCCTCATCCGCAGGAGCGGCGGTAGCCTCCTCGGAAGCGGTAGAAGAGACGGGAGTGGCAGTGGCAGTAACAGTACCAGCCTCTTCAGGTTCCTCCACCTCCTCCTCGGCAACACCCTCAACCTGGTGCTTGCCGTTGGCCTTGATGAACTCGGCAAGATCCTCAACAGTACGGGATCCCGAGTACTCAATAGGAGAGTCCTTGGAACCAGCCGGGAACAGCTTGATCGTGGGGAACCCTTGGATGGTCTCGGGGATGTCGTTGGCGGTAGCATCGATCTTGGCGATGGTCACCTTGTCCGAGTTCTTAGCATACAGCTTGCCAAGCTCTTCATACTTAGGAGCAAGACTTAATGATACAGTCAGCAAGATAAACAGGGAAACAGAGAGGATTATTCTACGGATGGGACTCACGCTTTGCAGTGTCCACACCACGGGGCATAGAACTCAACGAGGACATCCTTGTCGTTGTCGATGACGAGTTCATTGTACGAATGGGCAACAACAACGGTGACGGGACCTTCTTGCTCCTCAGGAACAGGCTCGGACTTGATGCTAGGCTCAACCTTGTCGTTGAGAACATCATCGATGAACTCGCCGACACTCTCAGCCTCGATAGCCTTCGTCTGGTCATAAGGGAACTTGGTGTTTTTCACAGTGTCGTGGATAACAAAGGCAGGGAACTTGGTGGGATCAAGGTTCAGGTTGCCGGCATGAGCACCAAATGCCTTGGCATCAATGGTGGCAATGTTAATGGCCCCGCGGTGCTTCTCGGCGATGGGGCGGAAGGCTTCCTTAAGCTCATCACGTTCCTCCTGAGTTTCCGCGAAGATGTAGCCCAGGGGAATGCCGGCCTGTCACTTCCGTCAGCACAGCATCATAGAGTACTAGTCGACCGCATCGAGGATAGTAGTGCCGTAGGGTTCGAAACCAGTGGGAGCAGACTTATTACTTACCGACATGTAGGAGGAGTAGGTCTCGGGGCCGATTTCGCCAACAAGAGGAGTGCTGGCCGTCTTGATCCAGGTCAGAATAGCCTCCTGGTCGAACTCTCCGGTGTAGACAGCCTTCTTCTCATCGAAGTCCTTGTAGAGAACAATGGCTGGCTGGGTCACAGCCTCAGAGTCGGCAAGAGTAGCATCATCCGAAGAACCAAACAGGTAGTTGTCTCTCTGCTCTTCAGCGAAAGCCTGGAAGCTCTCACTCTGCTTCTGGTTATCCGAACCGATGTAGCCGATAATAACAATCTTGTCCATGGTCTTGAAATCTTCAAGATTCTCTTCATTCACGCTCGAAACCGCAGGAAGAGACTGCTTCACCATGTAAGACACAATCCTGTCGCAAACGATGGGTTAGCTGATTAGATAGATGTAGATCTAAGATACTGGGTCAGAGCAACATACGACTCAGTCTGGCGGGCACCAGCATAGGGCTTGTTGGACTGAAGACCGCGGAAGATCTTCAGAGTAGGATAGCCCTCCACTTTGTATTCCCGGCAAAGGTCCTCCTCAGCAGTGCAATCAATTTTGACGAGGGGGATGTCCTTGGCCTTCAACTCGGTGGCAGCCTCCTCGTATTTGGGGGCGAGGGCCTTGCAGTGGCCACACCAGGGGGCATAGAACTCAGCCAGGACTAGCTCATGCTCTGTGACAAAGTCGTTAAAGGTGTCCTTGGTCAAAGCAATGACATTGGACTCGACATCAGCACTTGCGGAAACTGCAGCTGCAGCTCCGAGCAAGCTCAACGCGAACGGTGCAAAGGACCTCATGGTTCTCTAGATGGCGGGGTGATGTGGAAGCTGCACAAGAACCGAGCACCTCTGGCTGAGAATCAGAGGATGGAACGAAAGGGAAATTTCGATGGGGGAAAACAAGGCGGAGAAGGGCTAGTATATGTATTTGGCGGAAAGGAGGAGCCCAGCAGATCGTACCTGGCAGGGCGGAGTTAAGGACAGTTTGTTCTTTCTGAGAGCTAAGCTTCCTGACTGGCCACACCTAAGGGCCCGCCTCGATCAGCAAGGGACTGACGACCATAGACCTTGGTAGATACTAACTGGGTACTAGGAAGTAGGTACTTTAGGTACTCCGTGCCTCAGGTAGGCAGAGTCATACAGTAGTTACTAGTTACTAGCTAGTTAGTGGCTGATAGAGTGAGGTCTTCCATACCACGGCCTGTACTTCCTACGGAGTACAAGATGATTTGGTTGCTCCACGCTGCAGTTTATTCATTGCTGTTAATTATAGTACGTCGATCGGGTGACACTATTCTATCCCTCTATGAGGCCACTCTTAACTAACTTATCTCCAGCTCTAATCACTCTCCTTGAGGTATTACCGGAATCTAGGTAGGGGTATTATTGGCCAGGGAATTGCATCGGCTTGCCCTCGTCCGAGGCATATGCAGTGTAAACACAATGCTTCATTATGCAACCAAAGTTGATGGTACAGAGCGACATGAGTGACATGGGCGATGGGTAGAAGTAAATCATGGCTTCCATATTAGCATCCACCACGAATGTTCCCGGGTTCCCCGGAAAATATATCAAAAGGACAGAATCAGCCACAAAATAAGTTATGTTATGAATTGAACTCGTAGCTATTTTGAATTTCTACCATAACTATGATAAGCTTCTGAAAATAATTGAACAGAAACTTAGTTTTATCAAGAACTAGGTTATATGCCAGATAATAATCTTAGACATTTATTTTAGAGGCATATAGTATAACTAACTAATATTAAATGTTCTTGTTGTTGATCTTTTTTAAACCACAGAACACATTCATCTTTGCACTTATCTAGCTTATTATGACTTTAATATGGGCTATATGACTAGATTTCTCTATCTTTATAACCCTGTCCTTTGTCTTTACATTCGCTAGCTATTATCAATCCAAAGTGACATTTAGCTAAGACACACCTTGGTGAATGGTAACAGTTTTATTATAAATATCAGGATCTCTTTTCAATGAAATCATACTAATATAAGGGAACTTGCTGGGTTCATGCATATAGAGTATATACAGAGTACAGAGTACCTGTTCTCTCACTGGAAACTTCCCAGTTACTTGTAAGTGGGTCTAATCCAGAGAGATGCTTCCTAAGCATGAAGGGGTCCGGCGCAAGTGCTCCACATGGAAGCTTGCGCTGGATTCATGATTCTACCTAACATCACCTCCAATAATACAAGTACATCAATCCCTTCTAACTACAATGGTTCATATTGTCCGCACACGCTGAAGTGCTTACCTATTGCTTTTCCTGAGCCTATTGTGCATCAGGGAATATCTCGAATTTGGTCTTATTGGCTACTCTAGTGTTTCAACGTCGCTAACCGTGAGTGAGATACCCCTTCTTATCCCGATCTTTGAAAAAATCGCCTAAGCCCTTCTCTGTCCGGCAAGCTAGCTTTCATTCCGATATTTGATGAATGGAAGATATTTATCGACATCTTGATTCCCTTTTCAGACGGGATTAGGGGTCCTTAGGTTGCACTGGAAATTAAAGCCATCCGTCCCGCAAGACCATTCCCACGGCTATTTCTCTTGCGCAATCCATCGCGAGTTGGCGTCTCGAGCCTGAATCATCTCTAGCTATACCGATCAACATTTTTATGGCACTGCAGAGTCTCCCGGCCTACTTTCGCACACACTACCAGCTTCCGTCCTTCGCACAGAATCGGTTCACCTAGGCTTCGGTCTATCTGCCTACCGGTCGTTTTCCTCGTGCTGCGCGACAAGCGGTGAGAATGAGATAAGGGAAAACCGGGCTGTAGCCATCTTTCGGGCTTCAGAAATGCCGGGCATGATCATGGATAAGGGTAGTGCTGTCAAACCAAGATTGAACGAAAACGCGCATGAAGCCAGCAACGGTGTAGCCAGCTCAACCAACCATGGCGAAAAGATTAGGAACATTCGTGGGCCAAATAATGGCTCTATCCGTGCTGATGAGAAAGTTGGTGAAAATGGGGCAGTCCACCGTTTTCGAGACCAGTCTACGCTTTCGTTGCCTAGACCCGAGTTAGAGCATATCACGCATGGCTTCTTTCCGTTCGCACAACTGGTTAGCCGATCGGCCCAGAAGTGTTGGAATGATCTATCAGATCTTATTACCGAACTTGCGGATATGCAGGTGACAACTCAAGACCAAGCTTCATCATCCCCTACCGTTGGTGGAAAATTGACAGGAGCTCAGTCGCCAGGAAACGTGGAGAAGAAGCTCCAATTACTGAATTTTGCACATCGAAAACGAGGCGAGTTTATCAAGCTTCTTGTGCTTTCCCAGTGGAGTCGACAATCCAGCGACGTCAGTAAATTAATCGATCTCCAAGGCTTCATTCGCACACGGCATATGACTTATAATGCTGCTATACAATGCGTCGGAGACATGAAAATAGATTTAGTCAGAGCACAAGTTGCAAATCCTGATTTGAATACGGCCTTGGAGATTCTGTTCAGAGGGGGGATATCCTCCATGCCTGATCTCGGTTACGACCTTCCGAAACCATTGACTGCAAAGAAAACCCTAAAGAAGTTGCAAAAGATCAACAGGCTTATCAGTGCAAGACTGGCTCTACACAGCATCATTCCTCAATGTTTCCAGACGTACCGAATCCATGATGGTCGCGTGACTTTTTTTGTGCCTGGGGAGTTCGAGCTTGACCTTTCCATTGGCGAAGAAAGCGCTACCTCACAATTCTTCTTTGTTGATATTCGATTCAACTTTTCTCCCTCATCGCCTATTCCGAAGGGTCGCCTTCTGAATGAGCTTGACATTAAGATCAATGAAATTCTTCGAGATGGAAACTTGACGGGATGTTTCAATTACTTACACGGGCTGGTGTTGACAAATAAAGTCAATGTCCTGTTCAAACAAGCCGCAGAATTATCACGAGGGGCGTGGTCAGAGTCTCTGCGCGTGGAGCTACTACACAGAACGCTGGTTCTACACTATTGGGCACTACGGCCTGGTGCCAAAAGCTGGATCGAAGTTGGAATTAAACGCGGTCGGTCGGAAAATCACATTGATACTAATCTCCCCCCAGGCACGCCTTACATCGGTCTACGTTGGATGCGAGATGGCAAGATAGTCGACAGCAAAAATGTTCGATTTAATATGGAAAACCTATCAATGGAGGATATACTACGAAGCGTCATTGCCTTGCATATTTCACACATTTTACATACTGCATACTCAAAACTGATTGCCACTTCTCTATTTGCTTCCCGCGCTTTGTCTCTCCGTGGTCAATTGTCTGGAATCGAGCCGGGAGACTGTCGCCTGGACGTCCAGCTGACCGTTTCCAAGCATCTTCGAGTTTCGATTGAACCGGCATCAGGTGCGATCATTCTTTCGGCCATACCTACCACGTTAGACCGTTTTGAGACAGTCCGCAATCCGGAAAGGTCGGCGTCTGATGCGATTTTTTCTCGAGTATCCCGTATCCGTTGTATTGCTGCAATGGAAGAAGTCGAATGTGATGTGAAGATGCTCGGTCTGGAAGTCATCGGCCCAAAGGGATTGAGGCTCGATATCCGACGCATATTCTTTCCGCCAGTTTTGAGAGTCTCGTTTTTTTCTCACCGATCATGGGGGCGTGATTGGATTGCAGCGGCTACAAGTAGCATGGATGGAGATCACTGGTGGGTTGTACAACTTCAATCCGCCGTGGCCATTAGCAGTCGACCAGCCTCAGACACAGATGCCCAAGGCTCTTCTATTCTTCCAGCTGCTCAGATGATTAGCAAGGCCCCTATCGCCACCCAGCAAGGGCCGGGTGCTACTTCATTCGCGGATCTTGGGTTGTGTCTCTCCGGGATGATTGCCGTGCATGCGAATGTTCGGTTTTTGGCAGAAATGGAGATTCCATTTTCTCCACCATTGTCAAAGTTGCAGGTCGGACCTCATCTTGAAATCCCTGATGTTATCATTCGGTACAACGTGTCGAAGCTTCCTCTCCCTCTTTGCATTGTTATTCCGACAGGACTGAGAAGGATGCCGCTTATCAAGGATGCCGTCCGCCTTGTGTTTGGCGGGCTGGATGCCCAGAGCGAAAGTGTCACTTTCGTGGCTTATGGCCAATTAGCTCGCCCTATAATACCCTTGAATAAGCTCGCCTTGAAACCGGACCACTCTCTTGTGTTTAAACGGAACAGTACCAGTTTTGCAATGCGCTTATCTACGCATGCCGGTCAATCGGTTATTGTCGAACTCCTGGAACGCTTGCAGCGCCTTGAGTATGCTCTAGCCATTGTTGAGTCACTTCACCAAAGGAGAATCCCCATTTATTCATTTTCCTTATCACGGATATCCTTTGGGTATTCGACTCAGAAAGATCTTCTTGCTCGCATTCACATACAGACATATGAGTCCTCGGGTGTGGCCCACGACCCGGTCAACCTCAAGTCAAGAACCGAACCGCTTTTCCGAACTAGTCTGGACATTCACTTTGACCACCCGAACCCTCATCGTCGCATCCAGGAATCACTATCCTCCATTCTGAACCAAGATGCAGCGGGTGCAGGTTTCCAAACTGTCGTTGAACTCCTACCCATCACCTTCCCTCTGCTCCAAGCCCTAGACTCCATAACATCAATACGAGATAGACTTAGAATTCATGTCACCGTACGAAACGCGAAGACATATGTGATCAGTTATCCACGATATAACTTCCGGTTTCTCTTGACGGCAAAACAGCATTTCTCCCGCGTCCATTGGATCCTCAAAGAGATGGAGAAGTCACGAAATCGGTCAGATCAAGATCAACTAGTCTCTTGTCTCCAGGAACGGCTCTATAGAGGAAGGGGAGATGGATGGAAAGGCCTTGGAAACGGGGCTATCGTCGATTATGACAAGGCTGGAAACCTCCTCACGGCACTCGATGCATGTTTCCGATCTATGCCAGAACTTTCGGATGTCAACGCCCCCTCCGGACAGGCTTCCATGGGGTTCGGCGTGGCCACCAAACAGAATGCCCCGGGCATCCCCGACACTCCTGGAGGGCTAGGAAACCACGCGCCCAAAAGCATCCAAGACACAAGCATCATTACAATTGACTGAGAGCTGGGCGAGTATAGATTATACCTACTTCAGTCGAAGCCTTGCGTCCCATTTGTAATAGGAGAGATGTCCACTGTGGTTCTTTTTCACTTTTTACAGTCCAGCATAGAGACGCGCCTCCCATATAGTGAAACCCAGGTGTTTATATATTAATTCAGAAGTCATGCCAATAGAATATTACAACATATGCCTCTTAAGGATAGATCAAGTGAATAAATTATTGGCTATGGATTTACATTATAGTAGCTGCAGGTCTGATATAGTTGGTGCCTGTATTCACACCTATACTACCTAAGGAATGCGTCCTGGCAGCGAGAAAAGCAGCAATTTGGGAAGACAACAGTCATAAATATCACAGGTGACTTTTCCAAGAGACGGACTCCCCAAGTACAAGTGTGAAAACATGGCCGCTGGAGCCACTAAGGTGCGGCTAATCTTTCAGGAAGTCATGTCCAACTCCTATCTAGGATATCTAGATACAGGCATTATCATAACCGTAACAATTGCATTAAGTTCATTTATTTCCATCAGAAGCGGTCTTCTTTCAGCTTCCCTCTATTTTTGAGAACATCATACTCGATCCACCTCACAAGGTTCGAATCGTTCTCTGGAACAAGTCGTCCTGGATTCATTACATGGCAGCCTTCGTATGTGATGCAGAAAGACGAGATCTCCGAATCAGATAATACAAGGGCTGTTGGTAAGGGGAAAAGGTGTAGCGCCGCTGAATAATCCCACAGAACAGGTCGAATGGAGAGCGGGAACGGCGACATAGTCCCCTGGTCTAGGATCGTTTTGACAAGTTTCCGTGCGCTATGCATTGCAGATCGTAGGTCCTCGGACTTTGGGGGCAGGCGAGGAGTCTCACCTAGATCCTCTAATGTAGCAGAATCGAGTGCGCTCCCCATGTCAACATCTTTCGGTTCCAGAGTCGCTGGGTCCGGAGCTTCGCAATCAAAGATCACAGAGCTGCGCCTAAATCTGCTTGAAATGTCATCACGTAAGACAGTGATTTCATGGACAGGACCAAATAGAGTTAGCCGCGAGGGATTAGATGTCCAAATAGCTTCTCCTGCGGGTTCAGCCGAAGTCGGTGTATCAGACTCTGAATTCGCTGTGGAAAAGGCACGCTTGACTCTGGACGTGAACAGCTCGGGGACTGCATCTCGAGGGATTGTGGAAGACGCACCACTCGAGAATGCAGATGCCCAAGGATCCTGGCTACCAGGAACAAAGACAAATGTAGAATGACGCAATATCGATGGGAATTCCGACAGTATTAGAGCAAGTGAATCGAAGCATTCCTTATACTCGATACTGGAAATTTGGCCTCCTCCATCCGCGACACCTTTTCCAATGAAGTTGCCAATCAAGATAAAAGCCAACGGGCGCTCAGAAAGAATGAGGTCGTTGTAGCTTTTAAAGACCTTCTTCAGAGCTCCAATTGTTTTCGAATCATCAAGATTAACTTCGCTCAAGATAGCCACCTTAAGCCGTTTAGATGCCTCGGTAGGATGTTCGCTCTGAAGGCATTTCGCTTCGATCTTTCTCATGCGTGGCCCTTGAGCACGTTCACTCCCTACACCTAGGAAGTCCACCCAGCCGAACCCTCCACCTGAGTTAAAATCTGCCGAGTCCGGTCGACTCTTGACCCCCAGAGAGATATCTCTTCGTTCACATGGCGGGCCACAAATGGTGACACCCACAAATCTTCCACCTATCATACCTCCAACCCCGCTATTACCACCTAGAGTCGACCCCCTGACGTTTTCTTCTTCCTCATAGATTCCATCGACAACCACGATCATTCCTGGTGTAAACCATGCCCCGTCTTGAGGAATGATCCTTGCATGACTTAGGTCGAGGCAGACACTGCCTGACAGATCGGTCAGAGACAAATCACCTGTGGGTGATATAGAAAGCAATCCTAGAAGAAGATGCGATGTTCCACTTCGTCCCAAGAGGTTCGCTATCGGAGTAAGTTTGTAGCTTTGGTTAGGGCCCAAGGATCGCTGTAAAGGGAGGGTTTCAGAAAAGCTGAGCGCCGTTTGGAACGCCTCGTTGCGCAGTAGCCGCTGATATATGAGATTGTATCGTTCTTTGAAGAGGGAGGTTTTGTGGGATGGCGGCGGAAACAGGGTAGGGTTTGATTTTGAGATTTCAAAGAATTTCTTTTCCACATTGTAAAGAAGACGCGGCATTTCGTACGCTCCAACGATCTTCATCCAGCTTCTTGGATGCAGCGAAAGATCTGACTCCTCATTTTCTTTATCCTCTGCTGTGGCTGTAGAATCATAGGTGCTTAGTTCGCTGGGCGCGCCTTTCATGGAAATTACCACTCCGTCAGGGCTAGTTTTTCCGGTGACAACTCTACCACCGATAATGTTCCCTTCCAAGGATTGGAGAATAGTTTTCACTGACGCGCCTTTACCTTCTTCCACGATAACGCCCCCCCCGGCCTTTTTCCAGGCCTTAGCAACCTCGTCGAGTACTCGCTCTGCAAGGCCTTCCTCGCGCCATCCTGAGCCGCAATTTTTGCCGACAAAATTTGCTAGGGTCTGTAGAGTAGAGGAGGAAAGCGTCAGGTTATGCTTCCGGGTAAAAGCGCGAAATGCTACTGGCCGAAGTGTCGATACAGGTAGCAGAATGGGCAAGACGGAGGTCTTTGGGCGATCAGGTCCTGGTTTGGTAATTCGGAAAGGATGGGCTGGAGTTCCAAAGGCAGGTGAGGATGAAGGTACTAGATCTGCTGCATCTCTCTGTATTGTAGGTGCCGAGGCTCTGCCCGTTACCGACATCTTTCTAATTCGTTCCCAGTGCTTGGGTTGTCCAAGGCGTCAATTCAGTTCCACGAAAATTAGCTACTGATATCAGGTAATCGAAGAAATTGTCATTTCAGACATTAATTTCCATTTACTTACCTTTTCTTCAGCTTCCCATATCCCTGGTAGATTGATTGTATTCCAGAGTTCAGTATATTCGTTTTTTCGTACTCTTTGGAATCCAGTCCCAGTGTTGGTCCCTCGTACTCCATGGTAGTATGTCATCAACAAAAACGCGTGACGCGACGCGCAACGCCCAGATTGGATGGAGACTTGGACATCCTTGTATCCGTGGATTCGCCTGTAAAATAATTCTTGAAAACCAAACAAATCCTTTCGAAATCAAATTGAAGCCTTCCCAGTCATCATAAGCTTCATTTATATTCTTTCATACAAACGTTATATTCAAAGACCTCAAAATACTTTACATCATGACTGATAATGAGTCAGCAACAAAGGAACTAGAGCCGTCGTCAGAAATATTGGAGAGAAAAGCGCAATTGAAAGATATAACTGCGCGAGCTGCTGCGAAGGATGCGATTAAAGATTACAGCGCAGCCAGTGATTTATATTCTCAGGCGACGGAATTGCAAGCCGAAATCAATGGAGAATTATCTCTTGAGAACGCGGATCTTCTTTTCGCCTATGGCAAGTCTCTATACAATGTCGCTGTGAGCAAAAGCGACGTTCTCGGTGGAAAGATATCTGGAGATCCTCAGGCGCATGCAGGAGACGGCTCTACCCAATCCACGAATGTCAAAAAAGATAATCTAATCAAAACTGCAATGCACAATGGTGCAAATAAATCGATTGCCGGAGAAAGCGCGGGCGCTCAGGCCGAGTCCACGTCGAGCAAGCCCTTTTTCCAATTCACTGGAGATGAAAATTTTGACGACGAGGATGACGAGGATGACGAACAAGACGAAGAGCCTGGCGAGGAAGATGATGATTTTGCTAATGCCTTTGAAGTACTCGATCTGGCGCGTGTTCTATACTCCAGGAGGCTAATCCAGATGGAAGAAGAAGGAGGAAAGAATAAATCTCACGAGGCATCGTCGGAGGAAAAACACGTCATGGAGCGTATTGCAGATTCCTACGACTTGCAAGCTGAAATCTCTCTGGAGGCTGAAAGGTTTATGGATGCTGTTACTGATCTTAGAAGCGCTCTCAAACTCAGGATTTCTTTATGCCCAACAGAAGACCCTTCTGTTGCTGAATGCCACTACAAGCTTTCGCTTGCTCTTGAATTTGCTTCAGCTAATAAGCCTGAAGACAGTGATAATACAGAGAAAGCAACCACTGTGAATCAAAAAATGAGGGAGGAGGCTGTCACTCATATGGAAAAGGCAATTGAAAGCTGCAGACTCAGAATGGCCCAGGAGCAGAAGAAAATTGATGAAAACGGTGATAAAGATGGCGCTCAGGTTGTGGTGAGCAAGAGAAGTGTTGCAAACATTAAGGAGATTGTCAATGATATGGAACTCAGGGTGAGTCAATGTCTTTCCTCTACTAATCTCATACTCTTAAACAATGTACTTACTACTTGTAAGCTTGTCGATCTCAAGCGTTCCCCAGAATCATTCCAGGCCCTGGATCAGAGCAAAGAAGATGTGATGAAGGGAATTCTTGGTCAGGTTGTAGGGAAAGCCTCTGCAGAGCAAACAGCCAGTCTAAACGCTGCCATGGCAGGCGCGAATGATCTATCTTCACTTGTTCGGCGAAAGCCAGTTGCAAAGCAAATAACTGAAGAACGAGCTTATGGAACCAAGCGGCCGGCGGACGAAGGAACAGCAACCGGAGATCCAAAGAAGACTCGCTTGGATGGCAGCCCTACTTCTTTATAGAGTTCTTTCCAGAATACTCACCAATAATGTTGCAAATACAATATTAATCAGATTGAGTACTAAACCCCGCGCCTCCCATGGGTCTCCCTTTAGCAATTGATGGCACTTGAAACCATACCCACCACCTATCATACTATCAGAGATAGTCGAGAACCACGCCATTGTTCTCTAACTACCAGTCTTCCTTCTCGAGGGCACGTATGTATACTGTTTCATGTCCCAACAAAAGTGTTATTTCCTTGAAATAGAGTCAGTCAATAAATACAGTTTACCAGGATATCTACTTTTTGTGATGCTGGTATAGCTATTTCCTTTTGCGTATATTGATGTCCGCTCTCATTCATTGGGCTACCATATTTACCTTGGAAGCTCGATTCTTCAGTACAAAGAGGCCTTCTTATGTTGTAAATTCGATGATCTTCGATTGCCCTCCAAGTAGATTTCATAAATAAAATATATGAAACAATTTTAATACTATTATTGTCTTTCCTAGTGTATCTTGGGCTAAGCGATAGTTAGTTGTTTTCTTCCTAGAACTAGGTAACTATAGCTGAAGTACGGAGTACGTACCTAGGTAGGTGATGTAGTTAATAGCTACTTAGTTAATAGGCAATATTTAACCACTCAGCCAACAGAAAGACAATGGAGATTAATATCCCTTAGATAGATAGGGACTACAAAGTACTAGGCAATAGGTAGGTAGTTAATCAGGCCCATCTAGGAGTATCTAGTTAACAGGTACCCAAGTTACCCTGTTAATTAGTTATTGGTTAAATGATCTTAATAGGTCACGTGGTTTATCATGTGACTAGACCTTGCCACGGCCCACTAGACCACTATCAAGTTAAAATAATGAAGCCATCTTTTGCCTATCCTTTCTTTCATGGTTATATAGATACTACACTACTGTTGTTATGTTTGTATTTGATCAAAGCAGCTTAAGTCTGTTCTTTAACTCTTATTAAATACAGAAGTAAGATTTCTTTAAGTTTATTGAGTCTTTTATCTTGCCTAACCTACCTACCTTTTTACTGTGTTACATGTTCACCTAGAATGCTTACTGATTTGAAGCAACTTAACCCAGCATCGCTCTCTAATCTGTTGTTTTCGATACTTCAGTTACTTATACTGAGTCACTCTCAATTGTCGTTCAGGTCTTTGAGTGACAAGAGCTGGTGTCCATCAACACTGGTTGCATCTGCAAGTCTGGGAATCTGGAGGTTTTAATTTTGCTCTCTTATACCTGGATGGACTGTTAAAACCTGAGAAGAAAACCATACGGCGATGAGACTTAACTAGTCAATCCACTTATTTGGAACCACGGTATTTCTTCAAGTCCCAGCTTGCTTCGCTCCCTTTCTCTGCTACAAACTATTCCCTCCTTGAGTTGTGTATCCTACAACCGCCATTTGTACCCAGTGAACATTCACATCACATTTCAAAAAAGAAAAAAAGAGGTTTATACAAGACACTCCGGCTGTCGCTGTAGGACAGGTTCTAATTGAAACCGCTACAGGTTGAGTGAATTCACAAGTTGCCCATCTTTTCTGACTTTCCTATTCCCATATTTTACTGTCGCTTGTATTTTTGTTCCTTCAGGCAGTGCTGCTCTAAAACCTTGACCTAATAATATCTGAGAGATTCTTTTTCATTGACTGTGCTGTTGGAACAATGTCTTCGTCTGTGCACTTCAAATTCAAATCTCAAAAAGAACCCTCACGGGTAACATTTGATGGCACTGGAATATCTGTTTTTGAGCTGAAGAGAGAGATCATCAACCAGAGTAGATTGGGCGATGGGACAGACGTTGAACTGTCCATCTATAATGAAGATACCAAGGAAGGTAAGTAACTTGTGTCAAAGCTAATATTTTAAAGACTATGTTGAATTTTGAAGTGTAATGGATGTTAATTTCTATCTTTTTCAGAGTACGATGATGACACTGCCATTATACCTCGGTCAACGTCTGTCATTGCTCGAAGACTTCCTGCCTCAAGGCCCGGTAAAGGTGGTGCAGCACGCTATGTATCTGGGAAAATGCCAGTTAATCCACGCAATGCCTCTCGAATCGAGCAGTCTACGTCGAGCCAACCAATTCTAAAGTCCAACAATATTCTCAGCGCCAGCGTATCAGAACTCAATAATGCTCAAACTGAAGATGAAAAGATCAACGCCCTTTTCAACTTGCAGGCCAATCAATGGAAAGAGCAACAGCAAGAGATGGCAAAGTAAGCTTGAGATGGATACAAAACTTAAAGTACATTTTTATGGTTCATACTAACCTCATTATCTGCAGTGCTACTCCTATACTTTCTGGTCGTGGTAGGGGAAAACCTGTTAATGTCCCAGATCATCCACCTCCTCCTGGATATCTATGTTACCGTTGCCGTGAGAAAGGTAAGACTGAAATTTGTCTGGTTGTGACTAGAAGTATGTGTTAAATTAAAACTTTGATAGGTCATTGGATACAAGCCTGTCCCACAAACAACGATCCCAAATTTGACGGTAGGTATCGCGTGAAGCGTTCTACTGGAATCCCTCGTTCATTACAAACGAAAGTCGAGAAATCAGAATTACCAATACAAGATGGTTCAACCGAGGATCTTAAGAATACCGGAATCATGGTGAACGCCGATGGTGACTTTGTCATTGCTAAACCTGATAAGGCTTCTTGGGAATTGTACCAGGAAAAGGTGAAAGCATCTGCTGCGGCTGCAGCCGAAGCAGCCATCACTGAAAACAACAGAGAACTACACACTCGTGGCCTACTATGTCCAATTGACAAGCGTTTATATCTGGAACCTACAAAAACACCATGCTGTCAACAGACATACTGTAATGACTGTATTACAAATGCCTTGATTGAAAGTGATTTTGTCTGCCCTAATTGTGAAACCGAAGGTGTTTTACTAGACAATTTGTCACCTGACGACGAAGTCATTTCTAAAATCAAGCTCTACGAGACTGAGAAGCAGGATAAGAAGAAGGAAAAGGAGAAGAGTGTTTTGAACCAGGACACGGAAGGTGGTAGTCAGCCACCAAATAACGACAGCGAGGGCAATATAAAAATCGACAATGCTTCTCTAAACTCAATTGACCAATCCGCTCCCGCGCAATCGAACAAAAGACCAGCAGATGAATATGAATCTAGGACTTCAAAGACCGGTGATGAAACTGCAACTCCCCCGATGAAAAAAATCAAGTCTGAAGACAAGGACAAACCCGCGATCAATACAGAGTCTCAAAACAATCATCAAATGTCTGGATTTCAGTCCTCCCAATTCAACTTACCGGGGCCATTTGGAACACCTGGTTTTATGCAATTTCAAGGGATGGGGATGCCTTTCCCTGACCCTAGCTTCATGAACGAGGGAATGGGGTCTTTGAACCCCATGGCGTTCCCTGCATCCGGTCCTTTTCCGCCAAACATGGATCCAGCCTGGCATCAAATGAACGCTTTAAATTTCCCTACCGCAGGCGGAAATTTCAATGGAAACGTGAACAATGAAATTATGGCTGCATACGGGCCCTCGAGTATGTACAACACTAACGAACTTCAAACGTTACCCATGGGATACATCCCCAATATGCAGCAAAATACCGGGTTTCAGCAGGGTCCCGGAATGAACAACTTTTCGAATCAACAACGAACGGCGTTCAGTACACCATATAACAGAGAGGAGGATACACCCTATTTCCGTCAACCTGTTAATCCGCAACGACACCAAGCTCGACATCGAAGGGTAAGGCCGAGCGATTACCGGGAGCTTTGAAGTTAGATAAAGTTAAGAGCATTATCTAACTCGGATATGTGTTATGGCAAACAGCCTGGGACTTCTGGGATGTACCTATTTTTGACACTCCCATTGTATGTCATTATACATGCGAGCTATCTGCTTTCCCAAGTTATAGTGTTTTTAGTGGGCATTTTTGGTCATTTTCCTATCCAGCGCCAAGCAAGAATGAAGAAGACGAACACTTTCACTGCCCTATCTATCTATGTATTCGTACAATACGCCATGCTAGGTAGGTAGGGTAAGACTTCTTAGCTGATAAGGATAGCCCAGAAAATATTAGCACATATGATACTTCTTTAATGTATTTTGTTGACTTTGGATATCAGTCTAAACGGGAGTTTTGGTAGCAGATTAAAACACGTGAGGGCCGTAGTCAACTGGGTTGTTTATAGAACAATTCTCATCTTAATGTTCAACTAAGCAATAAAAATCAATTGATTCTAGCTGGATTTCCAGTCTTTATTCCAGTATCCTGGACATGGGCAGTCAACTGTGGAAAGATTGTAGGGTCAAAGAAGGAAGAAGATGATGTTCTTTCTGTGCTGTACCTAAGCTAAGCTTCGATAATAGAACATCTGTTTTGATCCGCTAACCGCCAACGCTAATGACAGATATCCGAAGTGTACCGGGAACAGTCAACTCATACGTAAACATGTCCAAAACAATTCTAGATACCCCAGTATTAACATTTATATTCCCATGAGTCTTTTTTAATCAATCCATAATAACCTTTCTCGATTTCCTTCTTTTTAGTTTTGTCGAATATCAGCATATAAACATATAATCCTACCCCTTCACCCTGCTTGCCGTGAAACTTCATGGCCGCATTATGGAAGACTGTAATACAGACCTTGCTTCAAACAGCGAATCCCAAGGGACAGGCACATCAAATATCGACGCTGGACCTACTGGTCCAAGCGTAGACTCACAAAAGGACTCTCAAGGGAGTTATAGCCAGCCAAAGACGCTTATCGACGCCGCCCTTGAGTTTCTGGCTGTGGCCAGCAACGAAAGTCTTATATCTGCCTTTGTGGTCCTGCTAGCTATTATATACATTGTTTTTGGCCAGCTTGGACTCTTGCTGATTGGTGTGTGCTTGGGCGTGGTTTTTCATGCTTCATGGGAAGGGTCCTATCACCAGACTGAGAACAATGCTCCCCTTTCAAGAAACGTGAACCGGCGAAAGGAGCTTGCCTTGGAACTTGCCGGGAGGTTGCTCGAGATTCCGGTATCTAATTCAAGAAGGCTCAGCATACAGGATGGAGAGACAAAAGGGTCTGAAATACCACTCGAGCTGGACCACGAGTACCCTACTTTCCGGCCGGAGACAGCTGCTGCATTGCAGTCACTGACCCATGCGATACTCGCCAATTATGTGAAGTATGAATATTTCCTCCGGTAATAGTTTCTTCACTAAAACTAAGCCTTACCCTTAGATATTGGTATGACCCGATTCTACCCTCGGAGCCGAAATTTGCCCTATCTTGTCAAAAGACATTGTCTGATTTCATCGTCTCGGTGTCTGGACATCTTTCACAAAAGCGGACCGCAGATACATTTACCCAGTTCATTACCAACTCGTCATCGATGATGATTGTCTTCTTGAATGAGCTTTCCGCAGCTTATCAGTCTTCGGGGAATCAGCAATTATCACCAGAGCAGGTTGTAAAACAGTATCTGGAGGTATCCCCTGACTGCAGCTTGGCAAATGTCTTGTCAAGAAAACAACAGCAAAAGAAATTTAACATGCTGGCTGAAGATATACTGTCTACATTTCTTGACAAAAAAGCATATGAGTGCGATGTGATGAGAACCTTTCTTCGAGAGGTGCTTTCAGGCATTGTCCTGGAATCTATGGTTTCGAATCTGTCTCGCCCCGAGACAATAAACAGCTGGATCTTATATCTACTTCGGGATGGTGAACCAGAAATAATGAGTGCTATAGATGCTGGAATTGAAGGATCAAAGACACAAAATGCGGATCTTGCTGAGTCTAGAACTGCCACGGGTCACTCAACTTTGAACACCACTGGAGATGATGGGAACCCTACACAGGCAGTTTCAACAATAGCAAGAGAAGGGTCCATTTTGCAAAATCAAGAAACTGCCATAGCCTCTCTTATTGACAAGCACCTGTCCATCGATACGCCGACTCACGATGGACGACAGATTCAGCCCACTATCTCTAATAATATAGATGATTCCACCAATCTACTGCACCAAGAGACATATTCAGCTGCCGAGCTGCATCAGCTAGAGCAAAACAATGGCCAATTAGCCACAGGCCTTGTTGAGCTTACTACCGAGCAAAGGCAGCCCAGACCTAGTCCCGCAGAAAGGCGCTCTATAGAAACGACTGAAGCCCCTCAACTGAGTCTTCATGGAGCATGGGTATCGGTGGACGACGGCTCAAGCGCTGGGGAGAGGGATACTCTCAGATCCAAACCTACATCGGACTACTTTCTGCAGATTGAGCCTTCCTCGTCGCGCTTCCCAGGATGGATGATCTTCAGGAAATATGCAGATTTCGAGTCTCTCCATGAGACAATCGAGGCTATCGCTAGATTGAACGACGTACGGGGGTTTAGAGAGAAGCATACCATGCTGCCAGCTTGGAAGGGGCAGACCAAGAAAATGCTTGCACGAAGTTTGGAGCAATATTTGCAAGATGCACTTCGGCACGAAATTCTTGCCGAAAGTCCCAGAATGAAAAGATTTCTGGAGAAAGATGGAAGCTTTGGTATCGACCCTTCTCCAGAACCGACTGCAAAGCTGGGCTTTTCGTTTCGTAGCCAGACTGCGCTAGAAAACGTGGGGAAAGGTGTCCTTGGTGCTCTGACACAAGCCCCCAAAGGTGTGGCAGGAAGTGGAAAAGCTGTGCTGGATGGCGTTACCAATGTCTTTGGTACAGTGGCTGGTACCAGCAAGAGATTTTCCAATATACCTGCAGAAAATGGATCATTGATGCGAAATATTTCGGTCAATACGAAGAGCGATGGTTCCCATGCAACCCAGGATACCAACGCTTCCCGCAGCGAGCCGAAGCTGGCTGGCCCTAACACCAGCAATAGCCACGTAATGTCGCCAACGATGGAAGGAACGCAAAGTCCACCTCAAGGCACATCGATGGAATCATTCTTCAAAAATTCACCTAGCTCTGCGGAGGGGGTTGGCTCGTTTCCAGCACTTGCCACACCAGAATTGACTGATGCCAGTAGTGAGAGTCATGCTGCTAGAGATGAAAAGATCCATGCAGAAAATAATGAACACACCCAAAATTCCATGGATCAAGAGGGTCATGCGCTTGGTTTATTAAAATCGCCAGTCAAAAGTTCAATGCGCAATCCGTTGCCGGGAGATGTTGATACCAGCTGTGGCCCAAGCAATTCTCCCATCACATGTGAAGAAACACAAATGGCCGTGGAGCTTATTTTTGCCGTCATAAATGAGCTCTACACCCTATCTTCTGCTTGGAATATTCGACGAACCTTTCTAAATGCTGCTAAATCATATATTCTTCGTCCAAGCAGCCCCCATCTCGAGAATATACGTGCTTTGCTGCAGGAATCCATGATTGAGGCACACACTTCAGATGAGGCGATAGGGTCATACATCTCGAAGATGCGTGAGAATGTCCTTCCCACTGATCAGGAGCAGGCACTTTGGCCTTCACCTCCCGATGAAGCTGAGAAACAGCGTCTGAGAGAAACAGCAAGGAAGGTCTTCATACAAAAGGGCATCCCGCAAGCCCTAACGAGTATCATGGGTGCTGCTGCTAGCCGAGAAGCGTTAGAAAAGGTCTTCGATTGTCTTCAAGTTGACTTGGTTGCTCGTGGTTTTGTTTTCGCTCTTCTTCTCCAGGCGATGAAAGCAATCATGTTATGAAAAGTTGGGATTTATTACCATGGCTAGACTCTTTACATTACTGCTTCAACCCTCTGACAAGCAAACTTCCATGGGCGGATGAAGCACTGGCAGCAACAAGGGCTTTCCGCCTAGGAGAAACGCCAGGAGGTATAGTCACATAAATATAGCCTCTACTTGTGTCTCTGGACCGCTTGTGCGACTCTGGAGGGGAAAATCTTAATATTCTCTACTAGCATTCAAATTTACCCGAGAAGATACATTATACAATATGAGAGACACTACTCGAATAATACTAGTTATATCTGTTTATATCTCAATTTATAAGTATATTCCGTGCTTGAAACGGCAGCTACCAATGATTAATATACACATAAGCTCCCTACTTTTAACAGCCCAGGCTTGGTATTCTCAATCATAAAGACAGGTCCTATACCAGACACATCTATCAGCTGCTTTCAAATTTACGAACAAGAAACCCCTTGCTAGCCAAATAGTCCTTGACTTGGCTGACGGTGTATTCACCACGGTGGAACTATTGTCTAGTTAAGAAACATCCAGGCGAAAGGGGGCTTATTTAGGCTACTTACCATGCCAGCTCCCAAAGCTGCATCCGTAGATGTGTAATTGAAAACATCGCTGAAGTGTTCAGGAACCCCTGCACCGCTCGAGGCGATCACAGGGATTTTGATGGCTGCTTTAACATCATTGATAAGCTCCAGGTCAAATCCACTATTACTTCCATCCTTGTCGATGCAGTTGAGGAGAATCTCGCCAGCACCCATGGCTTCTACCGCTTTGACAAGTTGTCGAACGTCAAGGTCACGAGTTTCTCTCCCACCTTTGACGGTACATTGATACCAGCAAAAGGTTTGACCTGCTTGATTAGGGTAGGCTGTCTTGATTGTGTGGTGAGGTGTGTCCTCTGGTCTGTCAACATAAACGCGTTTAGGGTCAACGCTCACAACCACGGCTTGTTTCCCATATGCATTAGAAATAGTCTCTATGGCTGTGTCGCCTGATAACTTGCCTCCGCGCGAGTAATATTCTTCGGCAGCGAAAACAGAATCCGAACCAATGCTCACTTTATCGGCACCAGATTTGAAGTACATGGTTGCCACGTCAAGAGCGGGGACTTTCGTCCCATCGGTATCGACTGTATCCTTGATACCACCTCCAATTGTTAGAGGCACAAAAACAGTCTCTGATGTTCTTCTGAGGATCTCAAGCATGGGTGTGTCGGCCAGCGGACAGTTTCTGAAGGATGTAATGTTGAGGAATGTAACCTCATCGGCACCTTGCTCATAATATCTTTTTGCCATATCCACTGGTTTTCCCAGGTTTCTGACCTGACCGCCAGCATCAGAGCCACTCTTCTCTCGAACGTCGTACTGATCGCCCTTAGTAACCACAAGGTCCCCGTCATCGTTTGTGCGGACATCGAGGCACGCAATGACCCGGCGAGTCAATCCATCACCCCGGGGCTCAAGATGCATGGCCTCGGTAAAAGATTGTAAATAATCGCCATTCAAAAAAGCACGCAGTGTCCGTAGCCCGGCTTGTCCGCTTTTTTCCGGGTGGAATTGCGTTGCGAGTATGTTTTCTCGACCAATAGCTCCAATGAATCTCTCCTCGCCATAAGTTGCCGTGGCTACCGACCAGCCTTCCTTCTCAAGGAACCCAGGTTCGTACATAGCTGCATATGAGTGCACATAATAATATTTGCTGTTGGGTCTTAAGCCGTAGAAGGCTTGCCGATCCGCGTTCGCTTCATTGGTGCCCAAAGCGGAATTCCACCCGATATGTGGAACACTTTTCGACTTGTCGTCAAATTTCTGCATCTTCATCGGTATCAATCCGATACCGGAGACATCGGGGTTTTCTTCAGAGCCATTGAAGAGAGCTTGGAGACCGACACAAATCCCCATGAACGGTTTTCCAGAGTTGATGTGCTGTCTAATGGGCTCTAGATAGCCACCATCCGACAATTGAGTTAGACAATGGCCAAAATGGCCAACTCCAGGCAATATCAGTTTCTGAAACCGAAGTATGTTAGAACGATTTTTATGGAATCCGAATGACATAGCAGAATAGTAGGCGCACCTCTGCTTTTTCTATATCGCTGGGCGATCTAATCCATTCCACCTCATATCCAACCTTGTTAATCGCATTCACCAAAGAACGAATATTCCCGGCAACATAGTCAAGCAGGTGGACCGTAGGCATAGTAGCGAGGGGCAGCGGGGAGCTGGTCTGCATTATAGAACCAGATCAGTTTGAGAACGGATAGTATAGAGCATATAAAGTGAGAGGACGTACTGGATTATTTATTCACTATATTGACTTATGATTTCGAGGTGTAAATGGTTTGGAAGAAGGCAGTGACTCAGATCATAACCTTAGTTACTGAGTACAACCATCATTGAAGTACTACTTTTTTGCACGAAACTTCCCATATACCCGTTTTTTTCAACCCATACTATACCACCGTATTTTTCGACTATTGGATAAGGGAAAAAGCCTTACTACTTAGGAGGGGTAAGTACCTACTAGGTACCTAACTACTTCGTGAGGACCGAGGTACAGAGTGTATGTTAGTGAATATCTGACCAATTATGTAGGCCTAATTTATCAGGGCCCACTGCTTAGTGCGGGGCTAAGCCTTGGGTATCTATCAGTACTACAGTGGAGGTTCAAAAGTAATCAACGCCCTGCACATATACCGCCTGCCCAAAGAATTGGGACTAACCAGCAGGGGTTAGACAGTTGCAGAGCACTAGGGACCCATTGGCCAAATAATGGCGGTCATAAGCGGCAATTTACAGGGGGTTGAATACCTAGTACTTTTGGACCCCCGCTGTAGATACCTGTACACCTACCTGTATTATTGGAAGTTTAGATAAAAGAAAAACCAAGCGCTTTCAGGCTTTGTGTACCTATCTCCAATGGATAACTAGTAACTAGTTAGTTAGTTGACTAGGATAATTTAGGTACTTTTAAGTTATGTAAGGCCATGTACTACTTATATAATTATTATTAAATAATAATGCGTTATTTGATTAGAGAACTAATATATTATCTATGTATACTTCTATATTATTTATGATTAGGCCATAAATTTAGTATTATACTAGACATAGTAGAAATGCACATCTTAGTCGTCCAGGTGGCGGGGTCTGCTGCACGCGGTCCTGAATGGCTTGACAGGAAGGGCCTGTCAATTTGAGAGGAATTTTGCTACGAAATACTTGCTCTGAACGGAGCACCAGTCAGAATATTGCTATTATTTACAGGACGTACTGTAGTAGATATCAGATACCTTAGGTACCTGGGCAGATCGCAACGTGCCTAAGGTAGTCAGACAGATCCTGGGCTAGGTACGGATAGGTACCTGTACTAGGTACGTAGGTATTTTGTATTTGAATGCCCCGCCTAACCCGGGCTATCAATTTAAGCTATGTTTTCGCTGCCCTAAGATTTCGAGTTTCACATCATCTACTGACACTTGATTAGCCAGCAGCAGAGCTTGATTTGTACTCTCTTTAAGCTGGGGAAACAAAGTTTCTGTCCTAATTCAGGTCCTTTTAGAAAGTAAATGGGTTTCTGATTCATAACTACCTTTGAGCCTGTACACTACCCATCAATTGAGAAAAATATGCTGATTGGTTTATGTGGAGGTAGGTAAGTTCCTTCTTGAAACGCCTAATGTTCATGTTTGATGGGGAACAGGTATTTGCGCAGGAAAGCATGCGATAGCAGATTATCTCGTTAAACATCAAGGGTTTCGACTTCTTGAACTGAGAGAGAAGAGTCCAGCCTGCATATCTGACCAATCAAATGATGTTTCCCAAGTATTTGGATCAAGGGCTGTAAAATCAACGAGAACTCAGTCGTCAGGGTTTGAATTTGAAAGCCTGGAATTCCTTCTTGATTTTGCGACGAAGAGATGGCGAGAACCTTGGGTTACCACTGACATCGGAGATATCACTACTTTGGACCGGCTTTTACTACGCCCATTCTTCCTGCTCGTAAGCGTTGATGCACCGGTCAGTCTCCGATGGAAAAGGTTTACTGATCGGTAATATCTCACATTGGAATCAAATTTCTTTAACTTACTTTGATAACAAATGCTGATTGTTTTTTTAGATGCCGGAGAAGGCAACTCGAGCCCCCTGAACTTGAGAAATTCGTCCTTTGGAACGATAGACATCTTTACGACAAAGATGTCGGAAGGGTCTATTTAACAGACAGAGCTCATGTACGGCTGTTTAACTCATCGTCTTCTCTGGAAGAACTTCACGCAGCTCTAGAGGCTCTTGATCTTACCGATGAAAAGCGAATGAGACCAAATTGGGACCAGTATTTCATGGAGTTGGCATCTCTAGCCGCACATCGAAGCAATTGTATGAAACGTCGAGTGGGATGTGTTCTTGTCAGGGAATGCCGGGTGATAAGTACTGGCTATAACGGAACCCCAAGACACCTACAGAATTGCAACGAAGGTGGATGTATGGACGCTAAAACTTTACATGTCAATCTGCTTTATGTTACTTGCTGACTAAATATTCTACTGAAGGTCCGAGGTGCAATAGTGGCGAGGGAGGCGGTGTTGGTTTGTCAACCTGCCTATGCATTCATGCCGAAGAGAATGCCTTGCTAGAGGCTGGGAGAGAACGGATAAGAGATGGAACAATCCTGTATTGCAACACGTGAGTTTCCTTAGCAAGTGGCAGGCAGCAAGGAGAGCAAAATTTACTCCGCTTCCTATTTTGGGTGAGTTACTGGCTAACAATAATAGCTGCCCTTGCTTAACTTGCACGGTCAAAATTGCTCAAGTGGGGATATCTGAAGTAGTATACTCTCAAAGCTACAACATGGACCGGGAAGTATGTTACTTGCTGCTCATAAGCGTGGTTGGAATACCGGACTAATATAAAATCTAGAGTGCTGCAATCCTGAAAGCTGCTGGTGTCCACTTAAGACAGTTTTCGCCGGTAAGGTGACATGGTTTCCCCACTAAGATGTTGAAGCTAAAAAATGCAGCCAAAAAACGGCATAGTCTATCTTCACGGACTTGAGGGTGTGCAGGCTGCTTAAGTGGTAGTAGGTTTAATTATTGATATGTCAGACTTCCTCACAGTATTATGAGTTGATGCAATCCATGGGATATTCATCTTTCAAGGTGCCAAAGATGACTGATCTATTATAGATATGGACAGAGAGCCATGTACAGGAAAATAACCTAGGTAAGATAGTAAAGAAACAGCTTTTATATTTCAATTTCTTCCTGTGGGGCAGATGTCTTACATCTGTCCATGAAGGGAAATGTGATCTTCTTTATATACTCTTACACACTCTAACGAAAAAAAATGGCATTAACCAGTATGAGTGGCACAATTCTCTCTTCTTTAGCTAATAAATAGACTAAAAAGGAGCTGATTGTCGATAATTGAAAAGAGGTCTCATAATCCAGAATACTAGAAGGTTGGATGAAAGCCCCATGCATTTCTCTACTTTGCCAATTCTGAAATATAATATGCATACAACCACAATCTGTTGCAATAGCTACTTAATATATACATACATCTGTTATATAACTACCCCAAGACTATAACTAAATTATATCACCTTATAAATATTCGCTTCCAATTTCTGTCACATGCAGATAATAGGATAGAGGCGGGGAGAATAAATAGGACTTAATAAAAAAAGTCATATAGCAGTTTAATCACCTATCCATGGATATACCTAGGTATCATTATTCACTGTGCGAACTGACATGGCCTAGCATCGAATTTGGGGGAATAGAGTGGTTGGTGGAAGTCCAACTTATTACCAACCAACAAAGTTCAAGATAAGGTGAACTAAAATGGCGGCAAAAAGAAGGGGTAACCTCCATTCTTCGTCTTGAAGACACTGAGTAGAAAACTATACATGCCTAGCATGACAGTACCCCAAATGATAATAACTAGTTGCTGCGTTCTCTTATCTGCAATTCGGGGGACTTTCATTGCCAGAGCAATGGTTGCAAATGAAAGCACGCCATCTAAGGGAATCACGTTAGTAGCCCTAATTGTTCGCGCTATATCGTAACTTGACAGCCTTTCACTTACAGATTGAAGCGATTATCTGAGTCTCCATTCCAAATTGGTTTGAGAATCCACCGGCGAAGTAGCTTATACCTCCTTTCCCATCACCAGCGACATAAGGCACCTTGCGAATGTGGTTGAACATGTGGCCGCTCGTGAATAAAAGGATGGCGATAAGGCTGAGGGCGGCCCACAGGTTTCGGTTACGAATAACGGGGAGTATGTAAGGCGACAAAACGGTTACAAGTGTAATAAATCCCATAGCGAGCGTGACAGCCGAAACTATGCGCATATAGTTTGTTGGTCGAACAAGAGGTGGTTTGGGTCCAGCTGGAAGATGACGGGTAATCCAGGTATAAAGTTGTTCAGCAGAGACAGGACTATAGATTCTGTCAATAACTGACCCAGACGTCTATAAATCAACATCAATATATTACCCGGTAAAGTCGAATCTCAAAGGCGCGCTATCAATCTTCGCGTGTGGACCATTGGTAGGAGGGAAGACAAGGACCACTGGTGCCGTTTGAAGCATAAGCTGTTTATATTAGCAATAGCAAGGCCAAGTTCAGGAGGTTCTAATACTTTCTGAAACGTATTCTTTCCCATGCTGAAATCGAGGCTGCCAAACAGCAATCGAATGTCATCAGGTTTGGATCCTTCGTTCCAGCTTTTGGAGATAATTTCCCATTCGGACTGAAATTCGCGACAGATAACACAACCATAACGAGCCTCGGTAGCTGTCAAGATGATTGCAGAATAATAATCCCGGGGCTTCGAGACCAAATCTTCGTATGAAGAATCATCTAGTTTAACTGATGTAGAATGGGAAAGAAGCTGATACTTTTCAAACTTGTCTGTAGGAGGATTGGTTGAAAAGGCGGCAGAGAAAAAGCATGCCAATGCGAGAAAGAATTGAAGAATTCTCATGTTGAATGGACAAGTCTGACCCATGTAATTGCTATTGCAGCCTTGTGCTTGTTAAAACCATGAAAACGTAGAGTCCAGCCTTGATCAACTCAAACAAGTAGTATCATTAATAAGGTAATCTCTCCTCAATGTTTAGTTGTCCACTACTCTTATCAGATATCTCGGTACCAGCTTTTCCGATCCGATGACGAATCAACTTTCCATTCTTTGTACCTGCAGGTGCCAGGTGGTCATACAGAGTTAGTACCTACCTGAGTTACATACCTAGGTACTAAATACCCAATTAATTACCGTAACTATCATCGTGACCGACAGGTATTGTACCGGTGGAGTAGTTAGTACAGGCAATTATGGTTATATAAGCCAGAATATTATTATTGTTGACAGCTTAGTAGCTAAGGTGGGCGCGACCCAAGTTACTGTGTACCTTAACTACCCCCCTACCTAACCTAGAGACTCTGTACATGTACTAATTTAACTACCTTGATAGAGGTGACTGGTTATTTATTTAGTAACTGACTACCTACCTAGTTACCTCTTGTGAAGTAATTAGCCAAGTCGTAAGTACACAGGGAGTTACTTATTGATGAGCAATTGAACTGACTAACTAGTCAAAAGTAAGGCATCTACAAATACTTCATTTAGTTTTGAGGTGTGATGAACTTACCATGACTAGCATCACTATCTATCCTGCACAGTGATTCTGACTCGGCTTGGAACTGCAAATAGCAAGCCTACTCCTTCTGTGGCTTGACATTCTTAATGCTCAATATAATTATGGAAAACGTATGTGATATTCCCTGGGGCTTACTGGAATCAAACTTATATTCTACTAGCATGAGAGAGATCTAAACCTTTCAAGGCTGCAGAAACGATATCATGTAGTTCTTAGTCAGGCCGTATATTCTCAACATGAGGAAGAGGTCAGGAAACAGCACATGGAACATATGCTGCTTCATGTTGAAATTGATGAATTACGGGAAATGCTGGACAGATCACAAGAAGAGTTGAACACAATTGCAGCAGAAGAATCTGAACTTCAGCTAGAACTCCGCGAAACCTATGCAAATCTGCAGGAGTCAAAAAACACTCTCAAGACATTAGCAGCTGAAAAGGAAAGCCTCCATGTAAGTCTCGTTATCCCCATTTTATCTAAGTGAGAATTTTCCAGCTGAATTTCTAAATAGAATGAAATTGCTCTGCTGAATGCGCATGCAGCAGAAGCGAACAAGACACTTGGTGAAAAGATGCGTCTCTCGAAGGAACTATTAAATGCTCAGTCCGAGATTCAGCGTCTTAAGAGTCAAAATTCGTCCCACCAAACAATCCTTATGGAGAAACAGAATCTTGAACGGCTGCTGAATTCATTGGAATTAGAGCTGCAAGACCAAAAGCGCACAAATGAACGTATACGGATGCAAGAACATCCTCATTCGACCAACATAACAAATATGTCTTTACAGCTTGAAGAAACCCGAAAAAAATTGGCAGAAGAAGTGCGATCCAGGAAGATAGACGAGCAAAACTTTCAAAATCAGGCTGTTGAATGGAGTGCCCAGCGAGCAGCCCTAGAGGGTCAGATCGAGACTTTGAACATGAAACTGCGTATTGCGGAGAAGGAGGCTCATAAGTCTACCCAAAACCTGCATGGCAAGAATAAGAGCCCTCAAGCTGAGGGAGCCTACATCAATGAGGGCTACACAAAGACTGTGCCTCTCAAACGCCCAGGAGTTCAAGTCAACCATGGTATGAGTATAGCAACTCCGGGGGCTATTTGTCCTCGCGAGGTCACGAAAATCACAACAGCTTTGCCCGGCGACAAATCTGTCTTCTCTATAACACCTTTCCTAAACCGTACAGGTTGCACCCCGGATTATTCACAGTCATCAGAGAGCGATGCCGATGAAATCAACACTATCACTATTGACGAGGCAGAGCAGCCATCTTCTAGAGTGGGTGGCGGGCAGGCTAAGAATGAATCCTTAGGTCCCAGACCTAAATTTTATCTTTCTCCCGGTGAAGGCTACATGCTACAGAAAGGCGAGAAGAAGTCTTCGGTATCCGCTCGAATGAGGACAGTTGCAGCAGTAGGCAAAGGGAACTGTACCAAGACGGCAAATTCGCCATTTGATGGAGATTCATTCGTGCCCCATCGTTCGGAGGACTTGACGCCTACCAATAGGCAAAAGAAATCCAAGAGACGCAAATTAGGAGCTCGGCCTGAGCGAATGCCGGTGCTAGGTGGAGAGAGTGATGATGACCTTGGTGAGACAGGAAAGCCGAGCCACAAATTTTCAAACGGGAAACGCCTTGCAAGTGATTTCTCCCTCGTCGTGGGTAACCAAATACTTCAGAATCAGGTAGCTGGCGGTTTTTCTCCATTAAAGCGAGAAAAGAAACGGGTATGAGTATGTAATTAACAGGGCTACAAACTATAAGTAGGCAAAACCTCACTATGGCTACTGACTTTTTAGTAGTAATTTACTTTTAATAGTATTTAAAATAATAATTAGTTGGCTGCTATTGTTATTGTTATTATCATTGTTATTAAAGTTACATGGTTAACTACTGTTCATAGTTAGTTACTTTATAGTTAGTTAACTAGTAAGGTAACTATAAAGTAACTAACTAACTAGGTAGTTATTAATACCTACTAGTTACTCCGTACTCCGGTTATGGAGTACTTACCCACTCCATAGATAGCTGCTAGTTAACTACCAACTAGTTAACAACTAGCTAACTGATGAGTTAATAAGTTATTTCAGTTATACAGACGTGATACTGAAAATACTATTAATACTACAGATGCTACTTATTACAGCACTCCATCTGAGAGCTAGTGCAAATCAAGTCTAAGCCATGGTCTCAACGTCGGACCCTGGGAGTGCTACCAAGAAACTGATAGCCTCTACGGCATCAGGCACCACCCTGCTCATATTGGTCCAAGTGGCCTCCCGAGCGTTCACGTTTACCGCAAATCAGCTTGTTTTACGAAAGTTGTCGCCTACACTTTTAGGCATTTCCAATCGACTGGAGTTATATTCGACCTCTATAGTTTATTTCTCCAGAGAAAGCATCAGGAACGCAATCCAAAGACAGCCATTGGAAGCTTCCGGAGTCGATATACAAGGACAGAAAGGTGAAGACAAGGCACCAGGAATCGACGAGAAGAAGGCATTTTCTTCGGCAACACAGTCCGTTATAAATATCTCCTATTTAAGTATCGTGCTGGGGGTTCCCCTATCCCTACTAGCAACCAAATTTTACACGCATTTTGTCCTTGCCGAAATCCTACATGAACACTCGACCAAGTCCAGCTTATTTATTACCGGAATCGGCTCACTTATTGAACTCTCCGCCGAGCCGTTTTTTGCGGTAATTCAACAGCATGGTCTCTATAAGACTCGGGCTCTGGTTGAAACGGTTGCCGCGTTCACCAAAAGTTTTTCAATATGTGGTATCGTCATGTGGTCTTCCTGGGCCGGCTACGATGTCGGGGTGATTCCTTTTGCAGCGGGCTACTTGGGCTATTCCCTTGCTATCATTTGCGGGTATTCGATCACAATGCTAGGAATAGCAACTGAGCGGCGATTTTCATTTCTCCCATCGAAAATAAAATCAGAGTAAGTCAATTATATCTAGATTGTGGTGGAAGGCCTAAGTTCACAGTTTAGTAGCGATCCGAGGAAGTTTATAGCCGGTCTGTTCTCACGTCGATTACTATTGCTGGCTGCGAGCGTCTTCATGCAGGCAACAGCGAAGCACCTACTCACTCAAGGAGACTCTATAATACTTGCCGCTATGGCTAGCTTAGAGGATGAGGGTATTTATGCACTTGCTGCTAACTATGGCAGTCTTATTGCTCGCATAGTTTTCCAACCGATTGAGGAGAGCAGCAGAAATCTCTTTGCTAGTCTTCTCACGCGTGGCGAGAATGATACGGATGACCCAGCCTGCATCCAAGCTGCTAAAGATCACCTAGCGGGTATTCTGCAAGCGTATGGACTTGTATCAATAATTGTTTTCCCTCTCGGCCCAATCTTTGTGACCATCGTGCTGAACACCCTGGTTGGACGACAATGGGCTCTATCAAATACAAGTGGCCTATTTTCACTGTACTCCTGTTATATACCCTTCCTGGCAGTGAATGGTATAACAGAAGCATTTGTCTCTGCAGCGTCTAGCCCTTCGGAGCTTCGAAGGCATGCTAGTCGCATGGCGGTATTTTCTGCATGCTTTGCCTTGGCAGCGTTTGTCTTCTTGAAACTACTAGGTTTGGGATCTCCAGGACTAATACTGGCTAATATCGTGAACATGGCCGTCCGGATTATCTGGAGCTCATCTTTCATAAGATCCTACTTCCATCGAAAGAAGAATGATTTGGCCTTTGCTCAAGTAAGCCAGAGCACATACACATACACAGCAGCTACCATAGCAACCTCAGTCATGGTAGCGAGGCGCAAGTACTTCACAGAGAACCTTCATGGTTACGTCGAGGCATTGGCTCTGGGTGTCATCTATGTACTTGTTATGTGAGTATGCCAATTGAATTTCTTTTTTTAAAAAAAAGGGGTCTAATGTATTTATAGTCTATGCTTTGAGAAGCAATATTTGATGGAGCAGTACAACAGAACACGCCAAACCATAAAGTTGATGAGAGACAAAACCCAATAGGAGATTCAATCATCAAAAACAATTTTTGTGGCTGGCTTGTCAGCTGCGTCAGTATTTTTGAAGAAGGCACCATATGCTTCATGCTGCTTCTTCTTGACAGTTGTACCAAATTTCAAGAGATCACTGGGAACTTCTTGCTTTGCTGCTTTAAGCACGTTTATCAAACTTGATAGGAAGTGTTAGCTCGGCCCTGTCAATTGATGCAAACATCTTTCGGGGAAAGAGTCGCAAGCATCATAATATAGAGATAGTTTCCCAGTGTACTTACGCGCCAGACTGAGCCTTATCCATTTCAGTGAACAAAGTGATTGCATAACCGTCCGACCCAGCTCTCCCAGTGCTTGATAGGTTCAAGTTAGTCGACTACACAAAGGAGAGTAAGGCGTGGAACTTACCGCCCGATCCGGTGAACGTAATCCTCCACTGTCAAGGGGAAAGTCACATTGATAACCAACTTAACAGAAGGAATATCAAGACCTCTGGCGGCTACATCTGTTGCAACTAGTATTGTGGCATTTCCAGACTTGAACGCATCCAGGCTTTTGAACCGTTCTTGTTGACTAAGGTCACCGTGAATACCGGCAGCCTTAAACCCCTTAGCTCTAATAAGCCTTTCCACCCGCACAGCTTCTTTCTTGTAGAGGCAAAAGACCAGGATCTTATCGCTCACGTTGTTCTTCCTTTGATATTGGTTGAGCAATTGTATAAGACGGGTCTCCTTTTCCCTGGGGCTGATCACCTCGACGGTTTGCTTTATTCTCGTGTTGGCGCGTGGGTTAGAGGACGGGTGCCCGCCAACAGTAACAGTAGCCGGTGATGACATGAACGTATTTGCCAGATCTCTAACAGATGGGGGCCATGTTGCTGTAAACATAACAGTCTGGCGCTTAGATTCAGGCATTGAGGCAATGATGTCTTTGATATCCTGCTCAAATCCTTTGTCAAGCATACGGTCTGCTTCATCAAGAACAAGATATTTCACTTTGCCAAGGTCTACTGAGCCATCATTTTGTAAATCTTTCAATCGACCAGGGGTTGCAACCACGATTGCGGCGTGTTTTAGAGCCTTGCGCTGCTCTTCTTTCGGGGTACCGCCGAAAATGCATGCAACTTGAATAGATGCTGGTTGGGCAAACTGCAACATTTGTTCGTATATCTGCATGGCTAACTCTCTTGTTGGTGAGATGATAACAGCTGCCGGTCTAGATGATTTTGATCTAGATTGACTGGCTTGCATGATCATTCGAACACACGGCAGGCCAAATGCCAATGTCTTGCCACTACCAGTTTCTGCGATCCCAATAACATCGCTACCATCAAACAAGAGTGGCCAGGTTGCAGATTGAATAGGTGTGGGAGATTTGAATGATTTTAATGGAGCATAAACCTCTTCGGCGTCATCAGGCAAGTGGTCAAATGATATGTAGGGACAGATATTGACGGGCTTAGACTCCGAATCGACGATTGCGATGGAATGTGTAGTCATAAACTGGTCTATTTCTGCTTGGGAGACATCGCTGGGGTTATCAGAGGGGGTATTGTTATTAAGGACTTGGTTGTTATCATGCTGAATTTCTGTTGCAGTTTTCGCAATTGTTTCCTTGGAAAGTTTTCTTTTCTTGGACTTTTTCGTTGACTCGTGATCGCTGTGAGATTTATGGGGTGTATCTCGTTTCGCCATTGGGTATTTGTTGCGTTTCTTCCTTTGCAAGGAAAAAATCAACAGGGAAAGGGAAAATCTTTATAGTTTTAGTAGGTTTAGGACTAGGCCTGGGAAATTTTTTTTAAAGGTTTTTATTTTGTGGGGCATAAGCTAAACCTTACACCACATGGCAGCCTGGGCGGTAGTCTGAGTGAGTGAAAGAGTGAGTATTATATTAACCTCTAATATAGCCCTGTTCAGGGCTCTTTTAGAGTCGCTGATGGCCAGATGGCAGTGGCCAGGTCTATAAGAAGAATATATATATAAATATAGAAATATATATAAATTGATTAATACTATTTAGCTATATCAAGGCGTCATGTGTGCCTTACTAGTTAGCCCCCTAGTAATCTCCCCTATTACTCTTTACTCTCTGTTATACAGAAATGTCAGTTTCTTGGTGCCAAGATATAATGTTTATAATAGGCTAACCCTATTTCAGAATATCTATAAAATTAGTACTTTTTCTTACCTCTACTATCCTTTATTAATCTTTTTCCTCAATTATTTTTATAGGTTTATATCTTTTTACTTTTTTTACCTTTTTTATTGATATTTAAGTCTTTATAGCTTTTAATTATATCTAGGTTAATTAACTTTAAATAGTACTATAAATATAAATAATTCTTTAAGTTTCTTTTATTGGTCTTCTTTGGTATATTTTTCTTTATTATTCTTTCTATTAAGAGTAGACTGGCTAAACCCAACCTGCAGGTCAGGTTGGGCACTGAATTCCTAACCCACTAGGTTTCTAGGTATACCTAGGGTAAACCTATACCTACCTATAGGTATAGTAAGTTTTAATTAGGTAACCTATAGGTACCTGGCATATAATACTAAGCCTATAATTATTATCTAGATAGATTAGTATAGTGTTTTAACACTAGCCACTAGACTGGCTAAACCCAACCCGCGGGTTAGGTTTAGGGCACTAGATTCCTTACCTGCCAGGTTTCCGGGTATGCCTAGGGTAAACCCATATCTACCCATAGGAATAGTGGGTTTTAATTGGGTAACCCATAGGTACCCAGCATGTGATTTTATATACCTTAAATTACCTAAATAGGCTAATCACCTTCCTAATAGGGTTAAGCTTAGAAATCTATATATTTATTATTAATAAAAAAGTGAATATCTAAAGATTTAATTGGTTTAAAACTAGTCACATGAGAAACCCTAAACCTGACAGGTATACCCATACCCAATGGGTATACCCATGGGTTCTAAACCCTAAACCCATACCCGACCCGGGCGCGGGTCGGGTCGGGTATAGCCAGTCTACTAGAATCTAACCAAAGTTAAATAGTATTAATATATATTTTTGTTATCTATATAATATTTTATTAAAAATAATAAATATTTATTTATAATATAAAATACATAAATTAATTGAAGCTACTAACTTATTTTTAGATTTATTTTTATTAATTTTTATTAAAATAATAATAATCCTTAATAGTATTAAATAAGTATTAAATATACCTTAATTTAAGTATATATTAATTATATTGTTTATATAAATATTTCTTATTAAAGTAAATATAAAGAGAGCTATTATATTTAATTAAAATAATATAAATATATATCTTTAATAAATTCTTAAAAGTTAGAACCCTTTTTTACTCTTTATCTTTAAATCTACTTTTTTTTAATTTAATTAAATTTATCTTTTTATTTAGCCTCTTATATTTATATTTAATCTATTTTATTTCTTTATATACTTTAGAATTTAATTTAGATTAGATTTTTATATAATAACTCGTAAAAAGAAGTAGAATAATAAGATTATTAAAACTGTTATAAATAACTCTTTCTTTATCTTAATTATTAAAGAGATATTTTAATAATATAGTTATAAATATTTATAATCTAGACCTAACCTAAAGTAATACCTTAAATTAAGATGTTTAGAGTATTTATATTAAGTAATTAAAGATATATTTTATAATAAGTATAAGATATATTAAAATAAAAGTTTATATAAAGATTATAATATTTTAAATTAAATAAAATAAGCTTCTTAAATTTATCTTAAATTAAATTACTACTAATTATATTAATAATCTTAAAAGAATAGGTTTAATAGTTAATAAAGACTTAATAAATATTGTTATAAGATAATATTATAATATATATAGTCTTTACCTCTCTTATATATATTTTATTTATTATTATTAAATATACTTTTAGTACCTTCTTAAAGCTAAAGCTTAAAAAGAATTAATATTAATAAATAATTATAATTCTTATACTTAATAATCAAAATTATAATATATTAATAACTTAATTAAGATAATTATTATAAATAATTTAATAAGATTTTAATTTAAGTTAAACTTACTCTATTAATAAATAATAATAAATTTATATATAAGCTGTAGATATTTATAATAATAAAAAGATAAATAAGAAATCCTATATATTTTTTATATAAATAAAATAGATATTATTAAGATTAACTCTTTTAATAATATTTTTATTTATTTCTTAAATATTTATAATAATAAAATACTAGTAGAAAAAAAGACATAAAAAAGCCTTAAAATTTATTAAAAGCTATAATATAAAAATTTTTAAGTCTAGTCTTAATTATTTTAGCTATATATTATATCTTATATAATATAAAAAATTATTTATAATATTTTTAAATTTTATTTAACTTAATTTAATATATTTATATTAGATCCTTATTTTAAAGACTATTCTTAATAATTTGGATTATATAAGTTATTTTTAAAGTAAAGTATTTATATACTTTTTTAACTTAAATCAAAATTAATTACTATTAATTAAGAATTTTATTAATTTTATTAAAAAAACTTATAAGATTATAAATAAGTTTATAATTTATAATAATTTTAATAATATAAAGCTTTATAAATATCTTTAAATCTTAAAGAGTATTTAACTTAAGCTTAAATTAATACTAAAGATGAATAATATAAGAAATTAACATTAAATTATTTTTAATATATTTTAATTTTATAGAAATTTAATATAATTATAAATTTTTACTACTTAATACCCTAGATTTCTTATAAATCTTAATAATAAAGAATATATTCAAGTATTCTAAATATTAAGTAGAAATATCTTAATTAAGATAATTAAAATTAAATATAAAGCTAGATCTCTCTACTTATTATTAAACTTCTTTATTATATTTTAATATAATATTTTTTTAATTTAGAAGTTTTTAAAAAAGATAACTAAAGAGAGTAAAGACTTTTAATAAATAATAATAATTTAAGACATTCTTTTTAAAAATTTAAGTCTTAAATAAAATAGTATTAAAGACTACTTAATTAACTTTTTAGTAATAAATATAATTAGTATATTAATTAAAGATATCTAAAATAAAATTAAAAAAAATAATAAAAGAATATTAAAATACTTAAAGAGATAATTATTATTTTATCTTAAATTAAATTTTTTATTATTAATTATTTTAGATTATAATAGATTTAAGTATCTTTCTTAATAATAATATATATTTCTTTAAGCTTTATAATATAAGATTAAAATATATATATTAAACTTAAATTATAATTTATTATTTTAATTAGCTAAATCTAATATTTAATAACTATATAAGCTAATATAACAATATATAAATATTAATATAAATATAATATCTTAATTTTATCTTAAGCTAAATTATTAATAAAACTTATTAAAAGATACCCTTAAAGCCTAAACTTTTTTTAATATATTAAGTATAAAGATAAACTATATAAATAATTTAATTATTATTAAGTCTTAATTATTATTAAGTCTTAATTTTTATAATTTAATATTATAACTTATTATATATTTATATTAAAAGTTAATATAATATTAATACTTTATTTTTCTAAAGTTATTAAAATTAGGATAATTAAAATATTATATAAGAGATTTTTAAGCCCTATTATTAAAAAAAAGAATTTAGAAGAATATAATAATATTCTAAATAAAATATATTAATTTATCTTAAGTTAATTTTAAATAATTAAAAATTAATATTATAAGATAAGTAGATATAAATACTGGATTATTTTGAATAATTAATTTTAATTATAAAAAAGATTAAAATTAAAGTAAAACTTAATAATATTAATAAAGATCTTTACTACTTAACTTTATTATTAAATAATAATAATAACAATATAATATTTATTATTCTTTAATTAACTTTAAAATAAGGATTTAAATAAGCTATTTTAGATAATAATAGTTAAGCCTATATATCTTAAAGTTTACTTTATATACTATTATTATAGCCTAAAAATTTAATAATTAAGAAGGGGGAGAGGATAAAGAGGATAAAAGAAATTAAAAAAAATAAAAATAAGAAAATAAGAATAAGAATAAGAATAAAAATAATAATAATAATAGTAATAATAGTAATAAAAGAGATAATAGTAATAATAGATAAAATATAAATAAATAAAAAAGTATTAAAAATATTAGTCTATAATTTAATAAAAAAGACCTTATAAAAAGGTAGTAAATATATTAAGAGTATTAAAAAAAATAATAAATTTCTTTTTATATAATATATGAAAATCTTATTTAAGTTAAAATTGATTATTTTATTTTATTTATGAATTCTTATAATAATTTTATATATTATAAATAATTATATTAACTTTAATAGCCTTATTATACTAAAATCATTTACTTTTATTAATTTTCTTTTATTTTCTATAATTATTATTAATATCTTTAGATTATAAGCTACTAAAGTATTATTAACTAAGTCTTTTTTAAATATTTCTATTTATTAAATAAGTATTATTACTATCTTTATTCTTAAAAATATATTATTCTTATATATTAAAAATATAATAATAAAATCTTTCTTTATCTAAAATCCTCTTATAAATAAATAATTTTCCTTAGATAATAAAAAAAAACTTATTTTATAAAGATTAATATAAAATAGTTTAAATAGTCTACTATTAATTAAATATTATTAATTATTTCAATATATTTAGCCTTAAAGAAACTACCTATATTATTTATATTATCTATTATTTTATAGATATTAGTACTATTTAAATAA